CAGCATGAGTAAACGACGAGGATGAGGCCTAAGCGCCGACGGATCTCCGACTTGCAGCTACGTTTCAAGCACCAGCACCACAATCGATCACTACCGGAATCACACAATCACCGGATAATCTCGTCGATCTCCCGGGAGATCTCTGCGTTGATCGCACACGAGTCACACCATGATCTCTCCCGGACGGAGAGAGTTCTTTCTTTCACGCGCGGATTCTGCTTTCTTACGTTACGAGATTTCGGTCGATTTCGCGACAATCGGTTCACCGGTTTAAACAGATACTCGTCGTCGTTTAATCCCTTCGCGGAATCACTTTCGATCGCGGTACGAATCGTGCTTTACGGTTTTCAAGCAGCTTTTTAGCATTCTCGTTATTACGCGTCCTTTATTTACCGGAACACCTGGAATCAGAACAATAGCAATGGCACTTCAAATTAATGCAGAATTAATGAAAAATAAATATAGAGGTACAAAATATATTATTAATATATTATTAACAGTGACATTTGTTCACTGAAAAAAGAGCAATAAGTATTACGATATTAATTAAATTTTTTTATTTTCAATGGTTGAATATTTTGAATAACTAAATTAAATATCTTCCTATCTTTTTAAATAAAATTAACTATATAAATTTGTTACAGAAAAAGTTTATATATATGTGAAAAATTATACTACGATATTACTTTATTTATACAAATATTCTTTTTAAGAAATTAGCAAGAAACATTTTCTTCTAAAGTACTTAATATAAGTGAGATGTTGTAAATACATTCTTGCAAAATAGAATAAAATTTAAATATTAAAAAAATAATATTACAGTCAATAGTCATTGTTTTATTTATATATAAAGAAAGCTATAAAAATCCATTAATTAGATTCTTATCAAATTTATCATGCATACACTCATCGAAATTTAAAAAAAACATTATGCAACTCAAACTTATATCGTGTATTATATGTAAATAAGGAACAATATTGTTTCTCGCGGACGGAAAATAAATTTCGATATTTTATCGGTGTATTATTCCGTTGGGCGGAAGTTTGCTAACAAGCAACGACGATTCCGCGTGCAACCGTTAAATATACAGTTTACATCAAACGTTACACGAGCGACAATCCATTTTTTTTCGGCGTTGCACAGCGTTGTGTTGCACCATTTTATGCGACACGACTGTAAATTCATGTAGCACGTAACGCAACACGGTCGTGAAGATTCTATTTGCCATTCACAAAGGTTCGCATAAATAATAAAGCGCCGCCGCTCGACAAATGTTTATCCTGCTTCCGGGGTCGCGGAATAATTTATCGCTCTTCGAGAGAGCGTCACGTCGTCATCGTCGTCGGGAGGGACGAACGTGGTCGATATCTCGAATGTTTGCTCAAAATCACACGTCCAAAGCTTTTTGTCAAAAGTCGTTTTTACATCGTTGCTTTAATTGGACGTCGAGAAATAAGACCGAAAGTTCTTTCTCCGCGAGGAATGCGTTGATTAAAGAATGAATAATAAATCACGTCCCTCTAATTAAGATGATAATTAATCGACAGTGTCTCAAGAGAACGTGCGCTTTTTGTGTTGACTACCGAGGAAAATTGCTCTTGCTTACGATAAAAATTACACATTGTGTTTTTCTCTTAACGGAGAATAATAGCAGAGCTTGTTTTAAGACAACTTATTAGTTCTATTCGTTTATTTACTTTATAAATTGTAAAAAACGCTGTTTTATTACGCATAAACAGATATTATTAATAAATGTTTAAAAAACCGTTTTAATGAAGTGCCTTAATTGCGTACTATATTCTTCAAAAGAATTTAATTGAAATTTTAATAAAACAGTTTCTTAATTACCTTAAAATTTGTATCGTTGGATCTTCGAAAAAATACTCAAATTGAATTTTAAAGAAAATCATTGTTTACAATGATATGATGTTATATTTCTATAGAATATAATCAATATATTATTTGCGTTCGTTTATCATCCAAATTTTACATTGCGATATGTCCATTGTTAAATACAGTGATATTTGATCGGTCAATATCGATTGTAAATATAGGAAATAAAATTTTGTTTTTATTCACGACGAAAATTAAATGAATGTGATTGTGTTTTGCAAATACGAAAGCAATGCAATCATTGATTTTCAATTCTCGGGATTGGCAGGATAGGAAATGACGTTTAGACCCGTATTAGAATGACCTTAATCTGCTTTCTGAGATTATTGGTTTGCAAGTAATCACGATCAATGCGGCTGAACATCCAATTGCCGCAAAATTGCATAATCCATGCTCAAAGGTTATTTCGGGTCTAACTATCGCAGAGGCGTAATGTAACAAGTGGATAAATCGGTCAATATTTTATTTGTTGTGCATTTAAATTATGTTGACAATAAGTATTACAGCGCACCAGCGTGATACACAAACACAAATAATACGATTGCAATCATTTTGCCGAGAGACGAGAAATTAAAAGAGAATCGTAGCAAATATTAATAGCAGCTATCGCTGAATATTATTGGTACTTTTAATCGCCTTTGTGGCAAAATACATCCGTATGCGAACAATGTATCGTAAATATTCCTATTTAATTGTAGAAATCGATTAAATATAACATTATTTAAAAACTTAAAATTATTTATAAAATAACATAACTTGTTAACAATAAAAATAAAATATATTTTGTATCAATATTTAATAGATGCAATACAAATCATGTTCTATCATTAAAATATTTAAAATATTTCTAACTCGATAAATTAATTTATTATAATAATAATTATTGATCAAATTAGTGTTTTTTTAATGATTTCCTTTCATGATTTCATGAGAAAATATTTTTTTAATATCTGTATGTTTTTTAACCAAAAGAAAATCTATAAAAATATCCATTATTTAAATGTGCTATATGTATTCTATTTGAAAAATTACTGCATTAATTAATTCTATTTTTTTATTAATATTAGAAATGTAATTATTAGATTTATTAAATTATATACGTATAATAATGTTTAAATATTTCATTTAAATTATATATAAAATATATAAGTTTATTAATATTAAGAATTACGAAATATATGTGCAATACATATAATTACTAATTTATTAAAATATTTTATTTTTTTAAGAATTGCATATTGTGTAAAAATTACATTATTATATACTAGACTCTGCTAATGTACTCCAATTTAAATAAATCATTATTTAAATAACTACCAATTAACTATAAAAATATTTCAATGCACCTGCTTATATATATCGAAAGAGATATACTTTCGCAATTAAAGTGTTCCACTTATTTATTTATTTCATTGTTTGAAAATTCGAACAATTTATTGAATATTCGCGAATATTGTATACTTTCAAGCACTGACGATGCGCGCATTCGTATTTCACGACCGCTCTGTTGTTCGTAAAATACATTAACAGCGCGACTGTAATGATATTCAAGTAATTCAAGATATACTTCAAAGTAGTAACAGTCATGAAAACATAGACATGCCGCGAGAACGCAGCTCGACGTCTCACTTCATTTTTCGGAAAAAATTAATATCGCATGTTAATTAACAGAATCTAAAATAACATTATATACTTTGACGCTCGCACTTCGCGTTTGTCGATCGTCGAGTTTTCGTAGCGAACACTGAAAAAAATATTTATGTAAAATTACATGATTAAGCTAGGTTTTTTTCCGACCCAGCATAATCATGCAATATTGATACTTACATGGAAGATTACAGATTGTATGTAATTTTATATGAAATATATTCTTAAATATTTTCAAGATTAAAAATATTTCACTAAACATGTAATTACACATAGGAAATGTTAGAAATGTATAAATGCTATAAAATAATGTTATAAATAAAATAGATAAATCATTATAAAATAAAATTCTAATAAAGTAAAAATGGTAAATTTAAAATTACATATGATTTTTGCATAAAAATAGTAATTTTACCTATATTTTTACATTAATATGTATTTTCACTTTAAAACAAATGGAAAAAAAATTACAATGATAAGCAAGTAACTTTTCCAGTTCTGAGCTAGTAATTTCCATGTAAAAGTACATGGATTTTTTTCAGTGAAGTTCGTTGAGAAGTAAAATGATGCCGGAAAAAACGACGCCATGAAAAAAATGTCGAATATACGATAACTCACCGGTGTCGTTTGCCTTTGGAAAAATCATCGAACCGGCTATACAAAAGTCGCGCTCGCATCTCGGAGAACGACGTACGGCTCTCCCAGGATCACAGAACGATCAATAATCGCGTGCGAATTCGAAACTGGAACATCCAGGAGTCCTCTCCTCGCACTGATATTCGCGCAATTCACGCGCTCCGAATCGCTTGAAATCCGACGCAATTCGCCCTTACCGTCCCCTCGATCGCGTCACGGTCACGTGATTCCTTTTCGAATAACTTCACGATGAAAATGAAGCGCGGAATTGGCGCGTGCGACAATTAGAAATGGCGGACGGGGCCGAAGGGATATATCGATCGGTTTACTCACCTCATTTCGCCGGTTCCGGTTCCAAGGACAGCTTCCGGTACCACCGGCCTCACGACGACGATCCCGCTACAGCTGCTCGCGGCTTCCTACGCATCTCCGCGACACTCGGACTCGGGTGAGGAAAGACACGGGATCTCTCGAGACGAGACGAGACGAGAGACCCGGTTCTCGAAATTCGACCCGGTGACCGCGATTCCGCGCGACGCGACAAAACGAGGCGGAGCGGTGCAACGCCGATGCGTTGACGATTATATCGACGCGAACGGGGAACGCACTGTGACGGAGAGAGTGAGAGAGAGAGAAAACTGTGTGTTGAAAACTCGCGCGCGCACACACGTACAGAACGCGCGACGTACCGCGTTGCGCGCCGAACACGAACTGAGCTGCTCGGAACGAGAGACAGAGACGACACGCGACCCCCACTCTTCGTCGCGCGCGCCGAGCGCCCCCCCACCATTCGGCGGCTAACTTCTCTCGGCGCGAGCGTCGCCGCATGCAGGTGCGCCGAGAAGCCGGGCTTCGTGAGCCGAGCGAATTCCGAGAAATACTTTGGTAAATGATACTCGGTTACGCGTTTTTGTTGATGTTTTCGAGCCGTACTGTCTTGCTCGATATTTGTTTTGGCTAGCACGTGCGCGAGTTCAACGATGCGGAAATTTACGAGCCATTGAAGAACGACGAGTATAGAATAACCTCTTACGCTACTCCTCAACTATAATGGTAAATAAATTATCGGATTCGATTGTAGAATAATCACTGGGTTATTATAGTCCTAGAACGCTCGTGTATGAAGCATTTGAAAAACAAAGATATAATAGACACATATACATTTTTCTTCTTTATTGAATATTATCGAGTATGCGTCGCGAAGTTAATTCGCAAGACTCAATTTTGAAATCAGTTAATAGAAAATTATACACGATATTTTAACTCTAAATTCTTCGTTTTTATTACATATGTAGTTAGAATTAATTAATAATATAATTATTGTTCATTTTTTTCACGCATAGAATATCGGATATATGATATGTATTAAAAATTCGTCGTTGATTCTGGAGTAAAAGCAAAGTATGTCAAACTCTTTATAACAAAAGCATAAAATGCTAAATATACAAAAAAGGAACTTATATACATATATCAGCACAAGATTTAGAGATAAAATAATTCATTCAACATATCAATTATGTATAAAATTATAATTTTTTTAATATTATTATTTAACGAACAGTCATGAAGTACAAAATATATCTAGATATAAAACCAAGATTTAAATCTAATCGACAATGCCTAGTGATATAAAAATACTAGACGCACCGATCAACCCTAGTATACAAACTTTATAGGGAACTCTATCTAATGTATTATTTATGCATTTATAGGAAACTCTGTGTTAATCTATCCAATGCACGACGATGCAACGGACGACTCTGAACATGGATCCAGGTTAAAGCATCGACACCGAATGACTTCCGTAATACAACGGCACATTTTTTTTCGAGCGTTGCAAGGTAAGATGCTTCGGCAACGTTATCTTATCACAAATGATTTTCGTTAATGCATTCAAATATCACGATCTTAAAATGTCGCGAAGATAGTGACTTCGTTGTCAATGATTTTATGTTATTAATAGAAAAATATTTTTTAAAGGAGTTTGCATTCAAATCGTATAAAATATAAATTTCTAACGCGAATAATCACTCGACGAAAATAATTATTTACTAAAAAATTATTATTTATTTTATGCACACAGTCATTATTTTAAACGATTATATATATATATATATATATATATATATATATATATATACATATATATGTATATATTATATATCATATAGATACATCATAGTCAAACAAAATCGAATATTTCAATCGTAAGCATTCTGTATGCCTGCAGTTATCATAATAAAGCATTTAATTTCATTACTGATAAAATTTCATACAGTTATCATAATAAAGCATTTATTTTATTACTGATAAAATTTCATGCAGTTATCATAATAAAACATTTAATTTCATTACTGATAAAATTTCATAACAACATATATAATATATATTATATATATTATATATTGTTATGAAATATATATATATATATATATATATATTGTTATGAAATTTTATCAGTAATGAAATTAAATTATGCATTTAATTTCATTACTGATAAAATATAATATTTCAATCGTAAGCATTCTGTATGCATGCAGTTATCATAATAAAGTATTTAATTTCATTACTGATAAAATTAAATGCTTTATTATGATAACTGCATGCATACAATATATCATATATATATATATATATATATATATGTTATGAAATTTTATCAGTAATGAAATTAAATACTTTATTATGATAACTGCATGCATACAGAATGCTTACGATTGAAATATTCGATTTTGTTTGATTATGATGTATCTATATGATTTGACTGTGCATGGACATTAAAGTGTGTAAAGATTCTCTCCGATGGTTTATATAGTGTAATTGAACAACATCGCTAAAAACGACTTGCGATAAGATAAGATAGCTAATATCGTGTTTGCATTAATCTAGTCAAAGCTCTTTATGAAACCGCATATAAAAGCCACTGAATTGATCATTGAATTAATCTTGGAAAAGACGAGGCAGAGTACAATGTCAAGTGATAAATATTTCTCTTTTGTTATAAAGTTTGATTTACACAGTTGATATCATCATATTATCATTAATTATGTATGAATAGCGGAAACTCGCGCGTGCACGTGCAATTACGATATATGTTGAACGGACTATAAAATTCTTTGTTAATATCTCTACGAGATTGACGTGGCTCAATGAGAGTGCGCGTATAATTATGAGTTGCCGCTTCTTCGAGTACGATTCTGTACGTGCAATTTGTCGGATACTTATAGCAACCATTTATCACGGGGAGTAAAATTAATTTAGATGCGTACCGCGTTGCATTGGCGGCATTCGCTCTTGGACATTTAACATCTGTCTACGCCATGCATATGCACATGCTTACATACGTGCCTATGCAAATCCATGTATTTCACCTCTTCGCAGCATTCATTCGAAACAGAGCAGTGAAATCGTGCGCAAACGCCGCGCCGGCTAAAGTAAATATATATTTCATGTATACATAGTTCAATTTACCGTGCAATAAACAGAGAGAAAATTCCTACAGTAGTTGCGCATTTAATCTTAAATATCTATATTCGCGTCTAAGTTTTTAGAGATTATTAATCAGTATTATCGTGAAAGACGTGTCATAGACAATATTATAGAGTGATATATTCATCTAACACGCAAGCAAGAATCTCATTATTCTTTTTCTCCTTTCAAGCATATTTAAAATAATTGCAATGAAAAGCATACGATTTAAAGAATGAATATAAAAAGTTTTGCTTTGATATGCTAAAATATCTGGTCCAATTTCAAGACGGCGCAGTAAGAGAGAATACAGTCGTTCCTTAATGCAAATGTGTATGCATGAAGGTACGCGTCAAGTTTTCGCGAGATATCTCGCCGCGAACGTTTGTCTTCGCGCACGAAAGGGTAGTATTTTTAAATTTCAATGAGATTTAGTCCGTCTAAATTCGCACGCGGAAACGGGGCGGCTAATCGCGTGTGCCAATTGTCTCAAGCCGTGTTTCAGTCACCGTTTCGGAGTCGCGTTCTCGTCGCCGCGCACAGCTGAGCCGACTCTCGGCGCGGATGAATCGATTTTTCTCTCGTTCGGCCGCGCCGCTGAGAGAGATGCAGCTTCGCCCGCGGATGTGCATCTCTCTTCTCTTATTCTTGCGCACGGCTTGCCAACATCTTCTCCTCTTCCACTTCTTCACCGCGTCGCTCCGGTTCCGCATCCTCCGTCAAGCGGAAGAGTTTAAATGCTCTCCGAAAAATGTTGGCAACAAGAAATATTGCCTTTTTTGACTACCGTCTCTGACATAAAAGAGACATTGTCTGAGAAAAAAGGAATTAAAAGTGAAAAAAACTTTTATTATTTATTACTTTACTTTTGCTTGCCGGTTAGTCGCTAAGGTTTGTGACCTGGAAAGTTGCCCGAAAAAAGTAAATTTTTTATTGAAAAATATTGAACGTGTATAGTTTTTAAAATCATTAATTATAACTGGAAATTTATAAATAACCTTTTGTGGGATATTTTAGTACACAATATAAATTAAAAACGACTATGTATAATTTTTTACAGAAAAAAGTTTAATAATTAAAGTAATTTTATAAGAACTTAATGTGAGATAAAGGATGAATTTTTGTGCACAAGACGTGAACGTAATTTATTACTGCATTATCGTAATACTAAATATACATTATATGGAACAAATTTCTTTCGATAACCCGCGTTATGAAAAATCATGGGAAAAGGGGGAAGAAATTATTTCTCATCGAGAGGATATGAGATCAAAGAATTCGGGGTCAAGTTCAGCCGTCATGAATGATGGACCGGACGAAAGAAGTCGCAGGTGAACGTCGCCGGCAAACGTTAACGTTGTAGCAGGACTGGTTTCTCAAGATTTCACAGTTCTTCGAACAGGTAGTCCCCGCAGGACATACGCGAGTAGCAAGGGTGGAAGAAATCGAAGGGATCGAGTGCTCGGTTGTGAACCCGTCATTGAAACTGACTGATCGCTCGACGCGGGTGGTACATAACTAATTGCGTCTTATTCATGATTATCTACTTCTGAATGATCATGCCGCGTCTCAGAACAGCACACCTGTGGCCTCGAAATAATACCGTGAAATCATAACTATGAATCGTTTTCAAGATATATCGCGTGCGTTTCTTAGTTTTTATATAAATATACAAAACATCATGTTTGATAATGGAGTTGAATAGTGATTTTTCAAGAAATTAATAATCTTTAGAAGAAAAAATTAACTAACTTGACCGTGTATTTTTTCCACTTGGAAAAATTAATATATAGTATGTATATTTCTAGACAAAAAATGATATTTTATTGTGTATATAAATTGATTTTTCTAAATAAAAAATGCTAAAAACTTTGTTCTTCACTTCTTTAAATAAAATTTTTATTTTTTATTTTATTAAAGAAATAAAAAAAGATAAAGAAAGATAAAGAAATGTTTGCATTTTTATTTGGAATCTGAAAAAAGTTAATATGTATCATGTGCGTACATAGAATATATTAATAAATCTTAATTTTATATATAATGAAATATTTTATATTTTTTGTCCAAAAATATATATTAATTTTTTCCAAGTTGAAAAAATAGCTGCATGCTGCATATTTTCTCTTCTAAAGATTATTAATTTCTCGAATACATATAATGTCACTGCAATAGAATTGTACTTATTAAGGAATAACTGATCTTATCTCTTGTCTATAAGACGATGTCTCGATAGCTTTATTATCGAAAAGGACTTTTGGAGAGCAAAACTTTCAAGTGAACAGCTATTGAAAGTTTCATGCCCCATTCCGTACTCATCAGAGAGTTCTACGAGTCTCAGATAATAAAATTCTTAAATTAAACACATAGTGCAATCTCTTACGTAGATCGCAAATAGATTCGATCCAAATTAAAGTAAATTTTTGTCTCCTGAGATTGTCGTTCCTAATATTATAAATTCTTATTGAATATAATATAACAATCTCATCGAGAAATAATTTGATAGAAATTTGGTATTTCTGAGAACTTTTTTTGCATAAAGATTTTTGTTCTATCTCTTCTCAATAAACAATATAATTTTATTTGACATAAAAACAAACAATTTTATCTATGATATTTAAATATTTTAACATGGGTTTCGAAAAAGAGAATGCTATTTTAGTATTATGATTCCACACTGAAATACAATTTAGAATCAGATTATACTGAATGAGTCTCAATTCAACTTATGTCTCGAAAGCGATCGATTATGTTAGCATAGTTTGATGTCACGGGAAAAGGGTCAGTCAGTGGCATTGTAAGCCGTGACAGGAAATCGAAATTGATATTCAGCTCATGCGCTTGCATTTATCTTGTCGCATTCTTTATATTCGATTTCGAGAGAGAAGGCAAAAGAGAAAAAAACATTCTGGTCTTTCATTCACTGTCTCCCTGGACCTGTACCATCTGGTCTTCCACCTGCGTTCAGCCAACTGTTTCTTTCTGCCATTACAATCAGAGCAGATCCGGTTTTTTCCTTCCAAACGTCTTTTAGTATCTTATTTCTCGACGAAACATATAGCAAACGAGGTAATATTGATGCATGTTTAAAGTCCCGCGAAGTGCTTTTCTCGTCTTATCATACGGTCCAAATTTCACACTTCAGTGTTGAAACAATCGAAAACTTAAGCAGGTGAAGTTCGTTCTTCTCATCGTCAGTAAGATTTTACGAGAATATTAAGAAACAAATATACAATGTACAATATAAAATAATTACGAACTTGCATAAATGTTTCACGCGGTGAAATTATTTTGCAAGAGATTTAAAAAACAAACAAAAATTGTCGAAACTTGTAAGTACCATTTAAAACAGAAAATCGTGACATAATAATTATTATTGGACTTTTCGTTCACTTGTAAAGACATAAAAATTACAACTTTGTAATGAATTCTTTTTTCGCAAATTATAGAGCACTCTATAATTTTGAAATTTACGTAATGCTTAATATATATACGTACTTACTGATGAAATAATAATTAACCATTAGCTACATTGCTCTCATTTTTGCGTGTACATAAGTATCACGTTGATACAATCTCATGCGAGATTGTTAAACATAGGGTCATAATAATCTTCCAGGTCTTTGTCGGAGACGACCAATACCGCAATATTACGACACGATTCTTATCTTGTATAAGCTTTAAAACATTTTTTTATCTCTCTTTCCTTAGATTTCAAACAAAAGAAAATAAGATAAAAAGCAAAAATTAAGATCTTTACTTATAGCTCTATTTTACAAAGATTTTTAATTTATAATTTTTATATTTTATTAATAAAGTAATTTATCTTAGATAAATAATTATTATTAAGATTAATATTAGTTGAGCAAAATTAAAAAAAAAACGAATTGCATATATTGAAAGAATATAGTATCTCAGCTTCTTATGTTTTATATTTTAAGAAATAAACACATTCATTATTTAAGTTTCTCTTTTTACTATCTTTTCCTAACTTTTTTATTTGTTAATCAATATTCTTTAGTCTCTCTTTAGTCATAAAAGCAAAGAATATAAAACCCTCGCAATTAAAAGACCTTATAAAATATTGAAAGATTACATTAATTAAAATAAAATAATTATCGTGTTCTTTATCATGTTCTCTATCATAAAAATAGATAAATAAGAAAAAGTTGAGTTTAATCAAATAAACAAATTCTTTAGTCTCTTTTTTACTGGGTTTTTTTAACTTTTTTATTTGTTAATTAGCATCCATTAAATCTTTATGATGCAAAGTATATATTAATTACAAAAAAAGTAAGTGGTTCCGGCCGGGATCGAACTGGCGACCTTCTGCGTGTAAAGCAGACGTGATAACCGCTACACCACGGAACCTTGATGACTTACATTCATCATTACGCCTCTGACCAGCTCACGTTTTGTATATATAGCTTCTTTTTAAATAATCGCTTTATTTAATATAAAAAAATGAAAAAATTATCATTTATAAGTTTATAATCATAATTATATATATCAGTTATAAAATCATTTTGGACATGTGTATTACATGTATTTACATATTATTTGTACTCGGTCGATATATTACAAGACTTTGTTTTATGTTATACAGATGGCAACTGTGATCCATACGTATATATTAAGACAAACTGCAAATTTATTTTACAAATTTTACATTGCATATGTGTTAAATTTTTTATATATCTTTTATTTTCTGTATTTTGAGTTTAGATATTTTGCTAACAATAAGTAAATAATATTTTTAATATTATCTCTTATTTTATGCTTATTTTACATGTTAATATGACTTTTTATATAATATTTATTGCTTTTTATTTATTATATCTGATATAATATAGGAATATAAATTAAATTTTATAAACTAAATTAAAAATTTTTTTTATATCTATTTTCTTCGTCTGTGCAATAATTTAATATTTTGTAAATTTAATTTAATTTAATAATATAATACTAAAAGAAAAATTATTAGAATAATCTTAAATAATTTATAATCTTAATTACATTACAAATAATATCATTGCTCTTGTTTGTCTATTTTTATTAACATGACAGTTATTTTATTTCAATTAATGTAATCTTTCAATGATTTATAAGGACTTTTAATTGCAAGGTTTCTAATATTTTTTACTTTGTGATTAATTTTTTGTTCTTTTTGATATTGTTTAAAATTTATTTATATAAAACTGCAAATACACAAAATTCTGCTCTTTCTTTTAATTATACATATAGTGATTTTATGAAAGCTAAAATATTAATTTTTAATTGTTAGGAAAAGAATTATGAATAAAATAATTTTGAAAACTCGCCAAATTCGGTTATTTCAATGATTTGAATGTTGAATTATTATTAAAAATAATTGTCATAGTTTTCTTACATATTGCATTTATTATAATTGCGAATGCATTCTATCGCTCTTTACCAGCGATTTACAACTGCTTAAATTGGCAATGTTAAAATTGCTTATTAACAAAAGTAATTTATCGAAACATTTGCGTATTCACGAGACGCTTTAATTTTATTTGAACGAATCACATTCGTATGTATACAATATGAAAGAGTTTACATTCAAAAATTTGTTCCAAAATATCGAAAAATAATTAATATATTTTTTATTAAAATATTACTATTACAAAATATCAATATATACAATAATAATATTTTTATGGTATATATAATATTAATGTTTGCGATTATTTTGTAACATTGTTATGGGAAACTGTTTCAATTTGTATCATAATGTTTGTATTGTAGAGCACATCATCATATACTTGATAAAAGATGATGTACTAAAGATATATAAAATTTGCAAGACTTTAATTTTTTTATATAATTAACTGTTATTAAGGAGATTTGTACTGTGGTTTATATCCCTACAGACATAATTATATTCGGATTATACTGATCATAATCCAATTATTTATTTTAAAAAATAAATTTATAAATATTAATATTTTACGATTCCTCTCTTCCTAATAAAATTAAATTAGTAATATAATTATATATATATGAATAGTAGTAAATTAGTGATTGGTATTAATAATTTCAACTTTATCGATAATACGAAAATGTATTAGAGATATTTTACATATATGACACATTGTAGATATCCTTATACAAATATAGCGTAATTAATATATATATAAAGGCCATATTTATTATATTTTATAATTAAAGATTTTTAAATTTGATGAGCATTTATAATGCTTGAAAAGTTACATCTATGTCAAGAGTCCTCGGTAGTATAGTGGTTAGTATCCCCGCCTGTCACGCGGGAGACCGGGGTTCGATTCCCCGCCGGGGAGGCCTCTTTTTTTTTATTTCGTATCATAATTATGTATTAAGTATTTGATTTTAATCTATACGTACTTTAATAAAAAAATAAAATTCTTAAAATTTAAACATTATTTTAATTGAATTATTGCTGCTACTATACACACCACACACACACACACACACACACACATTTAAAATAATCAATTTTCTTAAATTGTTTCATCAATTTATATTTCTTTTAATGAAAAGTTTATTGTATCATCTGTGTACACGATTTTTTTTATATTAAATATCTCTCTAAATATGTATCATATATAAAAAACTTAATTTTTTCTGTTTGTTTAATAGAAAATACTTTGATACGTTTTAATACCTTTTTTCAAAAAAAATAAAGATTATGATATATATATATATATTATTATATATATATATATATAATATATATGAAATAAATTTATATACATATTATACTTGTAATTTAAAAGACTTATATATATATATATATATATATATCAAGTATACTTAATTAAAAAAAAATTTGTTAATTTTAAATTTAAAAAGATTTATTTTTTAAATAGGTGAAACTCAGAGTAGATATTTTTAATACTCTAATATTTCATTCCGAATACTTTTTTTATTAAATATTACTTTTTAAAATAATTAATTTCTCATTTAAAAAATTATTTTAGGGGTCATTATTTTAATGATTGTGAGAGTTTAGCATTTTAGGAATTTCTTTTAATTAAATTTTATTCTCAGGTATGTCAGAATTTCTATAAATATAAAGATTTATATAATTTAAATACATAACACACACACATACACACACAAGAGATAACTTATTTTAGCAGAAGATTACTACTTTGTAATTTATATACTTATATAAAACAACATAATTGACAAATTAAACAAAAATATGTCAAATACTAAATAAATATGCCAAAAATATTTGTATAGGAGATAAATAACAAAAATAATTTTTTTTAATATACTGAAAACAAAATAATTGTTGTAGGAATATATAGATATATGTATATATGTATGTATAAATAGCACATGGGAGAGAAAGCATACTTTTATACAATTTACATTTGCATTGTAAATACATATACAATCATAATCACGCAAAAGAGTTGAGTTAAATTTTGATAAATAAAATATCAATATGTAATATATGTATAATGATTATAATATGTATAATGATATAATATAATATATAATGATATAATATAATAATATGATATATAATATATAATAATATTAAATATACGTATGTATATAATACGTGACAAATATCAATAACACACCAATTATATCCATAACTATATTGTGGTATTTGTTGTATAATATACATTATAATTATAAACTAATATAATTAACGATATAATTTTTAATGAAAAACAATTATTTTGATGTATACATATTTAAAAGTGGAAATTTCTATAATGCTGCCCTCTTTCTCATCTATTCTAGAAATATATTTTTCTAGTATTTTCAGGAATAAATATTTATTGTATATAAAAGCAGAAGCACGATATAATTCCAAAATATGATAAATGTATCGAGTTATTAACCAAGTCTGAGATTTAGATTTACTATTGTGCTATTAAGAGACGAACGCGAAGAATGAGCGAAAATTCCATGTTCGATATTATATTATAAATAAAATTTATAATAATTAGTTTTTAAAGAATGTATTGATCTTTTGATTTTTTGATACGATCAAATATAAGTTTTTTAATCGAAATTTTTAACTCGACGAGACAGCGGATTTTGCGGTTAAAAATTGACGTAATAAAAAATGAATTTAATACATCTCATTTTATTTAGCATCAGTTTCCCTTTTTACAGCTGTAGCGAGACAACAAGCAAGAATGATACCAGCAATCTAAAAAAGATAATATATATTATATCAAGATATAGAATATTGCTAATTTAAAATATATTTTCTATTTTAATTATAATAAATATCAGCACATAATTCTTTAATTGAACAATCTTTTTTTAGAAACTACTTTTAGATATATTACTTCTGCGTCAGCAGATTCACAATATTTTTTTTCTTACTTTAAGCTGTTGCTTAAAACTTGTTTTGCTTGATTTCAATGAGAGCAAGAAGCAAATTCCGGCACGGCATTGACTCGATATAGTTAATTAAAATATCTTGTGAAATAAATGAAACAAAAAATGTACTCACCTCCACAAAAGCTATCCCGATACCCACGCCGATCAAAACCGTAGCGCCCTTATGGACTCGCATTGACAACTTCTCGAAGCAACCGTCGCGATACACCTTCGAACTACCCTGCTGACAAATCACCTGCATATCTTCCGCGCAACAAGAGGCTGGAAAACTTGATGTGAATCCATTAGACGAGCTCCAATCATTGGGACCATCCACGCCGCAACATTGCAACTATCGTACAAACGGAAAAGATTAATGGGACGAATTAATGGGATTAATTAATTCAACAATTATTTAGGAATTTAATTTTCATTTACAACAATTAAATATTTAAGCCACGATTAAATTAATTGACAATTAATTATTTCTTTTTGTATAAGCGTATACGTTGTTATTTTGATTTATCAAATAAGGAAAAGATATTTAAGATGTTAGGAGTATGTTTGTTCAAAAAGTATAGTTTAAGAAAAAAGCAGTTTAAAATATATTGTTAAAATATGGCAGCACCACAAAGTTAGAACCGAGATTAGAGTAGTCAATGCATTCGCAATAACGAATAATTTGACTTTAATTGCTCGGCTATTCTTGCACGCAATGATCGTTTTACATAACTTGCGACCTATCATTATTACAGGAGTTGTCGGTTTACATTATTTTTTTCATGAAACGGAACTTATATCGATTTTCTCATCTCACTTTATTGACAAACCAATTAACGTACTACGTTCCAGATTCAGTATACTGACCTTTTTCTGTACGTTATCCCAGGCCATCCTGTCAGCTTCTGTATAATTCTTTATTGATTCCTTCAGGGTGTCTTTCATAACCATGCTGAAATCGTTTTTAAACACCGCCGCCGCTATGCCCACCGCGAGCTCGATCACGAATATTATTAACAGCGCGGCCGCAAACTATAAATTATGTTTGTCATCAATTTTATTTATCTAATTTTTTTACCACTTTCAAATTATTATTCAAATAAATTATTTATTTTGCTTTCTCACTAAAAAAAATCTATATGAAGATTATACAAGATATAAATGAAAATACATTAAACACATGTGTTTCAATCTTAGAAATCGAATAGAAAAATTAATTCAAGATTTTGATTAAAATTAATTAAAGTCTATTTACACATATCTGTGTCCGTACCGTATCAGTGACATCCGTGACCTATCAGTGATGATTATTTACACATATCCACAGTTTAGTCAGTTTGATTTCAGTGTTTTTCGAGATGGCTCAGTTTCTTTCATCTTTACGCTAATTTTATTCCAAATACTGAGTTTGAAAAAAGTGTTCATTATTTTGGATGCGATAAATCATATAATACAGAATATTGCCGCAATTTAATTAATTGTCCATCATACATATTTAAAAAGTTAAAAATGTTTGTATGAATATAGATGATAAACTTACGGGACGTCTTTTCTTAGCAACTACATCACTTTTTTTTAATTAAGTCGTGGATTTGGATGCAAATAAAATATTATATTAACCGTAAAATTTTACTATAAAATAACGTAATGAACATATTTTATTTCGATTCAAAAAGGAATGATATTTATTATTTATTATCACTGACACCAATCTCGTCGGTGTCACTCATACTCAAGAAAAATCACAGAAGTGAACAGATAGGGCACTGATAAGTCACATATATGTATGAATAACGGTCTCTTGAATATTTCTATGACAATATTTCAATGATAAATAATTTACATTTTTTAATTTATTTTTTATTATTTTAATAATTATTAAATGTAAATATAAAATTGTATTACTTTGAGCTTTTTTAATTTATGCGGTATATTTTTTAACTTACGGCGATCAACATGTTGTAGTGCTCCTTGATCGCTCCGTAACATCCTAGAAAAGCTATAACGAAAACGATAGCTCCCGCAATTATGAGTATTATAGGCGGTGCCAATATTCTGCCTTCTACAAAATGAGTGAAGTCGCCGACATCTGCTAACACACACGCACCAGCCGCGATGATACCTATACCGGATATCTAGAAAAAATGATTTTAACATTTACACGCAATTTTCTTTGTCTCCGAAAGTCTCTGCTTTACACCTTCTTGATTTTTTCCAAAAATTAAAAAAATGACAAATATACATATTTTTATATCGTATATAAAAAATATTTTATTGAATTTTCGAAAAATGATCTCTGTTAATAGTTAACAAAAGAATGAACGAAATTACATTCTCAATATTATGTACTCAATATATTTTATATTTTATATACTCAATATATTATTGAAGTATAATCCTCGAAAACGCTACTATGGAAAAAACTTAAGAAATGTATCTCAAATCATGGAATTCTTTTACGTGTAAGATAGATATTTAAAAGTGATCTTGTGCATTCCCAGAAAAATCAATAAAAATTGAATAAAAAAACCCCGGAAACTCACAGGAAAATTACCAAAGAAAGAAAAAAAAATACTTTTTATTTAAGTAATTTTAAATGGACATTTGCTATTCAGATTATTCTCAAGAAGATTGCTCTTGTCACTCACCGCAAAGATCAAATTGAAGATGAAGAGAATGTACTTGATGACATTCATCCCACAGGACTCCATGATGATAATTTGTCTCACAAATGAATCTTATTATCTTAAACTTTATTCCTCTAATTTGCAATCTACCTCAGGGCACTTCGCGAGGTTCAAAAAGCCAAACGCATAATCGACCGACTTGTGTTCCGCGCGACGGCCGTACAGTCAGTGGGACCGATCTAGGTGGTGACTCTTAGTCTGAGTCTAAGCGCAAAGGGTTTCGATCGAAATCCTCAGCCTCGAAGCGGCCGGTACGACAGACAGGTAGACACGGCCTCATTGGTTGTTCAAAGTGATACACCGGTCCTGCCGCGGGTGTCGCATTAGCGATCTATCATTGGTCGACGATCCCGGGAAAATGGTATAATAATGTGGTCGTTGATGGTAACCATGGTCACCTGCTCCCTGCAAACCCGGGCCAACCTGGCTCTTTCTAAAGAAAAATAGAAAATGGAACACGCTCTCGGTATTTGTGTGTAAAGGAATCGGCTTTGGGTTCGGTGTCCTCTTCGACTCTCACCTAGCCCGGCCATCGATCCGAAGGCCGTCGACTGACAACGCGCGAAATCACGAAGATCTTTCTTCAATTACACTTCGCATGTCGGTGAGACGTTAACTATTGATCTCCGTCTTTGTTAATTCTCCGTACATTTAAAATGTTGAAATATATGACGCTTTTTAGATAAGTTTCCTCTTAGGTACTGACATGACATGATAAACGAATTCGCCTGTTGAGACATTTAGATTAATAATGATTACGTATTTTCACAGATAAAGTGATAAAAATATTGATCAATTCGCGTGCGAGGAAATAGCTTAATCGATATCTCGCTATGTTGATTGCTCGGAGGCACTACGTTAAAACAGAGATAATGCTTAAAAATAGATTTACTAATATATTTTATTTATTTTCATAACTTTTTATTTATTAATTTATGATTAAATTTATATTTTTTCACATTTATTTAAAAATGTTTTAATAATTGTCTTATGATATAATTTTTTGACAATATTATTTTTAACATAGGGTACGAGGGACACGCGATATATAGCAATCCTATTTTACCAATTTGTAAAATGATAGAACGTTGTTTCAGCGCACGCTTAATTAATTCTAAACGCATTAAGTACTTCGCATTGCGGCGAAGGCCGATGTATGAATGCGAACATTGCAAACGCAAACTACAATTTTATCGGAGATCAGACAGACTGAACACATCGTGTTGAACGATCATCCCTCTCGGCGGTTCAATAACGTCACATTATTTACATGTCTACACAAAGTGGGTCACAATCGACTTGCGAGCACGTTTTCATTTTCGTGATTCAACGGCCGCGATAGGCGCCTATATAATACGCAATAGTTTTCTTTCGAGCAACTTCTAGAAAAGTTTTTGCGGTTCGCGTTCTCGCATGCACATGGGATTTGCAGGTAAATCTGCCGTTTCGCGTGCCGCGCCATGGGCGCGGATATGGGTTAATGGGGGCCGATAAATATAGTTGCCGTGCCCATTCTTCAGGTAGTTGTACGTATACTATACGTAATAGTACATGCATAACATGCCATGACTTAAAGTTCATCGCGACAAATATTTTTTCCAGTTTGCCCTTTATGAAGTGCATACGTATAGATATGTAATATTAATAAGGCTCTCAACTATGTATATATACTAATTCATTAATGAATAATTTTATGCTTAAGCTCGTGCATATGTGTTAGACCGAAATTCTAATAATAGAGATCAAGATAACGTTTACATTAATGAAGAATTTTATTTTAACAAATTCCTTATTACAAATGATATTAACAATAAAGAGACTGAGCTAAAAGAGACGTACACAGAAGAAAGTTTGCAATATAATAATCAATAAATATGTTTGCATTTAAAGTATCGAACGATAATGTACTTCCCATTTCTAAGATTTGTCCTGCAAAAGTGTACATTACGAATACAAATAGAATATAATAGAATACAAATAGAATATAATAATATCGTACTATATTTAAGTACCTATATGACTAATGCCGCTAACGAAATTAACATTCCTATGATAAGTGGACACTTATATGTATATATTGTTCAATATGTAAATTATATCTTTCGAAATTAATTAAGCAGATGCAATATTGTAAATTAAAACACAATAATATATTTTACACATATTATTTCAAGCAAAAATCATTTCTCGCTCAGATTTAAGATTCGCGCACGCGCGAATATCGAATAATATAAATTAAAAAATGCATTAATTTTGCATTATTTTTATTATTTAAAAGCTCAAGATATTAATTTTTCGATGTATTAATTTGAGCAAGTAGTTTGACATTCGCAGATACATAATAAATGTAATTACTATGTCTTGTCATTTTTCGTCGATTTATCACAATAAGATTTATAGTGAATAAGCTGCTAGTATTTTTTTTAAGTCACGTTTACATCAAGCCAACAATCGCTAACATCTCGTTCCTCCATAATATTCCAGTTGTCGCTAAAAATTTTTGTTATTCTTTACTGTTGATATACGTCGACAAATAATCGATGGGGGTTGTAGAATTCTCGTTGTTCCCTGCTTTAGGTTGCGCGCAAACGCAAATTTAGCTAATTTATTTATCCTCGTACAAGATGCGAAATTACTTCGAGCCCCCTCGGGATCGTTAGAACTTGAAATGTTGATAAGCGACGACGAGTAAGAATATCACGAGGGTCGATAAGTTTGGCGTGGTAAACGAACCGGAATTCCAACTGTCTGTCGGCGACCTGGAAGCAGTAATATTACAAGGATCGATAATTACATTCTTAACTGAATTGCGCATCTCATTACGTGCTTGTAAACATGGGGATTTCCGCAAATCGACGGAGAAATAACATTTTGCGCCGCGAGTTGCGTTATATCATTTTCCGCGAGTCTAATTACTTAGAAATTAGACGTAATAATGCATATAGTGGGACGTAAGATATCTATTTACATTCTAATGCGTTCTATATTTTAACGCACTATAAATCTGAATTGCAAATAAATTGTAGCCCGATTATATGTTGAATTAATTGCAAGTGGACAAACATCGTAAATATTCTCGAAAGCATTAAGTATATATTTGGTTTGGTACTACTTGAATAATAAATACACATAACATAATACACATATAATACATACACATATATAAGAGGACCAATTGTGTGATAAATATTATTGACGTAAATAAAGACACTGTGCTTCTCTAACGTAAGCGATGTGCAAGGAAGTTTGTTAAACAATTTTTATTTATTATATCTCTTGAAAATCTTTATTTATTATATCTCTTAAGAGTATATTTTTCAAGAGATATAATAAATACAAATTGTTTTGTTAAACAATTTTTATTTATTATATCTCTTGAAAAATATACTCTTTTTTATATAACGATTTTATCACATTGATAACACATTAATAGCTTTTATAATTGATGCAATGTGATATAAGTTTTTGACGTTATTTTTGAATAATTATTGGAGAAATAATAGCGGGGATATATATTAATCTTTTAAACTTTATTTATGTTTATATTATCTCACATGGAATAAAGCTCGTAAATTATCGAAGTATTATCATTATACTGTTTTATTAGCGTGAAAATACAATCTAAGCAAAAAAAAGAGAACGGATTAACTGGTTTCTCTCTTAATTCATAATAATGCATAATGCACGTATCATTTCGATCTAATCGTGCGTGACCATGAAATAATTTATAGAGGTAGTATTTTCACATTACAACATATTTTTTATTGTTGTAATCTACACTTTTTTACTTTATCTTTAGCATTCTCGATAAAAAGATAATCAGAGACATAGATATGAAACAAATAGAGGGAGAATATACACAAGGGAATAGAGAAAGACAAAACAATGTACACTTATTAAAATATCATCAAATTTACATATAAAAAACGGACAAACATTGCAGAGTAATGATCGGAGGAGAGAATTACATTGGAATTCCATTGCGCAATGTCGCCTCCTATACTAATTTTACGATTCAATTTATTAAACAAACGATAAATCTTCTTAGTATAAATCAAGTCATACATAAGACGTGATATTTTATAGAAGAAGCGTCTTGAAAAAAGCGAACAACGTTTCAACAAATGTTGATTCAATCATATAGGGGTTTTATTCAAATCTATCAGGATGATGGGTTTCTTTTTCTCTCGTCCCATTGTTGACATTTCCTTCCGAAGCATTTCAGATCTTTCTGTAATGTGCAGAACACAATGAGGTGCGGAAATCCAATTTTGTTTTCGTACAACAATGCGAGGAACATTTAAGTTACACAAATAATATTAATGTCATAATTTGATGATAATATATATTAAATATTATTCATTACTATATATTATAACATTAATATAATACATAAAGTATAATGGACGATACTATATAGACAATATTATATAGAAAAGCATTTACTACATTAAACAGTGATATTTAATTGCTACTTATAATTATTTTATCCATCTATTATATTTACATAACAATGATTTAGCAACAAATAATAAATCGACTATAAATAAACGTAATAAAGTAATGAAAATAAAGAACTCAATTCTATTATTTCTCTGAAAATGTAAAAATTATTACGTATGTGTAATTATTAATTATAAATGACATACAGAAATGCTACAAAGAAAGATATAAATTGTATACTCTGAAAATGTAAATACGAAGAATTGTTTGAAAAAAAGAGAGTGATTACAAGAGAATATAAAATGAAGGGATGACTTACTCGACACCAATAACACCACAAGCCCAACGGCTCCCGGCATTTCCGGTTGTCAAAGAGAGGCTGCTATTGCCTTTGCCAAGATCATCCTGATCGGAATGGACGACCATAGATCGTCCCAGGATACTATGTGGTCCGGTCAGTGAAATGATGTTGTCAGTGATATTTACTGTCGCTTCTCCATCAGAATTAGCTTGGATATTTCCCAGATCGCCGACATGTCTGACAGTATCTTCCGGTGCACCGTGAGTCACCTAACGAATTAATAATGTGAGCAGATCTCAAAATATAGTCGATGAGATTATTAAAGCAGAAACACGGAAATATATTGGATCATTGTATTTTGCTGTAAGATAGAAACAGTCGTGACAAAAATTAAAATTTTACATCTAGAAGAGAAAATGGTTCACATGCAGTAATAAAATAAATAATTAATTAAATTAATAATTATAGCATAACGAGAGATTGAAAGGCAGATTGATCGTTGCGAGAGCTCACGTTCTCAGGATTGAAGTGCGCTCCGGTGGATGTGCAACCGTCGCTCAAATCTCCCTTCTCGTGTACGTGAAAACCATGAAGCCCCTCTGTAAGTCCGTGGACTGTGCCGGTGATGGTGACGGGTCCATTCGGGACGGACTGAACGATCTTCAAGTTACCCGTGACGTTCCTCACGTCGTGCGGCTTTAGGGTAACGATCGCCACCAACTCCTAATCGAGCCGATTCGACGCGATCAGTATGATTATCAACGGCAATCCCTAACGTGTTTTTCAGAAGAACAGCAAAAAGCTTCATCCAAATCGTGAGCGAAATTTCTCTCAATGGAAAGTTAATTGGATGTCAACCTCTCTCTCAGATTCTTAATTTCCGACATTGAATACCTATTTTTTGAGGCTCAAGAATCGAAAACACATAAAAAGTGCTATCGATGCGAAAAAGACAAAGTTACGTATTTTCTTGTTCTTCCAAAAAATTAATTAACTACATTCTGACATTTGCGTATTATCGTGAATGAAATTTTTTATGTTAAAAAATACTTCATATATTCTTCCATTTATCATATTAGGTACATACATATATTTATCATCGTATAAATACATTACTATATATTCACAGATATCGTTTGATGACTATTTCAATTTGTGTAATGTCATGCATTACTATCAATGATCGTCGCAATAATAATTTGTCATGAACTATTGTACTGAAAAATCGACTGATCATTTATTCATTATCGCGAAAACGGATTAGTGTGCGCAATATTCGGATTGTTGTACGTACCTCAGCTGTAACGACAGTTGAAACTGCCAATAATAATAATGCGACCATTCGACTCATTGTGTGAACTGTAAATAGAAAAACAGAAGAGTACACGTGTAAAATTATATCAATAATAATTTTTTTCTTCCTTTTTCCGTCCAAAGTTATTATTTATTGCTTTAAATTATTTTTTCTTCGTTTTTGTCACGATGTATAAAAGTATATGCTGTGAAAGATACTTTTACAATATTTGAATATAGTTTTTTCATGAGATATGCAATTGTTATAAATATAATTTTGATGACAGGTACAATAGGTATTGTGTCATATAATTTTAGATTTGTGAGAGAAGATGCGTAAAACTCGAACAATCTTTTGCTCGAAAATTACAGAGTTACAAAAGCAGTTGATTCTAAATTAAGTCTACTTCGGAAGAGATCTCACCGTGTTTGTCTATTAAAAAGCGATTAGTAGTAATTTCTAGATCGGGGTCTGGATTAATTTATGCGTGCCTCACGTGCATAAGAGCAATTTAATCGGTGCGCATCTAGATCAAACGAATCTATTAACGTTTAGCCAACGATTTTGCGTTAGACGCTGCTCGTGGGATGGTAGATTTGCACGGAAAAAACTAATCGATATATTCTTGTGACGCAGTTTTTCGTGTGATTCACGAACAGCTATTTATTTAATTCGTACAAAAGAAAATACACGTGGATAAAAACATTCTAGGTCAGCAGAGAAGTCACTTTATGTTATCGAGTGATATTACAATCAGTCAATCATATATCATTTCGTTTATTTTCGTTAATTAATCCTTGTTAGATGTATGAAATGTACAATATATATATATATATATATATATATATATATATATATGTACAATCTCTTATTGTTAGTCATTCCTAAACCGTCAGATGACCTTCAAGATATATAACAAGTTATATGATAGTCACGCACGTGAAATTTTTATTCATGATTAATTAGTGGGATTATGTAATTTCAATAAAACAATAACAATAATGATATCATCGATTCATTCTACGAATAGAATCGATAATTAACATTTCGAATTCATATTTTTAATTTTTATAAGCCTCATGAAAGATTGACAAAATTATGTAATTTTATGTATAAAGTGTATCAAGGGTAATGTAATCGAACGTAATGTAATCGAATAATTGGAATAATTATATAGAATCGCATTGCAGAATCTTACAATTAATTTTTATTTAGCTTTATTTGGCTTTATTAAGCACAACTTATCAATTATTTAAATTTATATTTGTGTAAGTTGTTATACGTAAATTTATATAAAACTAATTTATATATAACAATAAAAATATTATTTTATGTGTGAAAGAAAAATTTGTGCAGAATGTTAGACTCATCAAATTCGATATTTCAAATTTTTATCTGTGCATCTCTTTACAAATATAAAATGTTTTTTATTTCTGTTATTATTTTGTCAATATTTCAAAAAACATATTTAACATTTTTTAACTTGTTTCAATATAATTTTAGTTAGCGCATTCTATAAAATTCTAGACGTTCCAAGTTGCGCGTTCTTTTCTCATCTCGTGTTTATAAAATGCGAGCGTATATTTATTGGAAAAATTCTTATCAGTATTCATATAATTAGTGCTAATACAGATATTCCTGTTACCATCATCTCTCTCTCATCTAAAGTATGTATATAAGTATAGCCAATCTAGATTCTCTTCTTGTCAAACTTGTCCTGTTTTCTTATTACCTCACTTTGTTACAAGTACATTTATTGTGAAGAGAGCAATTTTTTGATATTATTAAGATATGACATTGTGTAATATTTCTTCCTAAGCATTTTATTATTGAATTATATATAGATATTACAGTGTTTATTATATTAATTTTTTCGATATATTGTACTTTTGAGTTATCTCTTCAAAAATATTGTTAGAAAAATAATTAATTATCATACCGTTAAATTTTAAAATTTATATTATTTATTAATATATATGTTAATTGTTATTGTTTCAGTTTATACATGCGAACGATTGTTGGGAAGTTTATGGTCCAAGAATTAGCGGCAAACGGACTCACGAGTCATTTCGAGAGTGGCTGAATTTTTCGAAGGATCAGATATATTGCAAAATAGGTAAGTGAAAGCATCGACTCGAGCTCGGCAAACACACGAGCAAATAGTTCACGAGTGAAATAGCTTCCAGAAAATATCGATCCACGTCAAAGCATTCATCCACAACACCTGCGCGACTTCATCGATCAGTTTTATTCGCACGTTTTAACGTATAAGCACGGCGCGAACGCCTAACAAGCACATAGCACAGCAATATATTTTCATTCCCACCTTGGGAACGACTTTACATATTACATGCTGAAACCTATTCATTGGCTCTACATTACCTCTAGATTAATCAGGATTCATGAATTATGCGTTCCTATATTTCCCAACTATGATTTGCAACCAATTTACGAAGCATGTATTTAAATGATGTTGAAATCAACTTGGAGATTTGTTTTAACATCTGTATTTAAGTAAAGGTTCGAACGGTAATTCAATAACTACTTTGAAAAAATTTTTTTTTTATAAACAAAGCACGATTTAATTCTTCTCCATGATAATTTTTACGTCATTGAATAATATTTCGCAAGAAATAATATAGATGTCCAATTGTATTCTTCCGTAATTAATTGCACGATTTACGGTAATTGAAATTATTACCGTGAAAAGCCCATGAAACTTCAATTTGAGATCAGTTATCTGCAACGTTAAACCCCGATAAACTGCGCAATTGGCCACGTAATTACTGAATTTAACATTAGTGTATCTACGCCATATGTATAGGTATATCGACATTATGGATTAATATGCCATGCTCGTGGACTATTCCAGTCTAATGTACGAGCCGGCTTTGCAATGTAGTTTTCCATTGAATTTCCGACAACAACGCTTTATATATATATAGTAGCTAGATTCTCTACAGCAAGATAAAATCGTAATTTTCAGAAAAAATTCTCTCTACACCGGTATCATGAATATTTATTCATTGTCTATATTTTATTTATACACGTGCAAAATATATACCGGATTTACTTTACGCAATAGAAATATCGCGCATTATCGGTTTTAGATATATAATAACTACTGGTTGAATTTTTTTTCTCTCTTGAAAAATGAAACATATGTCTACATTAATTTTCAACTTTATACGGATTTGTTTCGGATTTGTTTTGTAAAAAATCGAGTCGTGTTCTACATAATTTATTCATATACAGTTGTAAAAGTTGGAAGAAATGTCGCGATAAGAGATAAACCCAGAAACGAGACAAGGAAAGGTAAAGATATAAAAAATAAAAAATAAAGAAAGATATCTTACGTGACGATGCGCTCGCGACCAGATAAATCGCATTGCGCAACGAAACGTCTTATCGCGACGGACGCGGAATTCGATCACGTAAGATATGGATCGACGACCGATCGGCGAGAGAGGAGCATGCACACGAAAAGTGAAAGGAGACCTACCGCGGGCACGATTTTACTGAACACTGAATGACCGATTGACTGACTGGCTAACTGACTGACTAAGTGACTACAGCTGCTGGACCCACTTATATCCATGCACGGGATTCTAATGTTGATCCCCCACCCGCGACTCACAGGCAAATCAGCCGCGAAGTATCTCGTAAACGATTATGCTCCAACGCCGCTCGGTGACCGGACGATCATCGAAGATGACGGAAGATTCCGGGCCTTTCGACTAACACAGGTCTGTTTCTCTTAGCGCGATCGTATGTTTAACTCACGTAATAATTTTAAGTATGCCATCATTTAAAAAGCATATTATTATAATAGCTTTTAAAAATGTATTGTATTATCAGCGATAATTGTTTTTTTTAAATGTCTTTTTAGATGTCTTTTCAAGGTTTTCTAATGGTTTTCTACTATTATAAGGTAATTAAAATAATTAGATAAAAAAATTATAATAAGCTTTATAACATATAATATTTTTTTATTGTGTAATATATTTTGAAGAAATTGAAAATTAAAAGAAATTCTTAAATGTAGTACACTACATTTAATTTATTTTGATAACATTGCGTATTACGGTAACAAGTTGTTAAAATTGAAAAATATGTAGATATAAAATAATCGATAGTATTTTGCATTTAGATTCAATGCAATGAAATTCGAAATATGTGTCGTAAAAATTTTATTGTTGCATAAAATTTAAAAATATTTTTAAAATTTGCTGTCGCGATAGCTTTATATTTTATTATAAAAAATATAAATAGAAACTTTATGTATGTACATTCATAAACGTGCAAAAAACATGATTGCTTTAATTAACGATCGCGCAAAATCGCACGACGTATAAAGAGAGAGATTTGAATGTATTTATTGACTTGAGGGTTGGAAACTTCCTTTTGATTGAAGCTATTACAAAGAACGCAGCAACGCGCCACACGACATATACGTGTCATTTAAATTAATAGGATAATAGTGAAGGATACTAGATATTCGCGAACGACTGCTCAACGAATCCGTTGAGAAGTAATCACCTGCAATAAGTATGTCATCAACGAATGTACACGAGCTCATTGACGTCGTGAGCACGAAATTAGCGTTGTTAGCAACATATTAACACTCGCGAGAAAACCGCTAACTTTTAATCTTTTTGCATGTCAAGTCGATCGATGGACTGGGGAACTCAACAATATATCAACGCTTTAATTATAAGACGAAGAAAATATTTTTTGCGAATTATTAATCGACAGCAATACTATAAAAATGTTTCAGAATTCGAGGCTTCAATTTTGATGTCTGATTTGCTCAATTTTTATTAATTAGAAAGATCGATTATTTTTTAAGATATGAAAATAATGATAATTTTCTAAGTATAAATGTGTTGACAGTTCAAATTTTTTTACATAGAAAATTGTGGATGAAAAATGATATACATAAAAATTATATACAATATGTTTTTTTATATTTTTGGGAAGATAAAATGAGAATAAAAAAATGTGTGCCATAGCGATCGAAAAAGTAATCATTTTAAGGGAAAACTTTTTATGCATATATACAAGAAATGCCGGATGTCACCTCAAATGGCTTCAAATATATTGCATCTGATTGACAACGGATAATTAATAATAATGTATGACTTACATAAGTTTATCATAATTATAAACACATCAGATATATTTATCATAATCCGTTGAATTGATATTCCATTTCCGGATATATAATTTTGTGAAATAGCAAAAATGTACATATACATATGTACAATGTTTTACATACGCAGTATTTTGTTATTGCATAGGTGAAGTTGAGGTGAATTCAAAATCGACACGTAAGCGATAGCATAAACGTAATGATAGTTATCGCATAATTATCATGTTAAAAACGTACGTGTGACTCACGAGGTTATTATCAGAAATAATTCGCTGTCCCGTGCCTCTTCCTCCTTATCGAAACCTATTATAACTGATATAACTCTCTCTGGCGTAATATCTTTTCCGTCGCGATTAATCGCGCGATATGTTATCGTCATATAATCGAGCTGCTTCAGAAATTATTTTTATCCACGTGTTATTATTTTTCAACATTTTCCCGTCTCACGTTCTATAACGTACAATAATATCTTATATCACATGGAACTTATAAGTGAGATTTCTTGTCTCATACAATTTTAAAAATACACGAATAAATATAATCACACAAATACATTTTACATATTTGCATAGAATTTACATACCTTGTTACGAGAAATATGATATTTATTTTGTCATAAAATATTTAATTTAAAATAATTGTATATGATCAAAAAAGGACACAACTTTGAATTTTATAAAATAATTGACACTGCAAAAAATGGAAAAGTGCAATAAGGTCTGATAAAAATTCTAATTATAATTGTTTAATTTTGTAATGCTTCATACACGGTGAACAGTCCTATCGTCGTTTTTAAAAGCGATTTATCACAGTCTGAATTTCATCACAATCAAATTTCAAATTATATTTTTAGATAAAAGAATTATTAAAGCTAGATTGATCAGAGAAAAATTGCCGTGATTCGGTGATCGTCACGGATTTTGCTGTTGTCGCCCATTGACGAAAATCCGAGCGATCGTGATGTATTTTCGAGTGAATCGAACGAGATTGATGGACGTTTATGGCGCATCCTGGCAAAGTGGGGATAATTATACTTCGGATTGAAGTCTCCTTTGTGTGCTTGGATTCTCTTTATAAAGGAAACCGGATATTGCATTTGCAGAGCTCTGATTGGCAGCTCGACTACGCAGTAACGTTTCGCACAATTGGGACTTTGTAATTATTGTTTCCGGCTAAATACGTATACAGATGGAAAATTTAATTAACGTTTCCTGTAAAATAAAAATCGAGAAATATCGCTTTATCACCCAGATTCGAACATAAAATTGAATTGCAAAAGAACGAAACTAATACGATACATACGTGCATCATAGGAACTGTCGCGATTCTAAATTTTAACGAAAATATGTAATATTCGATTAATTCGAAAAAAATTTTTTTTTTAAATTTATATTAAATTATAAACATTAAAACTACGATTAATAAGTTAGTCGTTACAATGTAACATTGTTATGGTAAAAATATATATCTGATATTATACATCCGAATCATATATCCGGTAATTTTTCACGTAGTGAGAAATATAATACGCCTGTCAATTTATAAGTGTTGTAAGAAAACTTTGAAAAATCTGCTCCAATTTTCGCGCTATTATGGGAAACTTATCTCCGGGACATTATAATTGATGTATTATAATGCATGTCTGCGAAATTGATCGGAAATTGCGCACGCGCATATTCACACGCAATCGTTCAACAATTACAACCAGTTTGATCTCGGAAATAGCGGAGCGCGAGCGTAAGGATATGCGCTCCTGTTGCGCGCGACGTGATACGCTGCAAAATAAAAAGGCACGCGACTTCGTAAAATGACGTCGACGTCGACGTCAAATATTAATGTAGCTGTCGCTCACATACGCGGTGCTAGACAAGCTGCAGATCAAAAAATAAGAAGAAAAGAGAAAAAGCGAATCACGACACGAAAAAATGATTATATTTTTTTTTATTCCACGGGTGACGAGAAGAGATCTTTGCCGAAATATTTTGCGACCCCGCATTTACAATTTCACGAGATGCCCGAGGAATTCCGAACAGCTTTAACTTTCAGCGCGTATACAGAATCGTGAAGATACTTATAAAACGATTTTAGAGAAAAAATTGCGATGCCATTTTTATTTTATTTTTGGAATGAATAATTTCTTGTCAAACAAATTCCAGATTTTATTTAAGTCATTGGGCAGTTTCTGAAATTGTTGAAAACGCATAAAAATTGCAAGCAAAAGACACGTCATGATAGTGCATTTACATCACAACTCGACAAAAAATTCGATTATGAAGCTGTGAGTCATCGTAAAATATTTCTAAAAAAAAACCGATTAACACGTTTCGATAAATATTAAATCGAACGCAATTTTTTAATTAAAATACACGAAATGTCTTTTATCATTTCGAATGATCATACGATTGTGTTTTATATAATGCGGAATATTCAATGCCGCTTAACAATGTGAGTGTTTCACATAATAAATAAGTCACCAAGATAATCGTTGAGTCTTTGCACATGCGCTTAATTCTCTGACGCGGGACTTACTTCTTGTAAATTCAATATTCATAGATAATTGAATAAGAAATATACTGAGAAATGTCATAAGACACTAAATATGCAGTTTAAACGTTACAAAGAAATGTTAGCCACTATTTTGCGCAAGACAATATTATTTAACTGAATACATTAAGCTATTTGACAAAATTAATTAATCATTAAATAAAATAGCGTAAATTTGGATAAATAGATAAATGACTAAATTTACTGTTGGAAAAAACGTAATAATACTGGTATTAATAGAAGAACGGAAATTTTCGTTTATTTAATTGCCAGTTATGACCATAGTAATTTTACTCGATACTTTGTCTTATCTGCGTATTTAGTCTTATCTGACGTAATAATTCTAATTGGCATATAGGAAAATTAAAGACAGTCAGTTAGTTATTTAAATGGTATTTATATGCAACTGTTTCGATAAAATGCAAATTTTAAAAAAATGTATGCAAAGAATAAAACATGCAATCGAAATATTTAATTCTGTTGTAATAAATTGAACATATTTATGAAGGTATGCATTTAAATGTGTGACTGTAATAGGAATAATTGCATAATTAATTATTGCTAATTCCTCTGGTCTCAACATAATTCCGTAACATTCGCAAAAAAGAAAAAAATAAGTAAGCGTTCATAAAAATTATATAGACGCTTTTTATATCCTCTAAAAATAATCGATCTTGCTTAATCGTTGTGAAAAATTCCAAAAACGCTAAGCAATAAAACGTTTCTCTAATTAGCTTAAGTATACGATCATTACACAGAAAAAGTATAAATTACTTTCTGCGAATGAGCCAAATGTTTATATCCATTTAAAAAAATAGATTTTTCATATTCAAATACTGAACAGTTTTAGGTACATAAAATATTTGAAAATTGAAAGAAGAATTAAAATGGATTAATAGTCATAACTCGTAACTCATTTAGCAATATTATTTTTTTCTCCTGATATATTTATCGAAGAAGTCAATCATTTTTCTCATTTTAAATTCACACATACATACATATACCATATATGCAGTTCATTGATTCAATAATTCGACATAAATTTTTTTGGCGAATTTAGAAAAACTATTTTTTTCTTACCTTATGAAGATTCTGCAGTATTTTTCACGTGATCAAGACTCGTCTGCTGACAGCTGTGAGGATGACACTTCCTTTCCTCAGTATTACCTCACTCTGTGACACACGTTATTGATGCACACTCGCGTGGCTCAAACTGTCGAGCATTGACTGCGTTTTACGACGAAGAAACTTGAAGAATCGAATTAAAAAGAAAAGGCGCGAAAAAGAGAGAAAGAAAAAAAAAGAGAGAAATGAGAGGAAAAAACGCGCTCTCTCACTGCTGCAACCGATTTATCGCGATTACGCGGCTTTAATGTCGATTCTCTCTTTTCAGAGATGTGTCGACCTTGCGTATACCTGATCGGTCGTCGACCCTGAGGATCCCCTCTTAGGATTCTGGTGGGTCCACAATCTTCTCTCCGGCAACGACACCACTCGCGAAAAATTTCTGCGGATATCTTCAGTCTCACGGTCTGATGAACTGCCTGGAAAAATGACGGCGCAGTAAGTAAACGTTGCACGTTATCTTTTTGACGATACGCGACCACAAATGCAAATATTCCGTTTCCCTCGATAATAATATTCAAGGCTCTTATTCTTATCTACCTATGTGTTACTTTTCTTGCGTGCAAAGAATGAAGAAATAACAGGAAATATAAGAAAGGCCAAATATAAAAGTTACGTTATAATCACGTGAGAGAAATATATGATTAAATTGTCTCTTTTTTTTCAAAGTAAAATATTTTACAAAAAATATCGAATTTTTTTATCATTGCTGAATGAACAAGTTATATTATAATGCTCCATGAATACACCGATAAACGTTTTTATATTAGATGTAATGATGATAAATGATTAATGAGCTAGAAGCGGCACGAATAGGGAAAAACATAAACGTACACGTCGACGCTGGCACTGGTTAGAAGAAACTGAAACCTATGGAAAGCACTTGTCTTCCTTGGACGATTACGAACCTCTTGTATTGCACATACCTACGCGTATACCGTGTGTCTCTTATCTCCCCTCTTCTGAAACATTGTTACGTGCATCAAGGTTTTATAAGTCTTTATGCATAACCCAGCTATAATTCGATCGACATCGTTCTATAATACTTCGTCCAGATTCTACTTAAAAACTTGAATAGACAGAAAGTAATTTTACTGCAAAAATAAATTTTATATAAATTGATGAAAAGACAATATTTTATATTTATTCGGATATAACAATTGATTAATTTTATCACGAAAAACTGTCTGCAAATTTTTTGAATGTATATTTCTATGATATTTGAATCAGATATTATTTCTTTAATAATTTTCTTATTGAATGCGAATGTTAAATAATCATTTATAAAAAAATCAGATTTTTTTAAGCGTATATACTAATTTAGTGCTCCAAAAGAATTAAATTGGACTGATAAAAAATTTCGATTGATCCAACAACAATAATAATTAAACATCGTCAATGAGGAACGCGATGATTGACAAGGTTCTCTTACGTAAAAATTCCCGTCGATCAATGTGAAATGTAAACCACTGCCGACTCCTTTCATTGACACACTCGATGCTGCGCTACAACGATGTGCGGTAAAGTGGCAATGGCGTAGACGATTCTCATTGTCGTGAAACGGTGAAATTACGACGCACCTCGGCGATTCGTCGCCTTGACCCTGTATGAGCAAAAGAACAATTCCTTTTGCTGCAAGATAAACCTTACCTTGAATGTTTCGAGATGCGAGCCTCCGGCTTCAAAACGCATGTTAGGATTGCTAATATCTCCGAAAATAAATTTCAGCAATCGATGATTACGCTATGTTGATCAAACAGAGATAAATATCACCTCTCATCGCAGAGAGACTCTTTCATATCTTCTGTAGAGATAATAAAAAAATTATAATGACGTATTATTATATCATTAAATGCGATATGTAGACAATATCTATATATTTGTGATGCAATCGTGATGCAATTATGAGCGTCACGATTTGCCTCCTAGAATCCACTTATAGGCAGAATCTATATCTCGGGATTTATCATCAAAGGTGCAAATGTAAAGTTAATCTAAAGGTTTGTTAAAATATTAATTTTCTAAAAATTTTTTAAAATATTAATTTTCTAATATATTAATTTCTTAATTCTGAATTATAATCAATTCTGAAGTATAACATTAAAGTCACATTTCATCAAGTTTATTCGATATTATTTTCAGATAAAGCGCACTTTGCATATTAACGCGATATATTGCCATTAGCTGAGTATCTAATTGCTTTACTAATTGTAAGATTAATTACAGCAAATGTCTCAAACTGGAAATATTCGAATAACCTTGCAAGCGCATTTTTTTTTTCATTCCACTAGCATTAAGGTAAGGCAAAGTAAATTCCATTAGTATTATCATCGGTTAAATATCTAGCTTCGTCTCCTTCCTTCGTGAATTAATGATTTCACGATATTCGCAGTTCGTCGACAAGTACTAAGGTCGTTTGTTTATAAACTCCGAATTTCGTCAGGTGACAGGTACATTCGAAACTGTTCTCGTTCCCGAGTTCTCTAGACTCCCGCGAGACTGTCAAACTAGTACAACCACCTTGAAGTGCTACTATCCAGCTGTGCTTGACCTACCTACCTAGACTCGGATGTATACCGGGAGATTCTACAGCCTCCGCCACGTGTTTTCTCTCTTCTCTTTCTCTCTCTCGTCGCAATCCCTCGTTGTTTTCCACGAGAGAGAATTTTATCGTCACGTATAATCGTAAATCGTCGCTTTAATGCGATGAAAAAATCAACGCATTGCGTCGCGCATTCCCGGGAATGATATCGAATTATGGCATCGTCAGAATTAAAGGACACTTCACGCGAATCGTTAGCGCGCGTAATAAATAACGCAGCGTTGCTGCGATCTTCAGCGTCCGGTTTTCATTCGCGTATGCGAATTATCGTAATTATGCGGATAAAATTCATGTACCGCGCTTGGAATGCTCGGAGAAAACGAGAATTCGAACGTATCATTTATTATGCACAAGTAATCCACCAAACGATTCGATAAAGATATACAAAAATAAAGGTATCAACCGATATTAATAGTAACAAAAAGGAACTGTTGAATATTAATGATGATGTCGCGAATTTTAATGACGTTAATTTATTTTTGATATTCAAATTGATCATTAGCCTCGAGATACTGGCGCGTATTTTTTTCGCGATTACATATTCCCATCGAACACAGAGTTCAACAACATTTTCTCACAAAGTTGATATCGTAAAATGTCTGTGTAAATGGATTTTTACTTTACATAAATATTTAATTTTTATTTAATCCTTCGCGCGTTATCCAAAGTCGAAGGTATATTCTCCTATAATTAAAAGGAATCTACCATCAATTAATGATCACGCGATATACATTTATATTTGTAGTGTATAAATTAAGCTTTTTTCTTTTTAGACGGTGAAAGACTTAGTATATAAAAGGCGCGTGAAATATCAATAGTTGAATAGAATTAGCGATCATTTATTCTCCGACGCAGCTACTGATAATATTCCTGAGTTCCTTTTGACAAAAATCCCGTATCATTCGGGTCAATTGCCATCCTCCACGACGCGACGGCAGGTAATTCGCGCAACAGCCATCACCATTCCGGTTGGATAGGCGCGAAAATTGCGCGTCCTGGTTTTCGCAGTTTTTTCACGCTCGCCCAGATGACGGGCCAGATTAACCTGCGGTCCGTCTAAGCGATCCGTCAGCTCGTATAGCGAGAGGAATCGGCCGCGGGGCACATCTCGCTTTCACTCGACTGATCCCTCGCCACGTGCACATGGAAATGCACGCACGTCGAGTCAAGTCGACGCACCGATCTGACAGGACGCGAGAGGAAGGCGAACACGGGCCGATCTGCGTTTCGCGGATCGGGTTCCAATAGAAGGCTGATAATCCGCGAGATTGCGTCTCGTTAAATCGATCGATCGGGACCCCCTGATGTGTTTCGGCCTGTCTTTCTCTCTCCGTGCTTGGGTACCCAAGAGCCAATCTACCTCGTCCTCGTCGTGACTCGTCGATGACGTAACGCATAAATACACGCCATAGTGGAGGAATCGAACCTAACCGGGGGCTTGTACCACTTCTTCTTCTTCTTCTTCTTCTTCTGCGAGGAGGGCAGTCTTCGAAGAGCGCTGGTCTCGAAGGCAACTCCCTGATCGGTACCGCGCGAAGATCGTTATCGCGGGAAGTGGATGAATCTCGAGCTGCCAGATCTTGTTGCGATCGAGTCGACAAGGATAAAGGAGAAGGAGGAGGCAGTGCAGCAAGAAGGAGAAAGAAGAGAGGTGGAGAAACAGCGGCAGGTCTTCAAAGACGCCATCGGGTTTTATCGTCAGACTCGCTTTATCCTCCGATCGACTTGGAGAACTCCTCGTTAGGAGGACCAGATCGCTAGCTAATTCGTCCGGCACGCTTTCCTAAACTCGCGAGATGTGGCGGCTGTCGATAGTGATCGGTATGATCGCGATTGCGAGGGCCGGACCGTACGACAGGATGATGGTCTCGATGAACGACAGAACATTATTCATCAGGAGCCTGCCCGGTTATCCTGGGACCAGAAGCGATCTCTACGAGGTCTACATGGAACCGTATTATTTCGTATGTATTTATGACCTTTTTTTCTTGTTATTCGGTGCGTTGATATTTCCCAATATTAATTACTGAAAATCGATATTTCCGATGATGTATTTTATTATCTAATTATATGTGATTTTATAGACACAATTAAAAATATTTTTACCGTTTTTATGGTATATAATTGTTTAAAATTTATAGAAATTTCGATATATGAATCGCTATTTCATGATGATTTGGTTTCTGTAAGTATAGAATTACATGAAAAAAATATTGTTATAAGTCACTGGATAATGTCATTATAGAGCTACGTGAAGTTACAAAACAAAGAAATAATCGCAGTTTTTTTTACTTTTGAAAAAAAGCTTTTAAAAACCATTAAACTCTAGAGTCTTAATCATACGCTTTACTTCAAAGTTTCTTGATTTCGATCGGATAATTGCATTGAATCTTGTAGCTTTACATTTCGAGTCTCACGCGAATTTTCTCGCGACCTGAAACGAATTATGTAATCTCGTCAGATTTATACAAAAATATTCAGTTCCCATCCTTTCACTTCTCCCTTTTGAAACTTTAGCAAAGTTACAATCGCTTCTTTTATTTCGCTGTTATATCGCTGTTTTATCGATATTAATAAATTATCGATCTCAAACTCGATATATGTAATTTCTGGTTAATGTACAGTTACATTTATTACCGTTTCAATGTTTTCAGTAATCGATACTTTATAGCCTTGCGTGCTAACGATAATAACCGTTACAAGCATCATCTCTTCCAACATTATTGAAGTAGCAATCATTTAACATTACTTGCAACCGAACAAAAATAATATAATTGTTTCATTATTAATATCTATACTACGTATCTATCACAGCTGCATGAACTTTTGACTTCAATATAAATGTTCTACACTACTATATATGCTATCATATGTATATATTTTTTTTTTATTTTAATCAAAAACTAATTTCAGAAAATGTGAATTCGAGAGCAAACAAAAATCTGCACCCTGTATCATCGTTATTTATATTTATTAACGCTTGTATACATATCAAAAAATGCACGGTTGTCTTCAATCTTGTCAAGTCGATGCATCATTTTAAACTCTACTCTACGAGTTATTCTGTCTCTCCTCGTAAACCTCCTTTTTAGTGTAAACATTTGTACGTGCGTGACTTCTCCTTCGCGAGACCAAGAACGTGGCGATACAATTCGTCGGTCCGTACACATCCATCTCGCGCGCATCTTCTATTATTAGTCATTAACCACATAGCGCATTAATACGCGGAAATTTGCATAATTAGCCGTCAAGTCGTTTAAACATCGGGACGAGCCGAGGACGTCAGGTCTGAAACGCGGGTCGCCCAGTCGACGCTTTCACCGCGAGCGCTCGTGCAGTTCTAACGAGTCGCGATTCCCTTCGTCCGACCTTGCGCGGAGTTTCTACTAGCCGCTTCATCGTAGATTACAGCCCCGTAGCCGCGCACGGTAATTGCGGATTTCACCCGTGAACTGCGCAACTTGGTCTAAAAAAAAAAGAAGAAAAAGGAAAAAAGACTCGTCCGCGCGAGGCAAAGCGTGGCGCGACTAATGCGATTCAGTAGATTAAATTAGACGGGAAGTACCGTTCACGCGAGTACTTTATAGTGTATCACTCGATACGCGGACGTGTCATTATCAATTTCCTCTTTACGTGTGTTCCCGCGGGAACACTTCGCTCGCTGCATTATCATGGATTAATCGAGCTGTAACAAATTGCTTCCGTAGATCCTGTTGCGTGGAATTTTCGTTCCGCGAAGTCTATGGATCCTCGATCGATCACGGGAAATCGATTACAAAATCGTATAAGATCTACGAAAAAAATATTTAAAAACGTTTATATTTCTTATGTGCAGTTTCCTTCACAAATTTGGAAACATCTTGCATTTTACAGTTAAACAATCGCTTGGCAGCGATCTGTGCAGATTTTTTGTATGAATATATCGTAAGATATTTAAATGACATTTTTATATCGTCATCTTATAACTTATTATATCTATATTTATACAAAAAATCTGCACAGATCGCTGCCATGCAATTGTTTAACTGTGAAATATAAGATGTTTCCAAACTTGTGAAGGGTACTGTATCTTTGATGTTGCTAAGTTCCAGCAAATAAAATCTAATTACATTTATAGTGGCTTTACTTATCGAAATGACGTGTAAAGTAAGTGCGATAATTTTTCGAAACGCAGGCAATCGGTTTGAAGGCCGTGGCGGAGATGAAAGCTCTCAGTGAGGATGGTTCACCGGTAAATGGAGCCCGAGGGATCCTAACGTTAGAACAGCATCCCGAAGGGGTGAAGGTCACGGGTACAATCACGGGATTAAGCCCGGGCTTGCATGGATTCCACGTGCACGAGAAAGGGGATCTCACGAAAGGCTGCAATTCGGCCGGACCGCATTTCAATCCGTACATGGTAACAACAATTTTCACAATTTGCAATTTTAATTGATGCTTCACGATGCTTAAAAAAAAATATTAATAAATTATCTTTTTCCATTTCTCGAAAAATACACGAGATGCAAGTTTCATATTAAAAAGCAATACCTAGATCTCGGTGCACTTGTTGTTTTATCAAATTAAAAATTTACAAGAACAATGAAAAATTTGGCAAACTGTGTGAGATATTTCCAGCACCTCAGAATCACGAAAAATGTATTCGCATTTTTTTCCCGCAATTATCGATTGATTCGATACGTGATAGCAGGACGAGATTTGTATTCATAAATGAATAATTGCACGAAAGTGATTGACCTACTTTTTTAAGTCCTTGAAGAGAAATTAATTGGAGAAGGTCGAGGATGAAAGAGAATTTGCAAGAGAATTTGCAATTAGAATTTTCTCAAGTTCTGGAAAAAAAGAAGCTGTATTATCATATCGTGGCATTAGAATCCATCAAAATGCAAATACAACGTGATTAGCAAAATTGATAGCTCGCACGATGCTGATTAAGCGATCGCGATCTTCTGCCGCGATAACGTATTATAAACTCTCTCCTCTGTTCTATTACGGTAAACGAAGAGCGATTACGTTTCAGGTGAATCACGGAGCACCGAGCGATCCGTTGCGTCACGTCGGCGATCTCGGCAATATCGAGGTCGGGCAGGACGGAGTCGCGCACATCGACGGTATAGATCACTACTTGAGCCTGGTAGGTGTTCGCGGAGCGATCGGCAGGGCCCTGGTGATCCACGAGAAAGCCGACGATCTCGGTCGCGGCGGTACCCAGGAGAGTCTGAAGACCGGGTCGGCGGGTGCCCGAGTTGCCTGTGGTATCATCGGATTTCTATAAAGAAACTCTTTTTCATTACTTTTGAATGCGACTATCGGATATGCATCGTTCACTAAAGACTGTCGTACTTGAATTCACGTAAAATTATGCTACGTACTGCAGCATCTTCTTAATAACGTACTTATATAATCAGCGAGATCTTCTTCATAATTCTGTTTTCAATATTTTTTCAGAAAATTCTCCCTTTTTATATTTTAAATCTCGAAGTTCTGTTTTTAATTAAATTATGTACTTTGTTTTTTTCGATATTTTTTTTAGCTAAATTTGTGTACAATTTAATACTCGTACATTCAATTCAATTCACTAAAAGAAATAGGTATTGTCTACCGCAACTTCGTTCGCTATTAATTTAATTGCATCCATTTGTACCAATCAATAAATTACAAATGTAATTAAATATATATCGAACGCATATATTACGTTCTTATTTAATCTTTCGTTTTCCAATTGCAGAAATAAAGTAAATAATTACAGAAAAGAGAAAGCAGAGATTAATCAAAAATATAGAAAATAAAAAATAGTCAAATGTCAAAAAATGGCGAAAGAACATTAAAAAATGATACTATTTTACACAACTAGAGAAATATTTAAAAAAATTTTAAATTCTCTACATAAATTACATAATCTGAATTTTGCACTAGAATTAAATTTGAGAAATACGAAAATTGAAGCTAGCGGCAGCGTACATCAATGTAATCAATCAAGAATTCAAACAAAAAATTTAACTCGGAAATCGGACCGAGTTTTGTCGCAGAACGAGATTTTATTGTAATAGCTTTTATCGCCAATACACATTTTTCGATAAAGTAAAAATTCGACAATATGATATAACCACGCACAATACGCGAGTATATTGAAAATCTAATCAATGATTCTTGATAAGAATTCGAAATCTCTTTCAAACATATACGCGTCAGTTTATTTCTATATACGTACACAATTATTACACAACTAGGACGCAGCTTAAATAATCTCAATAAGGAAAAAGAAGAAAAAACTTAACTAAAAAAAATATAAAACGAAACGTCGAATATTGTACATAGATGAATCGTTCATTTTTATCAAGAATTCACAAATACGAGAGTCCAAGAAGTCTACAAGTATTAATAAATTCTGGAGAAGAATCTCCAGATTCAAAAGAAGTCGCCGAAGCTGCCCGACTCAAGGACTCGTCCTCATTGTTTTCTGAGAGTAGAAGTGGTTTATTCCGGGGACTTGGACGGACCTCCGCGCATCTTCTCGACTGCCATCGGTGCCACTGGTTCGCCCATTTCCTCTAGGGCTCGCAGCATCTTAGTAACCACTTCCGGTGGGGAAGTCCTCCTCGTGCCCGGCGCATCCGGTCGATGCTGGAGATCGTTCTGCCACGGTTGCCACGGAAGCCCGAACGTTCGTGGCTGAAAATGAACTGCGAAGGACGTTGAACCCTCGGTTTCAATGTTCTATATATCTCATCGCAATGTTAAGCTACGCCAGGGGGTTGCGATATCGATCGATTCCGCCCCGGATTGCACCGCGAGAACGTGCAAAGTCGGTCAGCGATGTTTCGTATAGTTTCGAGGGGTAGTCGACCGCGAAATCTCATTTCGTACATTTATCACGAAACGTCTTACAACGTTGCGAACTACGATAAGTATATCTTGACAATATACCTCGATAAATCATTTATCTCTTCAGATATATTCTAGGATGACTGAAATTGTCTTATTTTCGGTTTTTTTTTCTTTAATCAATTTATAATGTAAAATTTTATCTTGCTGTTATCTGATATTACATATGTATATACATATATCTATGTTTTATATTATCTGTTTCATTATTATATTATCATTATATTTTGTAGAATATAGTAAAACTTGTATGAATGATCAATAAGATGGTTTGGTTTGTTACATGTTAAAGATAAGTTGTTATAATAGCAATTGTATAATTTAAACTTGCACAATTTAATGAATATTAATATTTTTTAATATGCTTATATGAATCAGATGATAAGAATTTTTACAAATATCTTGTTATATTTACTTTCTAAATTACATTTAAAAAAATAATGAAATGATCACTTTGCATCGCTCTCCTTTTGCTATGCGGCATAATTACTCTGTTTTTCATTAATATTAAATTGTAATTTAAACGCATTTCTCGAAACCGCGGCGCAGAAATGACTAATATCGCTACATTACTAGAAACATCCTGGACATCGTAATGCGGTATATCATCCAAGTCTTCGAAATCGTGGTTACTACGACCGCATCTAATGACAAACTGTACGCAACTGATGATCAGCTTTTTTGATGACCTCCACATAATCACACGCAAACATTTTGTCGGATGGATCGTCACGAGGTATGGGTTACATTGTCACGAGTTGTCGTCATTTCGCGTCACGTAAATATTGACAGAAGTGGTCAGACACAAGTTTACGTTGAAGTTCGTTACGCGGATAACAAAAACGAGCTAAAGCAGTTTACTATACATACAATCGCTTTTAAATACAATGGAACATTGATTGCTTTTATCAGTATATTTTTTTATTTAGAAAGTCCTCGTAATACTTAATTCATACAGAAAAATTCTTATTGAACTAATTTAATCAGTTTGTTAATGATATCGTCACAATCTCAATATGAAAAAATAAGTGTAATTTGTACTGCGATTTTGTATCACGGCACAATCATGACTATATTTGTTCAATCATTGACTTTGCATTTTTTAATGACAAACTTACATAATTAATATGTTGTCAGATTCACAAAAATTGACATAAATTGAACACTATGCATAAATTGAAATAATATTAAATAAATCACGACATTTAAATTCGATATTATTGTTTGAAAGGAAAACCAATTTTATAAAATTTTTTATATTGCTCTGCATATACACTTTCTAACATCAAATAATTTAAATATCGGAATGCCTGTTAATGTTATACACTTAAACACTCTGAGTAAATAAACATTGATATTACATTCTGAAATTTAGCATCAATTCAGCTACATCAATGAAACAATTTTCCATGATTTTATAAAATTAGTTAAATAATAATCGTGATACCTTAGAGTAGAAAAATTTGGTTTTCTCTTAAGATAGAAAAATTGATAAATGTGAAAGGAGAGCGTACAAGAAGAGTGCAGAATGTACTTAATGTTATTATCGCCTGCCTCTTCCTCTACCTCGACCTCCTCTGCCACCTCTTCCACCTCTAGCGCCACGTCCTCTGCCACGTGCAGCACCTGGAAATACAAGTAATATAATAACTAAAAATTATAGAAAATGTTAATGATTATAAAAAATCTCGAAAGGAGTATGGTAGGTCAGATATAAGATCATAATTATTAAATTAATATTTTATGTTTAGTATGTATTATATATTTTGTGTACCTCTTGCAGCTTCTTTCTTTTTAGCCTTAGCTTTTGGTGTGTCATCTATTAGCAACGTTTCCAAAGGAAGAGAATCCGGTAGAATGTAATATCTAATATTGTTTCCTCGCAGACTTAGAGTTTCTAATTGTATCGGATCACGATTCTTTATTGTCATTTTCACTGTTTTCAAGTGTGTATTCATTGCCACGTCTACACCTGAGTGTAAAATTTAATTTATCAGTAACACAATTCTTTATTAATCCTTCTTCATATGTAAAGATTATAATTACAGATTGAGTTATTACACATTAATGTTATATGAGTCTTTACCTAACTTAATACTCAAATCAATAACAAAATTTCTTTATTTACCTGTGATTGTGCCAGTGACTTGAGTGCCATTTTTCAATTCTATTGTCACAGTCTCATGACTGAGTTTCATCAAAAATCTGAAAGAAGCATCAATTTCCTTGATAAATAATGATTTGAGACACAAAAACGTGGGGGGTTTAGGTTAGGTTGTACAAACGTATATATTTTTCACAGATAATTCATTACGCGCCTGGATGATTTAATTTTCTTATACAGTCTTGTTTAATTTTGCACTTTTCGATGTATCTTACGTACCTTACTAGCTTCATGATTCGGCTAGTGTAATAATAACAATTCAAACACTTGGTCTTGGCACCCGGCTTGGATTGTCGAGTTTGAACAAATATGTATAAACTCCTCTGTGTTCATAGATGGCAGCAGAAGTTACGCGGGATCCAGAAAAGAAATCAGGAAAATAAGCTGTTATTTATCCACTTTATTTTTATAAATTTATAAAAATTGAAATTTGTATGAACAAATATTGGGAAAACAGTTAATGAGATTTTCGTCAAAAATTTAATTGTTAAATAATACAAAACTTCATATCTGTATAAAATTCTGATCACTCCTTTATTTCTTGCATGTAAGAGGCACAATTGAAACGAAGCTATAACAAAAGTTTGTTAACTATGTACACAATAATAATGTATATTGATTGTTTCTTATGCTTACAGTTAGAAATTAATTTAAACAGATATGCAATGACTGTGCGCCTTTGCATTAATTAGCTTCAAGATCGTTCCCATTCTTCCTCCTGATCCTACGTCAAATGTTCGTGGAAATGCTGATCCTGGGGATCTGTTATACAACGATTGTATACATTGTTCCCATTTCACAGGCGATACAATTTGTTTCATTAAAAATTTCCTAATCATTTTTGGATCGCTATAAGGATGCGCATTGTAATTTGAATAAACTTGACACCTAGGTCTATTTATTTCCATTGTGTAAAGCACTTTGCTGAAAGACTTGAGTGCAGGTTCCATCAGTTTTGTGTGAAATGCTCCTGATACAGGTAGTCTTGTTAACTTCAAAAGTTTATATTTTTCTGCATTTTTTTTTATATATTCGAGAGCCTGAGCATTTCCAGCCAATATCTTTGTTTGTGTATACACATATATTGCCACCCTGTAAAATGCAATCTTGAATATAATATCTGAATACAATAATGCTATATTTATCAATTGTTTATAAATTCCTACAAATTTTAATTAAAGTACTATAAATTAAAATTTAATCGTAACTCAAGTATTTATATTAGATTCCTAATGTAATAATAGCATAATTTACAAATGCATGAAATAATTCTTACTGGCAAACTGGATCCTCTACACCATTATCCATTGCCCACTGCTTAGCATCCTTGCATGCCTCCGTTAATTTAGCTTCTGGCGAGCAATAGACTGACAACATTCCTTGCGGTGATTTTTCAGATGCGTACTGCATAGCGTTGCCCCTGACAGAGACCAGTCTAACGCCATCTTCAAAGCTTATAGCTCCTGAGAAAATCAGAGCAGTCAGTTCCCCCAAGCTGTAACCTGCGGTGGCTATGCAAGTCTCAAACACTCTGGGTCTCTCCTCGCGAAGCCGCTCCAACGCAGCCAACGAAGTCAACACTGTGGCTGGTTGATTGAAGCGGGTCTGATTCAGCTTCTCCTGGGGACCGTTCAGACACAACTTCAGTAGATTATAGTCCAGAACCTCGTTGGCTATTTCGAACAACTCTCTCGCCTGCGGGAAACGTAAGTACTTTTGCACCTCGCCGACTTTAAGGGTGCCCTGTCCTGGAAAGAGCACAATGCTGGTCTCCAGCGGTTCGAGCTTCGGTTTCGCCACCTCCTCGACGGAGGTCGGAACGTTGGCGGGATAAGGACTCGTCGCCCAACTCGTGTCCTTGGCATCGCTGTAAGTAGCAGCTTCCTTTACAAGACGAGCAACATTTTCCTCACCCGTAGGAGTCTCAATGTCGCTCGTGGGAGACTTATTTTGCGATTCTTCCGTATTTGACAAGCTGTCATTGTCAATCTCTTTCGAGGAAACGGATTCGGAAAATTTCCTTACCCGGCTTAAAGATAATAAACGAGATAAATTGTGCGGTGTTTTACCGAACACAGCTCGCTGAAGCATTGTTACTGATGAAAACATGCTGGCATATTGTTTTTTAATATGTATTTCAAACTACGCTTCATGTGTCATATATAAATTATTACATACGAATTAATTGATGTTTTATCACACGTGTTTTCGGAGATGCTTGCGAGCGGCCATCATTAAATCCCCGCGTCCAACAGTTCCATCTACCGTTGAGAATTGAAACTATTTAGCTGAATCTACTTTTCTCTACAGTCAGTAAAATTATGGTTTTTCGGTGCATGTCCGTACTAAATTCTGAATTGCGTCGTCTGCTTTAAACAGGCGCACGCGCGCTCGATAAGGACATGTCTCCTTTAAGCAGGCGTGATGTCCGCGCTTGTGCGACACATTCAAGCGCATCTGCTTTAAGAACGCGCGGCTCTACGCGATTCCACGTGCGTTCCATCAAGTCAGACACATCTGCTTTAAGAGTCGCGCGATTCTGCGCGTTCTTTTTTTACGCATCCCTCGTCTCTTTCTGACGCTGTACTCTTCGGAGTATGTATATTTATATATGTACAATCAATTATATTACTATTATTTTTTTCGTATGCAACTATTACAAAATTCTTGATTTACATTTTTATAATTTTATTTTTTTTTTAAATAAAATTTAGTATTTAAAATTAAAATTAAAATTAATCACTAATAATAAATTTTCAATTTTATACAGACAAATTTATATTTAACGAGAATTTGGAATTTGGATCGATTAATCATTCAACTTAATAGAATTAATATAGATCTAAATAAATGTGCATTTGACAAATAAAATTTACCTTTATATTTATTACAAGTAATCATTATTTTTATATGTATAAATACTACATGTATGTATAATAATCGACTATAATATATTATGCCAAATTGAGAGCAAATTTCAATTATTACAAGCCAATTATGTGTACTTTATTATCCTGTGTATTATACGTACATATAATGTACGTAAGTAAACCAGGGTACGATGTCAATGATATTCTTGCGAAATCATGCAAATCTTTAAAGTTAGGCCACAGTAATTGATCTATAAATAGTAATAATTGAGCGTCAAGCAATAAAGTCTCTTACGTATTAAGTGCATCAAAATTTTATAATGTTACACAAGATATTAAAAAGAGTAAAAACGAAAATAAGAAATTATTAGTTATGAGAAATATTAATCAAATTATGTGTAATCTATTATGACGTCTATTTTACTTCATTATATTAATAACTTGTAATATTTATTTTTTATATATTAGACATATTTGACATAACATGTTTTATATATTTTCTATTACATAAAAGTCTGCTAATGGGAAAAAATAATATAAAATATAATGTATCAAGAAGTAATTATTAATTACTTAGTACTGAAACATCGAAAATGAGTTTGACTCGTCGAAGAAAATTAGAACCATATTTTATTCTTTGATTCTCTAACGTCTATTTAGCTTTTCCATTAGCTTTTTCAACCAAAGGAATAATAATCGTTGACTTTTCAATGTCAACGCGCTCATGAAGTTGCGTAAAGACGGGTTAATTGTTGATGCAAATGTGTGTGCACACGTGAAGAAAAAGGAGCTTCACGCCAATGATCATCGCGGATCGTGTGCCAAATTATCCCCTCTCTGATGAATAGGGGTACGCACTTTCGAAGGTACGAAAGGGGGCGCAAAAGGTTTCGAGATGCTAAAATAAAAGCGAAACAACAGAAGGTCCGCGAGAGTGGCGAGTCTGTGCACGCAAAAGGGTGGCTTTTTTTGCAGTACGTGGGAGTGCGTCGAAAAGAAGGTATCGCAAGTATCCAGCATCCCATCTTCGGTTGCAGAAAAAAACACAAAGTGAATAATAGTTTTCATACAGTGAAATTGTCTTTCGTCGTTATACCTTTATTAAGGAATTTTCCGTGCGAGCTTTTAAATCGCTTATTGTAGAAATTTTTCTGAACTTTCGGCACTTTGAAAATATTAAGAAACCTTCTATGCAGAAAAAATTACTCTGATCTTCTCTGATCTGTCTCTCTTCTAAAAAAATATGATTTAGATTTACACAAAAGATATTATATAAAATATCTAAACGATTATTCATGCAGATAGATATTCATATTTTTTATATAGAATTCGTATTTTGAAAATCATCACCATAATTTTGATTTATTTGACTTATTTAAATAAGAATTATAATTGAGAAAGAGAGAGAGAATTTATTGCACATTTTGCGTGTACTCAAGATGCAATTCGGAGATTGATATGACATTTAGAATTTCGCCATAAATACCAATTGACTTTATAAATACTTTAGCCAAATGGTTTGTTGTATCTTACGATGACCTCTTTTTTCACACGATATATGTACATATACTGACACTTGGCTATAAATATAGTCTTTAAAAATTAAATCGGTTTGTTTTTGATCAGATTCTTTATACTCAAATGACAATAAAAAAGGAAACAGAAAGTATTTTAAATATTTAATAAATTTCTATAATAAAATTTATAATTAATATTATAAAAATCCAGAAAATTTAAAGAAGAAACAATTTTTAATTTTTAATTTTGTTCATTAAATTAATTCAAGAATTGTGATAATTTGAAGATAATTAAATTTATTATTTATTTTACACGTTTATTCGTTTACTCTTACTGATATTTGCAGGTGCTGAATATCGAAGTAAATTTGTGTCGAAACTATCATGTGGGACGACGAACCTGCAGCATGGGATGTACAGGAAGAAGCACCTCCTGAAGCAGCTGCCGAGGGTGCAGAAGGTGCGCCGGCTGAAGGAGCTGCTCCTGAGAAGCCACGTCTGACATTATTAAAACTCGAACCACCCCATTACAATCATCATTGGGTTCGACCATTATTTCTCAACTACGACTATCTTTACGATTATAGGTGAGCCGATCGTACATTAATAAATTAAATCAGAACATTCAAATATACAGATTGAATCAAATTAGAAACGATGCAATTGCTTGATAAAATTAAGTAGTTTAAAAGTTAAACTGTGCCTTAAAAAAGAGATGTTTAATTTTAAATTTTTAAGAAGAATATTTATATATATACATATAATTGTCTCATTTAGTGTCATATATACTTACTAAAGTTTAAAATTGTTAAATTTTAAAGTCCCGACGATCGATTAATTACCTCTCAGACCCAATTTTAGTACATTCTTCTTTATTTGATAGGAAGAATTATTACGACGACGTGATCGATTATCTCAATCATAGGCAGAAGGGCCTATTTCGCGAACCTCCTAGGGCCCAGGAATGGGCAGAAAGAGCCATGAGAACTTACGATCAGAAAAATACGGATAAGAGCTTTAAACGTTCATCCGATATGAAGTACATCACCAATATGGATCTCAAGTCCAGACATTATAGTTATCATACTCGCGCCTATTACAGCCTCAAATATCAGAAGATCTTGTGAGAAAATTAATTTTTTGCTCTATTAAACGTTGTTAAGAAAGTCAAAAGGTAACTTAAATTTTACATATTCATATATACGTCTATATACGTCATATATACGTTCTATCAAGAGATCGAAGCATCTCTATATTAATATTTTTGTTTTAATATATATTTTTTAATCGAATCAGATACATACATTAATATAATATACAATTGTTTTTGTTATATATTTTTGCAATTCCGCAATTTTTATTAGATACTTTCTATAAAATAACACTGACAGTAATATTGTAATTTAAACGTAATTGACATTGATAACGTTGAAAATGCAATTATTGTTACATATCGTAGCAAAATGCATAATTATAATGATATATTGTATATTTGTATATTAATTTGGTACATGTACATTGACCATTAGAAATTGCCATTGTAAAATATACGGCATTATAAACATTTCAAACATCAAAATCTTTCTTTTCAGCTAATACTTGACAATCAATTTTAATTCTTCTAGGAGAAGCTTTTTTCGTCACGTGGAAAAGAAAATGTATATATTATTTTCTCTATCAAAAAATATCTTAGTTTTTTATTAACCTTGAGAATATCTATTATATATTGAAAAAGATCCTTTAAATTCCAAGAAAACTTCTCTCTAAAATATCTCTTGATAAATTTCAGACATTCCATATATAATATTCGATAAAGAGCAGATTCGGTTCTTATTAAAACGAAACCCTCTTCTTCCTCTTTGACAATTTCCGTTTCATCGGCTGCATCAGGAGAGAATCCAGCGGATCGTCAATTTCGCGGGTATCAATCAGAGAGTTGATCCTGCGCTGTCTACCTGTTTGGTCAGCTTTCGGTTCCTCGACCGGCACTCTGGACCACTTCATCAGGAACGTCTTGGGCTTCTTCGGCTTCTCCGGCATCAGCTCCATATTGGCGATCTTACGCGATCTATCAAGTTTCTGTGCCAACGACATCGATTCTTCATCTTCGTTGCTTTGATTATCGAACTTTGTCGCGTGCCGCTGGAACACTACATCAGCTGCCTCCAGGGTGTTCTTGGCCTTTTCAATTTCAGCATTCAGATCGATCACATCAAACATGCGATCCTGCAACAAAATAAGTCCTCTGGATATAGTAAACATTTAAAAAAATATATATATCCTTAAATTAATCTTTCACGCGAATATGCTTCATTCTTTTAAATCCAATTGCAAATTGTTGATCTATTTTTTCGTTTAATTCAACCTGCATATCTCGTCTCTTGCGTCTCAATTCTGCCATATCTTCCTCGAACGCGGCAGCAGCACGTTCTTTTATGCGTCGATGATTTAGCACAAAATCATCCTCGTAAGGATCTTCTTGAACGGGTCGACCACGTCCGTCGACCAGGAAGTCCAGCTCGTCGTAGAAATCGTCACGATTTCCCGATAGATTACGGGAACCTAAAATGTTAGTAAACTCGTGTTAGAATTATTATATTGTTAAGATAATATTGAACTTGATTTTTTATGCAACTTAAATTTCAAGTTAAAAATAAGTAATAAATATATGATTTACTTATAATAATTTCTGTGCAATTACTAATTGTGTTATACATAAGTATATACATTTTAAAGTTAGATTATTTTATATAGATATAAAGAATTATTTGTTATATAATTTTCAAGAATTATATTTATCAATCTTACTTTATAAAATAAATTTCTTACCTGTAGTTTTTCTATACAGCTAGTGAGAGGTCTGCATGCGGAAAAAAGGGGAAACAACAAGATATACAATGAGTAAAGGAGACATGGAAAAATTTGTGATACATACATGTCTTTCGGTTATATATCTGTGCTTCTCGAAAAAGATTTTCAAACGAGATTTATTCATAAATAAGAAAGATGAGGTATACATATACATGTATGTTGAATCCGGTTTTGTAGATTATGTTTTCTTTCGAAAATTGTGTTTTTAAAAGTTTGCATTACAGAAAATTTGTGTCCCGAAAAATCATTTTCGGAGCAGTTATAACAGAATATGATTCTTGCGTCTATCGTAATATATTTAATATGAGAATATAGATTTTCTAAAATGTGTCTCTCTTTCATTATAGGAACAATCAACAGCTTAAATCCTCGAATCACAGATCGAGGAGCAGAGAAGCGAAAAAGTATCACGATACGAGGGATATCGTCCAAAAATATATAATATTAAATTTTGAATAATATAATTAGTACAACGTCATTTTAGAATTAAACTCGTTCATCGAATTTTATATAATCACAATTTATAGACTAAAAATAATTTAAATAAAAATAGAACTCGTAAATGTCAATTAAAATCGAAAAAATAATTTCCAGCGAATAAAAAATAATTGAACTTGTGACGATTAGTAAAGCTGCAAATAATTTTTATTTTAAACCATTTAATTGTTATAGAGGAATAAGAAATGATGAAATTAAATATATTTTCGAAAGATGTACCTCGCATATTAACGTATAATACAGTTATATTATAATTATAGAACTGCGCGAAACGAACGTACGTGTTGTATCATGAAAATATAAGATACTCTAAATTGTCAATTAAATTTTATTATATTAATGCAGCTAATGTACGTTCCTTTCACGAACAAATCAACGACATTGTAATTGCACGGCCGCCAAAAACGCAAACGCGATCATTATTTAATGGTGTATATATAATACATATTGGAAAAATTTTATATTCGTATATTATGAAGTATAACAATGTCTTATAGCAAATCGAATTACAATTGTAATACATTGCAATTGAGATAGCCAAAAATATTATAATTATAATTAAATAATTTAAACTTTATTTGACACATCTAATTTAATTATTTGAGGAAGAATTTAACAAACGATAAAATTCTCCTTTCGGTATATATTTTAGATTAAACTAAAAACTTTAACATTTAAATTGAAAAAAGTTGCTTCTATTTCAGCTGCAATTTTCAAAAAATTCTCAATCTCTCTATACGGATAATCATGACAAATATAACGAACAAATATATTAAAATCGGATCTCTCTCTTCCAGCACACGGATCACAAAAACAGAAGTCTTCAGGGTACAATATATCTGTACGACCGTAAAAGACCGTCGTGCGAAAATAATAAAAGTAGATCGCAAGATTTACATATCTAGAAATTGACGCGCTTCTCCGCCCGTTCGGCACTGCGTACCGACACCTTCTTACTGACGGATGACGACTGTTGAACGACCTCATCCGCGGTTTCGTTGACCAGCGCCTTGAGAGCCGCCGCTCTGCGTTCCCTCTTGGCCTGTCTCTCGGCGATCTCCTCCATCTCGGACTCGAGATCATGAAGACGCGCCTTCGTCTGCTTGGCTCGGCTGGCGGCCGCGCTGCTCGGTACCAGATCGTCGTCCTCGTTGATCAGCTTGGTCCACCTGGCGAACAGGGGCTTATTCTCGTCACCGCGTTCGATCTCGTCGAAAAGCTTCGAACGCCTCTTAAAACTGCTCTCGGCTTCCTCGATCGCCGTCTTGGCGGCGCTCTTCCTCGTGGTTATCGCGTTCTCCAAAAGATCGGCCGCGCTTCTTCTCGCCTGATTCGCGGCGGTCGAGGCCTCGAGCTCGTCCTCGATGTTCATGGCCGCCACTCGAGCTCGCAAACGCCGGGTCGACGCCGTCACGTCGTCCGCGAACTCGTCGCCCATCCTGCGACGCGCCGAAATGCGCTGCCCACGGCTGTCGTAGACGGTGTCCTCGTCATCGGGGGCTACCAGGAGGTCGGTCAAGGGCGGAAGTTGGGAAGCGCGGTTACGGGAGTCAAGGTCGAGGTCAGGGTCGCAGGAACCGGCTCGGGGACTGGAGAGGTCGCGCGTGCCTGCAAAAACCGATATCAGAAAAGAGCGTTGACTTGTGTGACTGGTGTGTGAGTGGAGACGGATAATGAGCGATGATGAACGGTGAGTGACGATGGGCATGTCGCCGAGAAGCAATGTCAAACGATCGAAGTTGCGTCAACGATTTCAGATGAAAAATTCATGAGAGATGGAATGGATCGGAGGAAAAGATGGAGAATCTCGCAAGGCCGCGATTCGATCAAACCAGCTATAAATATTGCGCAATCTAAAAATATATTCGTTATTATATTAATAAATATGTCTCTATGCATCAAGATATATCATAAATATGGAGTATTTTTTTACTTTATTCTTAGGATATAATCAATTATAACCAGTGATGGTACTGAGGGAGGGTGCAGGTAAAACAATATTTCATTTGAAATGCTTTTATTTAAAATATCATATGGTTCACATTATATGCGACAGGTAATATCGAGATATAAATCATTCGACTTAATTCAATTTTCTTCTTCTGCAAAATTTTATTTCCAACACTGGTTATAATTTAGCTTAGAATTCTAATAAATCTTGACGTTAGGTGCAACAGTAACGGAAATACATTAATCATAATAACAATTTACAGTGGCATAAAAATTATTAAAAATGTTGACAAGTTTTTAAATTATATAAAATATATAAAAGACATATATTAGAAGAAATCTACACACATGTCATCATATATATGTGATTGAAAAAATTATAAAAATAATTTTAACTTTTTATTTAATTTTGCAAAGTACGGAAATATGATGTATAAAATTGAAATTGCCATTGCCATTGTCTGTGAAATTATTGCTTGTATATTATTTATAAAAGATCAGCACACTGATTACATTACATAGTTCTCTACTTACAACGATTCGTCTTCGGCCAAGTAAATTTTATACCGCGAGTTGCACGTATTTTTAGCGTCGTTTGAACAAAAATAAATTCGGATGCGCATCGCATTAACAATCTGGCACATCTACAAAATACCATTAATATGACTATGCTAATAAACTAGTAGCACCTAACGTCAAGTACAACACTCATCTTCATCCTCCGCGTTACACCATCTGCGATCATTAAGAACGTACAAGGTGTCCCAGATAAGTACATAGTTGAACATGTACATTACATTCGCGTTTTCTCTCAGCAAAAAAATTAGACATATAGTTTAACTACTTAGATTTTGTAAGATTCTCAAATACTTAATATCTTTTATCTTGCTACTTTAAATGTTTCCAATTTATAGGCCTATACAGAAGATTATTTTTCGATTCTTAATCTTTAAATAATTCTCAACAATATAAAATAAAAAGTTACAAGTCAATCATATTTGACTGACGAAAACAAAATTTTTCTCCGATGACAAAGTGCTGATAGACTCTTTCTTTTTTTTCTAGGACATCCTGTAAAGATCGAGAACTCTGCTATTCCTCGAAATCCCGATTTAATTTTATCATGCTGATTCGTGTGCAGCTATGTAGAGACGTAAATTTAATCTTCAGCAATTGAACGATGACTGCCAATTTTATTGCAGATGTATTACTCGAGAGGACACGTAAAATATCTTAATCATAAATCATAAATCGCCTCACTGTGTCTGTGTCGATGTGAGACGCGAATATATGTGGCTATGTACATGGGTGTGTGAATCTGTATAAATGTCCGGAAATCAACGGCAAAGGTAAAATTTCAACGTCAGAATCTGAATCACGAATCGGTTCTCGAGAAGCTGGCGCGTTGCAGCCAGTTGATCTTATAGATTATGTAGATGATCGTCGCAGCAAGCAGCAACGTATGTACAGTAATCACACCAAAAGTTTTCGCGTAAAGACACGTGGAAACTTAGGAAACAAAACGTTTATTCAAACAAGATGATACATCAAGATCAAAAGACTAACTATAGACGACAAGCAAGACAATAAAGATCGATGCACGCAAAAGGATGACATCAACATCTAGTCAAACTATTAGAATGTGAAGACCTCGTTCGTTGATTACCAGGACAACTAGCTTTAATCTTAACTCAAAAAGAAAACTATGAAATGTCTCACTATTTACATTATATCTCTAGCTATAATTCTTCATCGCAATCTATTTTAATTCGTTAGCTATTATCTACAATTTTCTTCTCTAATCTCTAACAGATTAGTTATTAATGCAGAAATGATGCTCAAGCCATTTTGAATCCAGTATTAAATTTATTTCTAATGTATGTTGTATCGAATATATATATATATATGTTACATATTTAGAATTTCAGCAGGAAAATCTTGCTGGAATTGAATGATAGTTTTTGTCCATATCATATATCTATCTCTTTTTGTTAATATATAGATCTCACTTAACGGCGAGACAAATCCTGGGCAACGATTCTTCATTCACATCCTAATCTCAAGCTCTGCATCATGATTCCTCCGATCACGAAATTGATCGAGGATGATCGAGGCGATGTCAAATCGAGTAATCACAATTGACAATATCTTGCCGCGAAGTAGATCGATCATGCGAGTTGTGGAAGTTGGACCGAGAAGGGGCAGGATTGGGTTGGAAGGAGGGAAGAAAGGGATAAGAGTTTCTCTCTCAAGTATTTGATTTGCATAGCGAATATCTATTTAGCGCGAGCCTCATCGACAATCTCTCGAAGAGGATCTGGCAAGTCTTTTTTGCAACACTCCTTCAAAACCACTTCGGAAAACGACTGAACAGGTTACCGATGTCGCTACGGCGCGCCGCGATCTCGTCGGCTAGAGAGTTTCTCGGCTCCGGGAACAACGGCCGCGAGCTATACTTCCGGTCTAGGTGGTCGACCATGGGCTTGTAATAGGACTCGCCCTTGTCGTAGTTGCTGCCGTAGATGAACGTGCGCGGCCTGCTAAGGATTGGCCTCGACATCTCGATTAGGCGCTGTCTTTCTGTTATCTGCAAATTAGACACACGCCGCACTGTGATCTTCCGTATATGAAATTGCGAGGAGAAGATGAGACTTAGAGAAGAAGAAATATATATGATAGCTTCAAAACGATTCTGGTTAGTAGAACTCTTTAAAGCTACAAACATGAGAAAGATTAAATGAAATAATTGACCCAGATGCAGAATGAATATGATAATCGCCGACAAAAAAATTGATAAAAAGTTGTTACATAAGAACAAGAAAAAATGTTATTATTTTTAATTACTGATCTATTATATTTTATCAAGTATTTTTTTGTAAAATATTTTTACAATTAAACCGAATATTTTCAAAATACTCCAATTAATTAATTATGTATCGGTTGATTGTTACATTTCGTCTGAAAGGAACTTTATACGATACATTAATTTAATATCAGTATTATTATTAAAATATAAAGTTCTAATTCTGCATATGAACGAATGCTTCAATTATGTCCCCCACCCACGTGGAAATAAATAATACTAAAAATGAAAGTCCGCTATAGAGTAGGACACGTGCCGATTCGAGACCCTCTCTTGCCTCTCTCGTTCTCCACGTGGCTCCCAAGAAACGCGGGCTATACCGCGTGTAACAAAAGTCCGACGAATTCTCTCTTGATCGTTTAGCTAGTCATCGTCGACAAACTGGAGCGAGCGACTGTACCGCCGATCGAAAATAGCCCGTGTCTAATTTGGTGCCCGTGAACTGAACTGGCACGGCGCACACGAGGCCCGGGCTAACACAGCCTCCCTGAATACGAGGCGTGAATCTCTCCCCTTCTTCAGGGCCGACTTTTGCGTCTGTGTTCGCAGTAAGAGTCACAGATGTGATGATATAAACGAGTGATTTTAATTATCGGCTGTTTTCGGCCTCTAGCTCTAGAAATTAGAGCTCAGAGCGACAAAATCCACGGAGCTATTTGCATGGCACCGCTTGATTCTTTATTAAAGCAATTTTTAATTAAAACGCACACGTACAGAATAACATGATTTTATTGTCGTAAATTCTCAACTTCAGAATGAAGATTAATGTTCCTCGACCGTCCCCGCCCAAGTCTTTTGTTTCGAAATTATTTTTAAGTCGTGGGCCTGCATATTGGAATAAGAGGTATATTATTGCGAATGTAGGCTAATGAGAGAGCGCTATACGTCGGCCAATTTATTTTTGTTGACTATTAAATTATTGAGGAGCTATACTAGGTAGAGAATTTCTTAGATATATAGCTGTGAATAAATTAATAGTGCTCATTTTTTATGTTTGAGCGAATGATAAAATTTGTTACAAAAGTCAGGCTAAACAAAGAGATTTCATGACAATTATCGTTCGTAATTATAATTAATTAAGACTCTTGCAGATTTTTTCAGAAACAAGATCTAATAAAAGCTTAACGAATAAAAAGGAAAAAGGTAAACGTTTTGTCATTTTACTTTTTGTTTAAAAATCTGAACACATGAAAATCAATTATATAAACTTGTTCAAGTTTATTTCTTCTTATTTAATTTGATCTAAAACGATAAGTATAAAACTTATGACTTTCAATTTTGAATGTCATCAAGTTTGAGAATTTATCCGTGAAAATTTTCAACGTTTTACTTTAGCATCTTCGTGACATAACGAAAACGCGATGATGGAACTCTTTTGACAAATGATGATTCTTAGACACCGGTAGATTCATTTATCAATTACACGTACAATACACAAGAAAATGCACATTTTTGCTGGCTCGAGGGCATCACGGATCATCGACACAAATATATCCAATAATAAACGGTCGTTCAAAATAAGCATTACGTCTTTCGCGACGCGTCGGAAATAAATTCACAGCTCGGAATAAACAGTGAAAATGATATCGGATACATCCTTCCTCGATAGAATAAGCTTTTCCGTCAAATTGCAATTGTGCCAAAAGACGATAAGCTATAGCCGGCTTCTTTCAATTAGATTATTTGGTCGACTTAATTGGCGTGTACATGCATGTCTGGCGTACGTTCGCTAGGATAGTAACTATGATTTAGAACGTATCGGCTCATTACTCAATCATTCGTTCATGCATCCTTAATATCTTACTATGTGTGATGTATAGCTGTCATGTTTATACATTGCAAGTCGCACGATCATTCAGAAAAGTCACGTAGTATGTGAGAGTAACATCTATATATTTAAGAAAAAACAATTCATAAGATTGATTTAAAGTTAAGGTTCTAAATAATAATAAATATAATATCACAATAAACATATCATATAATAAAATTAAGGAAATTGATATTACCAAAAATTAAATTTAATAAGTCCTTGTCGAATGACAAACAAACATATAAAAACACTAAAAATAAAATATGGCATAACATATGCAATTGTAAACAACAATATATAGGTATAGAAATAAGAATAAATTGACTAAACTGCATTTAGAAATTGAAAAATTAATAAATTCTCGAATTTTATTATTAAATATAATTAAATATAATTTAATTACAGTATTTAGGTGTATATAACTTAATATAAAAAATTTGCAACAAATGTTTATATTAAATTATAATAAATATATCGAAATATTGTGTTTATTATATATATTTCACTGAACAACTAAGTTTGTTGAAGACTCTCCGCACTTTCGACTGAAAATTACGATCACACAAATAATAACGAAATTACAACGCTACTAAGTGACAACCAAGACGATACATGAAAGATTTTGGCCCGTGCTATTAGTGGAACGATAGCGGAGTAATGAATTATCCCGGGATCTTCACTAAAACTCACTTTATATACGCGACACCGTATAGAAAGCGTCGGCGGCAGTGAAACAGATCAACGACAGCCCCGACGCGCACAAATGCGATTATGAGTTACTCACAGCGGATATAATGTCAACTGTTTTAGAGTCTGACTCAGCAACTAGATCCCCGCTAGATCCCCATATAAATTATTCAATCTCCGAATTTTCGCTTAGACTGGCGAACTTAAATATATCGCCACCAGTTGCGCCGTCTTCTTGTATCAATTTGCTCGAGATATATCGGATATTCATACGTATCGCATAGAGAAAGACTGTTAATGCAATGAAAATTTAATAATTAATTTCGTAAATATATTTTCAATTAAAAAAATATTAAATCCCTCTTATTATTAATTTTTAACTAAATAATACTGTAAATATGTAATGTATAATGTAACGTTATTTTTATAATTTTGAAAGCACAAGCTTGAGATAATATTTAATTTTTATTTAATAACGCTATCATTATTTTATGATATTAATTTAATCACGCTAAAAATTTCTTGCATCTAAATGCGTCGATTAATTATCAATTTAGCATAACCGAAATTTAGCACAAAGTAATAATATTAAAGTAAATGTATACTTTTATAAAAATGTGTGTGTCTTATTTAATAATCTGTAAATTATCAAGTAACAATCACAATTGATTAATAAATAATTATTAACGTAAAAAAATATATATACACAATATTATGTAAAAAATATTCATTATATCGCATTAATTATTACTTGACAATGTATGTAGATGTGTAGATGTTAATTTAAAGAATTTACATATTTTTTATATTAATTTTAAAGAATTGATATATATTTTGTTGCGAAGAATTGTACGAAATCAAATTTTTAGTCAGTGAAAACGGCAGTCATGGTGTTAGACCGCGTTATAATTCTCTCTCGTTGCGTAAGCCCGCCAAATTTAGCGTCTGGTACAGACGGCACTTAAAAATGGCGATATCGATTACCAAATAATGCCCGCGCATATAATCAACGCTATAGTTTCACGATAATTAGTTACTACATTTTTAAATCATTATTTTTTATTTAATTATGAAATCTTTTATATTACTAGTGTTAATACTAGTAATGCACATAATATTGTCATGTTTTGAAGTAATTAATGTCATTTTGATTTATTATATTTAATTATTGATTTAATTTGATTTATTAGATTTATTATTAGAATTAGATTGAATTATTAGATTTAATTGCACTTCGTGATATTACATAAATGTCATTTATGCACTAGAAAACACATGAGCGTTTTAAGATTATTAAAAAAATGCATTTTAAAAAAGTATGTATAATATGTTAATTAGATTTGTGCAAAATAATTAATTATTGCTTGGTCAACTTAATTACATTTGCACGAGAATTATATATATTTTGCTTGATCAAGTGTTAAAAGGAGCACATTTCGTATACATAGATAAGATTAAGTATATATAATTGCAGAGCATTCTAATCGTATGATTATAATCTAGTGATTTAATTATGATAAATGATGCCTTGTGATGTAGTACTCTATTAACAATGCCAACCGATTAGGGATGCAAATGGCATAGAATGAATGCTGTTAATTTCGTTCGCAATGCAAACGATACATCATTCCATTGCATCACAATTGTGAGAGCCAGAGATAAAACTTCGTTATATATGCACACAATAGAATATATGTTCAATAGATTAAGCCACGAAAAAAATTTCTTTCAGAGAAAATTATATTTTAATTTCAGGAATTTACACTAATTTTTAAAATAATTTAATTTTTAATAATGAGACAAAAATATATGTAAAAAGGAAAAAAACTCATGTAGAAAAATCCTGATGCCGATGTTTCTTCGACAATTTTTTAATACACTATAATATAAATATTTGCGACAGATCTTCGAAACGAGAAGATCGCGCACTGTTAATGACAATCTGTACACGTGGTCCAAATAATTGATTGACGCGATCGATTTTTTCCTCGAGTCGAAAATCGCGGCGCGAAAATCGGGACGCCCTTACCTAAAACGATCGTCACGAGGTGTTATCCCTCAGGATGCTGTTTCCTCGAAAGTAGCGGCGCGACTCCCACATCGTCGTCTCGACGTCCGAATTATTTCCCACTCTCTCCCACGGCTCTCCCTCTATCTTCTCCTGGTAGTAATTCGGATTTGCGGCCATGTAGCTGAAGAGTTCCCCGATAGGGAACCGACGCATAACGGGTGACCGATACTTACGTCGGCATGGTGACCGTATGGCAAACAAATATGAATTACACCCGAAGCAGCAGCCGGAATCGTCATCTGACGTTGATCGCGATCCTTTTCTCGACGTCCGCGAACGCGTTCAACGTGAATAATGAGGTACTCGAGTACTGGGAATCAAGTTCGTGTAAATACGACGAGTACTTCGATACCGTTTCCTTATCTTGCTCGCGATGCAACGGCAGCAAAAATCTCGAACCAGCCGCGAATCGTAAGTTTATCTCGTGATTATTATATTTGTTTAATTTTTTATTTATTTTCATGTGTGTTTTATTCTGTTAGGCTTGCGATGTGTGTGCGACAAATTCAGCAGGACGATCGGTTTCGAGAACGGAAATCCCCTTTGCGCCACCTGCGGTCCTAACATGACTGTGACCGCCGATGGAGGAGACTGCATCCTGCACGCAAATGCAACGTGCAAATGTTCTACGAACCAAATAAAATGTAATCTTAATAATTCCTCTTTTTTTAATCTTTCATTATTTTTAATTAACTTAATTTTTTAAAATCAAGATCGACATAATTCTAATTAAAAAAGATAGTTATAACAGCATTTCTGTCATTATGATTTTATTTTTTATTAGTATGTTAGCAAATAAATTTTACTATTTTTATCTTATTATTTACAGTGGACAGAAATATTAATGGAGTGCTGCTGGATACTGTACTTTGTGTAACATGCGTCCAAGGTACATATCCATCTCCCGACTGTTCCAAATGTTTGCCCTGTGACAGCCGCGAATATAGCGGCCACGTTAATTGCGTATGTCCAAGCACAACACATATAAGATTACAAAATTATTGTTTACATAAGGATGATGTAGCTGATTGGCCGGATATCAGAAGCACATATTTGATGAAATTTCGAAGCGAAAGCGTAGATAGTTATTATTTGAGAGGCGAATTGCAAATAGCAGTACATCTCTGTAAGGTATGCGATATATGTATATAAGCTTCAAACTTTTTTAAAAAATTATTAAAGTGATACTAATGATTATATTGTGCACAATTTATTAAAGTATTATATTTATATTAATAATAATTTTATAACAATCTTAATAATTTTTTTTTTTAGAAAAAAGATAGAATGGCATGTGAACATTTGTCAAATATATGCGCCTTGACTCTTTACAGTGACGGTATAGCCTGCATGTTTTTTATGCATACATCTATGGCGCCTGTATGGTTGTTTTACAGTAAACAAAACACTATAGCAATAATGAACAACACGAAAATATCCGAGAGATACAGTCTCAAAAAAGGAGATAATGTACAGTATATAAATGTGCACATATTTTATGCGATTATATAAAAAAATATTTTCTTTAAAATTATTTATTGTATATTTTTAGAGCAGCATTTTGGATTTCACAATCGCAAGATTTGCGTTGAATGGTGAATTTTTATCAATAGGCAGACCGACTCTGCCTTGTCAATTTTTGAGAAACGTAAGATTTGGTATAAATTTCAATAAGAAATGCAGGACCACCGCTGCTGAATTATTGAACGCACAAATAGAATTACTGTCTCCTTACTTAGTTTTTAAAGAGGACAATAAATCTTTTATACATGCATTGCCTGTCATTGTTAAATCGGCGGATCAGGTAAAATTTACATTATATTTTAATAATAATTATAAGAATAACCAAAGATATTTAAATATGTTTCTTTCCAGAATATTAAGGAAGTTTTACGACAGCAGTTGGTTCGAAAGTTCTTTTTGGTCGATAATGTAAGCGGTTTCAAAGCGTTACCAATATTTATGAACAGTAGATTCACAAAAGCACCAGAGCTTTCCGTGCTTCGATACATGAAATCTCTGACTATTTTGTAAGTAATTTTTATAGAAAACGCTTTTTATAAACAAAAAATAATGCAAATTTTTTCAGAGTAAACGTTCAGAGTGGAAAAGATTATGGCAAAATTTTCGCGCCCTTTGTGATTGTGGAATACGATGAATTGACATATCAAGATTTTCTCAACAACTCCGATGTTGTAATAGATTACAAAGTTACATTTATATTAAAGGATAACGATATAGATTATAATGTCGAGGTAAAAAAAATCATAGCGATTAAAAAAATATGATTTCATCCATTCTAAATCTTTCTCTCCCTTTTACATTAAAAAAAAATATATATATATATATATTTTTTTTTTAGATAACTATTGGAGTATTGACAGGAGTAGCTTTGATATTTTCCAGCATTAGAGCATGGAATTACTACAAATGGAATTACAATGGCAATCTTAGTATAGCAGTTTTATTATGGTTTTTTATTTATGCTATGGGCGCGATTGGAAATATGATTACTTTCGTGTGTATCAGCGTATGTGTATATCTATTCATTTTTTACAAAGGCCAAACTGTACCGTATATTCTACTTCCCGATGAAGATAGTGAGAAAAGGATCCAAACATATATAACTATAGCATTCAGTTTTAAAGTAAGTACTTAACGCGATACTTTTATGTACACGAAATTGATAAAGAAAATACGATTTCACTATTTTATACACAGAGAGAATTTTCTCTTATTGTTAGAAAAATATTAATATTTTTATTGTGATAAATATTAATTAGAGAAATTCTTACAAAATTCTTCCAATACCATATTGTCCTACGATTACTATGATTTTCAAAATAAATTCTAAAAGAAAATTCTCTCCATGTATATGTAAAAGAGACACAAAAAAATCAAAACAGTTTAAAATAAAATATATAATATTAAAAAAAAATATTCTGATATTCTCTTTTAATCTTAGATTATAGAGATGATAGGATTCATCTATCAACATTGGGGTTTAAGTATATTTTTCATCGACTGGGAACAACCGAGGACGATACACAAAGAATCGAAATACGATTCTCCACATACCTCTCTGCGGAAATTATACTCCAACAGATTTCCGAGGGGTGAAGGCAAGTCCTCGAAAATCACGTCGGATATAATCGCGTCCAAACGAAGGAGAAGATCGCGGAAAACGGACAGAAACGCAAGTCCGAGCGAGACATCCAAGTCTTCCTCGATCGAGAAATATACTCCGGATTACTCTTCCGTCTGTTCGCTCGCGAGATCTCCCTCGCGAGAAATGAACGAGCACAGCTACGTGCATAATTTTCCAATCAGCGTTTGGAGAACCTACTTCGTCGCGAACGAGTGGTGCAAATTGCAAACCAGAAGAAAAATAAACGCGGCTCTGCAATCGATTTATACCCTGTGTATTTTACAGGTCTTAAACATGACGGTTTAAACGACATTTTCGCATTTGTCGCACGAGAGGTGAAATGATACGTTCACGTGTCTTATTTTAGATATTCGACTTGGAATCGTGGATGCTGGCTGTACCGGAATCGACCGCCGTGGATAAATCTTCCGAAGCGAACGATAGTTTTACTTTACGATATGCGATCTGCACGTTCGTGTATACATTCGTATATTTCGCACAATGGTTAATCCGCGTTACGTTTTACGAAAGATACATTAGAAACAGACTGCAAAAGTTTGTAGATCTATGTTCAGTCGCGAACATCAGCGTGTTCATCCTGGCGCACAATTATTACGGTTTTTACATCCATGGAAGGTAATTAATTGTTTTTACATGTCAATTGCAAAATAAAATTGATGAAAGAAATATAATCAATATTTGTTACTTTTTGATAGATCGGTACATGGATTCGCGGACACTGATCTTCCTACTCTGATAAGCGATCTGAAAAAGGAGGAAGATAATTTATGCGCACACAGAGGTCTGGTACCCGGCACAACCAATCAGACTTTTATAGTATCGTTGACCCAGTCATTTAAATCTTTGTATGATCAATTCGTGAGACAAAAGGATAATGTATGTTCCAGATTGTTACAAAAAAATTAAAGATAACAATTTTTCTATTATTTTTTGCACAAAAATGTTATGCATTTTGTAGGTAATTATTGTGCATTTAATATCTATTATATATTTTTTTCACAGGAAAGCATAGGAATTTTAAAAGGGAATAATTCACCTTCTAAAAATTGGAAACAATTATCAGAAACCAGATCAAAAGTGAGATTGTTCCTAATGCAATTTCTTGATCATTATTCGGAAAATGAAGATTATATAATCAAAGAACAACATATATTAGAGAAAATATGTGATATTCTTTTCGTAAATGCCAAAGATAAATCCGTCTTCTATATTGGTAATGCAAATTATCAATCCCTGATAATTACAAAAATGAATTATCATTTTTAATAGCAATTTTATTGCAGATAACAATTATTCCTTCAACAAAGTGATACTTTACGGAAACGAATGGCTGTTGGCGACATTCGAGATCACTGTATTTGCCTTCTTTTTGGCAATGTATAATTCTTACATTTTTGCTTGCATAACAACAGTTCTTATATCACAACTATTCTTAATAATTATCAAATGTAATATTAAAAGAAATCTGTGCAACAAATCATTACTGGATAAAAGATTTCTAATGTAACCATAACGATTATATAAATAATATTAAAAATTTAAACAAATATCAACTAGCAAATGTTAAATATCACTTTCACGATTTATTTTCATAGCTCTGATACCCCTTTACAGTGATATTTCTACTATTCTGTATCACTAATATAGAAACTGGATATCAATGATGACCCTCATCATGATGCCCATGACCTGAGTAGTCAATCCCGAAATATTGTTCAACAGCTATAGTTATCAGAAATGCTGGTACACCAATTTTCCAACCTCTAGTTAAACATACAAGTCCACGCATAAACGGTGATTGGGTGCTTTGGTAGCGCCACACATAATTTCTCAACCAGGGATCCTTCAGTCCTTTCTTGGCTAACTCTTCTTGAACACGTTTCAATTTCGGCACATCCTCCACCTTATAAATCTCAGGGTTGGGTATTTTATATGGTGGAGCCTTATGACCTCCCATCTACAGAAAACATATCATGTCAAATTCTATGTTGTTATATGTATATAAGTTTTACATGTACTGAGTACTTATATATTTCTTTCTTTCATTGTCAGATCAACAACCATGATAAACATCAATTTCATATTGTATATTAATAGAACATTCTTACAATACTATGATGTAACACTTCATAATATATATCATATGATTTTCAATCATTTTATTTGACTGTGTTATACATGTTCTTTTATAATATAAAGGTTAATTTTTGCAACTGTTGACTTTGCAAATGACAGAGATACCTCAACAGGATAAAATATATCGTTACATTGCTATGAAGAAATACTCATTACTATGAACATACATCTGATAAATAAATTTTTAATTAAATTACATAATTTACCTTTCACAGCAATTTGCTTTAAATCCTACTAATCTAGGATTTACCTAGGATGCCTCTTACGCCATGTTCACTAAAGTTGACTTAGATAGGCAAGTGCATTTCTTGAAGAGTATTTCGTTAGTGAAAGTTTGTGAAGCATTTGACCAATCAAAGCAAAGCTTCCTTCGATACTGATTGGCCAATCGATCGATTAGATTTGGACAAATATAAGATGCGCCAATCATAGGTAACCACATGAATAGCGTATGCAGAGAATATAAAATACTTAGATGAAACCAAAGGAGAGAACTATAAATTCCAAGATTTTATATCTCGTGTTCCCTCTCGCCGGAAAAGAAGCCGATCGAAAGGGGAGTTGAAATTGCTTCGTTGAACTTATTGCGATTATTAAATGAAGATAACGAGTAGCAAATAACAAATACAACAAACAGCGATCATGTTGGTGCTGTTCGAGACTGCGGCTGGATACGCGATCTTCAAGGTAAATCGCATTTATTAAATCTAACCTGAACAATGCACGTGGTAGTTTGTCGCTTTTTGCTTTTTTATCATGAATGGGATAGAAAAGTTATTTTATAAAAAAAGAAGTAACTTGTTACAGATTTTTAAAAATTCTTGTTAATTAAAAATACTAGAACAAGTATAGCACATAAAGTACGAATCTCCAATTTATTATAACAATACATGGAATCTTTATAATCTTGCTTTAAATCATTTTGATTTGTATTTGTAAACATATTTGGAGAAGATAAAGCAAGAGCGAGATGTTTCCTTTTATATATGTATACACATTTTTTGCAATAAGTAAATATTTAACTTTGATTGTAATATATTAGTATATGATTTATTTTAGGATGTCTTTATTTTAATTACATGTATTTTCTACCAAGATTATCTAATATGTCCAAATTTTCACTGAATCATACATTTTTTGTTCTCAGCTGCTAGATGAAAACAGACTCGCTCAGTCGGAAGACCTTTACAAGGACTTTGAAACTCCCGAAGCTGCCAGTAGAGTGTAATTTATTTTCTACAATTTTTTTCACATAATTATTTTGCTGATTGTATCACAATTTATTAAGCAATGTTTATTTTTTACATTTTACAGAGTTCAATTGAGATACTTTCACCAGTTTGAGGACACCACTGAAGCACTAGCTGCTACAACAGCTCTTGTAGAAAGTAAATTATCCAAGTCTTTGAAACGAACGCTAAGGAATGGCTGCACTGAGATACATGAACAGTTAGCAGTTGCGGATGCAAAACTGGGCTGCGCTATTAGGGACAAACTGCAATTGTCCTGTGTCAGTAATACAGCGGTACAAGAGTTGATGAGATGTATCAGGAGTCAGGTGAACAATCTTGTGACCGGAGTGAGCCAGAGGGAAATGTCTGCCATGCAGTTGGGTTTAGCACACAGTCTTTCCAGATATAAACTCAAGTTCTCGCCTGACAAAATCGATACCATGGTAATACAAGGAGTATGCTTGTTAGATGATCTGGATAAGGAGGTCAACAACTACATAATGCGAGCACGGGAATGGTACGGCTGGCACTTTCCCGAGCTGGGCAGAATCGTGAATGACAACATTCAGTACATCAAAACGATGCGGATAATCGGCCAACGAGAGACAGCCCGCTCGTGCGATCTGTCGGATATTCTGACGGAGGAGATTGAAGAGCAAGTGAAGGAGGCCGCGGAAACCTCAATGGGCTCGGAGATTTCGGAATTTGATGCCGAGCACATGCAATACTTGTGCAAGGAGATAATCGAGCTCCACCGGTATCGAGCCAATTTGAACAACTACTTGAGTGCTAGGATGATTGCGCTGGCTCCAAATCTGTCCATTCTCGTCGGCGATCTAGTCGGCGCGCGTCTAATATCGAAGGCCGGCTCTTTGACGAATCTCGCCAAACATCCGGCGTCCACTTTGCAGATCCTCGGCGCAGAAAAAGCGCTATTTCGCGCACTAAAGTCGAGAAAGAAGACACCCAAATACGGTTTGATTTATCATTCACAACTCGTCGGACTATCGTCAAATAAGAACAAGGGTAAAATATCTAGGATGTTGGCGGCGAAAGCTTCTCTAGCGACCAGAGTCGATGCATTAGGAAACAGTACAAGCTACGATCTCGGCGAACAACATAGAGCAAAGCTCGAGGCGCGACTAAAGCAACTCGAGGAAGGTAATATACGCCGGATCAGTGGAACGGCTAAAGCAAAGGCAAAATTCGAAAAGTATCATAGTAAGAACGAATACAAGCAGTACTCAGTATCCGTCGACTCAACTCTACCGAATAAGAAACCATTGATTGAAGAGATTGATATTGAGGAGAGCAAAGAAACGCAAAAGAAAAAGAGGCCATTGATTGAGGTGATTGAGTCTAAGGAGAGCGAAGAAGTTCCCAAGAAGAAGAAGAAAAAGAAGCATAGCCTAGAACCTGTGCAAGAAGGAGAAGCATCTGGCGTGCAACAAGAGGTACAAATAACAGAGACGGATAGTACACAGAAAAAGAAGAAGAAACGTAGCGCAAAGTTGCAATCGGAAGAAGTAGGAGAAGCTTCTGGTGTGCAAGAAGTACAAGCAAAAACGAAAGCAGAAGAAATGGAGACGGAAAGTACATCGAAAAAGAAGAAAAAACGTAGCATGCAGATTGAATCGAAAGACAAAGGAGCAGAAGCTTCTGGCGCGCAAGAGGAGATACAAGTAAAAACGAAAGCACAAGTAGAAACAGAGGTACAAGTAAAAACGGAAAGTACATCGAAAAAGAAGAAAAAACGTAGCATGCAGATTGAATCGGAAGACAAAGGAGCAGGAGCATCTGGCGCGCAAGAGGAGATACAAGTAACAACGGAAATGGTTACTCCATCGAAGAAAAAGAAAAGACATACCGTAGAAGTTGAATTGGAAAATAAAGAAGAGTTGCAGGCTTCAACGAAAAAGAAAAAGAAACATAGCACAGGTCATAAAACGGAAGATACAGGTGAATCTTCCGGTGTGCAAGAAGCACAAACTGAAGCGGATTTAAATGTATCAAAGAAAAAAAAGAAGAAAAAGACGCAAGATCATTAAAATAATTTCCTCTATAATTGTTTTGTAAAGTAATGAATAAAGAAATAAAATAAAAATATATATCGATATCCTCTACTTTTCCCGCTTCCTACATTGAAGAATTAATTTCTAGAAAATATTGTATAATGTTCATAAATATGTTGATGCATATAACATTTCTCTATTGAAGGATTGATTTATGTAAAATATTGTATAATGTTCATAAATAAATTAATGCATATATAAATATAACTAAAATATATTAAAAATATAATCTTAAAATTAAATTAGTTTCCAAAGTTGATGAGATTAGCTGACTTTTTTATCTGTTGATAATATAAATTATATTTCTATTTATATGTAATTGTATATTTTGAACACACCATATATATATATATATATATATATATATATGTGGTATGCATTAATTATACATATATACTTCTCAAACTTATTTTTACAGTGCCATTGATTCGACATTATCTTTCTCGAATTACTTTAGTCGCGTCTTTTGCTTTATCTTGAGTTATTGTTTATAATAGGATTATTTTAATTATCGCACAAGATTCAAATATATCTGTCAAAATCTACCAATTTTTTATTCTAATATTTATTTGACTTGCAGGCAGTTACATAATAGTTATGCAATAGCTTTAAAAGTATAATTATATTTTGTATATATATATATATATTAATATATACTTTGTTTTGCGCTTTCATATTTTTCTGAAAACAAACTATAATTAGATTGTACAAATATGATTATTATATATACGATTGTGTCATTAAGAAAAAGAAATGATAGAGTTACAAAACTAACCGACTAAATATCTTGCATTACAATATACTCCTATTCGTTAAAAACCAGATATTTTGATCGTGATTAGCATGATTGCATTTCGGTGTGACTCGCAAAAATAACACAGAGTAAGAAATAATCAAGTGTCTTCTACGAGAACACATTGCACGCAATTTGGAAACTAATATTATATGATACTATTAGTGCATATAATTTGCAGAAAACAATAATATATATTCCACGGTATTTATTTTTTCTATATGCATATAAATATCTGGTATTTCATTTTTATTTATTAGATCTTGATGCATGCGTAACGACAGATATTAAATTTACAAAATACATCATAGATTTAATAAATTTTCATTGTCTGGGTATCCAATACACACACTAGACTTCACACATTTTGCACAAAAAGAAAATATATCTTTTTGTAACGCAAGATGCTGCCCTTATCGAACATTTAAATAATTCGCACATTTGCTAATTGTAAGACCACAAACAGTATCATTTCTATCAGATATATCAGTAATCACAATAAAAAATATAGTATATATTCATCGATAATAGATAAAATATCTGAAAATATATGTAATTGAATAGCTTTACTTTTGTATATTTAAACATGTATGTTTTGATTTTGGGAAAAGAGATCTTATTATAATTAGAAAATGATGTAACATTGTATGTGTGTAAAAGGGAAATAATTATTTTAAAAAAATATATCAATAAATTTATAGTCCGAAAAAAATTTGACTAGTGGACTTTAATTTGCATCATATTAATACCATGTATATTAATTTTCTCTCTATTACTACTTTTTATCTTATTTTAATATTATATTATATTATAAATTTCGAAATATTATGTCCCTTATACACATTCGGATACATTTCAAATGATGATAAATTATATATTTTTTCTACATATAATCTATTTCTCGTTCACAATATCAATTATTATCTAATAGAATTGATATCATCTACGGTCTTCATATATATCTTATCTCATTTTCATTGGTAAGTAAAATAATTCATTATTTAAATTTTCAATTACACGTCCAAATCGTGCGAAAAAACAGCACACATTTCTATTTGTAATTTATTGTAAGAAGTTTGGATGTATCTTTTTTTAAAATAGAATGAAGTACTCATAAAATCGCAATAACATTTTCTCTTTACTTCCGGTATGCCTTCCTGTTTATAATCGTTGCGTGAATCATGAATTAGATACGAAATGTATGCGTACCCACATACATATACACACATATATACGCGCCTATCATTCACGCTCGGCGATTAACCAGGAAGTCGCATCGAAAATAAAGAGGAAATCGCAGCGTCATTATAATCCTATATACTGAATGTAGGGCTGCGTTCGAAAACGTCCTCTGAGTATATTCCCTCTTTCTATATCACAGACAAGAAGTGATATAGAAAGAAAAGGAATGCACTCTAAGGACGTTTCCGAACGCAGCCCTGCAATCTTATGCGATAAAAAAGGTGCATCCAAACTTAAACAGAATGTCCTAGAACGACTTGATTAGATTTAATAACGAATCTGAAGTCGAGTTATTATATAATGAAAATTTTGTCTCATTAAATAAAAAAATAAAATCTATATTTGAGTCTCTCTCTTTTTCTCTATAAACAAAATAATATAATAATAAAACTTAATAATAAAAAACAATAAAAACTGATTTAATTGTATTAAATTTTAAGAGAGCTCAGTTAATCTTCTTACAATTTTAGGATATTAACAATCTGGTTAAGAAAAAAAATCGACATCAGATTTGTCATGATTAAGATTGGGCTTTCCAGGACGCTCTGCTCAAATGTATTCACAATTCTATAGTGTAACTATATAGTAGTATAAAAATAAGTGTATATAAAGTGCATAAAAAATATGAAGCGTCTCGCAGCGATAGCCTCCGGAATGGATAAAGTTCTCTTTTCCTTTGTAAGGGCATACAATTGATGTATCCTCTACCGGAGAATAACGACTCGAGTATTGCACACAAGTACTCAACGCATATTGCAAGCTGTACGAAGAATCCGTAAACTTATCCTATACGTTGGGAACGCCGCGTAATCCTTACTTCTATATTTCTTTCCCTAAATATTCTCTGTCTACTTATTAACGTTGTTTTATATATAATATATAAAGTTCTTTGATAGAGAATACTACATATTCATTTATATATATGTAAATATATATGTACAAAATACATAATAAAAGATGACGTCGATTCGCGATGCTCTATTAGGATGATCGTCGTCCGATCGCAGTTTACCGGATACTCGTAAACAGATTCAGCACGGACTTGTTCTCCTTCTGACTGCGCGCCTTGCTGAAGACGTTCCAGAAGCGTAAAGTCTCGTCGCCCGCGCCGGTGACGATCGCTTCACCGTCCGGCGACATCGCCAGGTAGAGCACCCGGTATGAGTGACCGGTGAGCTTGGCCACTTGAGTGAGACTCGGGTACTTCCACACGAGGATCTGATTTTGCGAGTAGCCGTGCGTGCTGACCAGCTCGGAGCTGTGCTTGCTCCAGGCCAGGTTGCAGACCTGCGAGCCAGTGTCGACGCACTGCATCGGCTGGCCGGTCAGCGTGTTCCAGAAGCGGATGCAACGATCCGCAGTGCCGCCACCGGACGCCAATAGGCCGTGATGATGAGGCGACCAGGCGATCGCCTTGACTGCCGCCAGGTGTTCGGTGTACGTCTGAATCGGCGAGAGGGAGTGTAGATTCCACACGTAGAGCCGATTGTCATTGCCGCCAGATGCCAGGTACTGATTGTCCGGTGACCACTTGAGTCCGCAGACCTCCTGACGGTGAGCACCGAGTCGTCGTTCCCCAACAACGCACGGAGTCCTGACGTCCCTCTGCAGTATCAATCGGTCCCTGCTGCCAGACGAGAGAACCTCTCCGTTCCACGCCAGAGCCCCGACTCGCGCGCTGTGACCCTGCAGTTTGCTGACCTGCTTGTTCACCGCCACGTCCCACACTTGTATGTAGCCCATGTGTGTGCCTACTGCCACCAGATTACCACGCTCGTTCCAGGCAACGGAGGTGACACTGTTGCCATCGCTGGAAAGATCGCACAGTCTGGTCACCTGGCTGGTGCATGCTGACCATAGGTACACGCAGCTTCCCAGCCCAACGCTGAGAACATTTTGGGAAGACCAATCGACCAGATTGAGATAAAAGTCATCCTGCAGCTCTGGCGCGTCCAACACCTTGAAAGGTATTCTCGAAATCTTTCTGGTCGCTTTCCTGGGTGATCTCAGTAGTTTCTGGCTTTTGGCACTGAGAGGTGACAGAGAATAAGGCGAGCTTTGATCCAAAAGTGTTCGATCCTTGGTGGGTGTGACGTACTTGAAGAGATTCTTGGTCACCAACGGCGACAGCACTCTACGCTCCTCGCACTGACCCTTGACGTCCTCTATGCTGGCTCCTAATAGTTCATTCTTGAGTAGACAGGAATACGCGATCGCGTCGCGGTTGCCCTCGCCGTTCTCCCTCGTTTTCTTCGCCACCAAGCCACCTCGAGCGTTCTCGCTGATCATGGAAAACGTGGTCTGCCAGTTGTTACCCGAGCGAGTGGGTATGAAACGGTCGTAGCTGTTGTTGTAGGCCGACGTCTTCGTGGGGGAGAAGTAGATGGGTGAGGTGGCACCGGGTAACAGCGTCGTCGTCCCCGTCGTCGTCGACGAGCCGTCTCCCGTCAACGGCTTCACCAGCCGTTTCTCGTACTCGTGATGGAACATGACGCGACAAAAGATGCTCCCGTACACCTCGTCGCTCAGGAGAAGCGTCGAAGACTCACCGGACTCGCATCATTCGCGTTCTCCTTCTCCGCAGACGACCCCGGCTGTGCTGGATTCCAAGATCCACTCCCGGAAAGTCACCGTGCCTCACGATCCACCGAGGCTCATTCTCTGTCCGGAGTACTTTTCCGTTTGGACTTTCGGAAGGACGGTCAGAAGTTCAAGCTTCTGTCCGTCAGGTCGCCATTCAACGTCGCGAGTTCGACTTATCGATCTTCGATTAATCGAGAGTTCGCTCTCGAATCTTCACCCTGGTGTCCACCAATCAAAATGCTCGGTGACTTTGTGCGAGATATAAATATGGAGTTGCTCTTGACTGGAGTAAAAGAGAACGAGAAAGGGATATTATAATAATATATTGAATAAAAAATCAAAATGGAAAATTAATGGAATTTTCTGTAATTCTCCTTTTTCATGAAAACTATATATGTTTACAATAGAATTTTAACACATTTTTGATACAATTATCATGCATATATCTTGTAAATTGTAAGAAATATATATATATATATATATATATATATATATATATATATATTATTTATGCAATAAATATATTAATTTATATAACAATTAATTATTTAATTTTTTAATTTTAAATAAATTGAATAAATTGACGATAAAAATAAAGATGATTAATAAATATGAATAATATTTCTCTACGCTAAAAAATAAATGGCAATAATATTGAAGTTCTTTTCTATTAACAAACATATATGATTATTATAAAATAAATATTATATATATAGATATATTTTTTAATCGATTTTTAACCTTATGCCAATGCGGCAATTATGCAGCTGCGCATGCACGGATGCAGTTATCGATGAATGAGAAAGAGAGGAAAAGTTTTGCAAAACTCGTTTGCAGAATTGCAATTTTTGAATGTGAAACAATAAAGTGCATTGCGAAATACATTGTTATTATGAGCGTATCGTCGAGCGACGTAGCGAAAAAACCACCAATGAAATCACGATCGCGAGCGTTCACTGTATTCCGACGTCGTTCGTTGCAGATGAATCATAGTAAACAAAGGGAGAGAGAAAATTTATTTGATGTGCTGTCGAGGATTGTCAAGGCGCGACGCAGGTCAAATAGTTTTGTTTATTGTAAAATACGGCCGACGATGACGTCAGATAGGGACGACGCTTGTGATTTGAGTGACGTTAATCTGCAGGAAAATTCAGATATCGAGACGCAGGTATATATATAATTCGTCGATGAAATATATCGAAATCCGTTTAATGTTTTGGTTAACCTTTCATTTCTTTTTAAGCTTTTTAATATCAGGAAAAATTTAAATAATCAGCTGACATTTTGTGAAAAAAACTTTAGATACTGTGGAAATAAAATTTTATCATAATTTGATTATGTAAACTATATATTGATTATATTTTATTATATGAAAATAGGTCTGTTTTCTTTTTTTATCTTTGGAAGGAAATATATAAACTCTGGATTAGTGCAGCAATTCACCTGAAAAAACAGACCTATACCAATATTGATTTTGTACGAAAAGAATCATAAAGATAATAGTAAATCATCTTTAATGACATTAAATATTTTCATGTTTTTTTTTGTATAAAACGCAAAATAATTAATTTGAAATATATATTATGATTTCTTAGAATTGAGTCTAAAAATTAATCTTTTTTATAAATATAATAGTTATATAAAGTATAATTTAATAGACTTAAATGTAATAAACTTTAAATTTTAATAAATATTAATATAGTGCACACATAAACTAAGCAAGAAACCAAAGAGAGTACTGCAATTTTCGGATGGTGTAATGGAGGAATATTCTTCGGAAGATGAAGTTGATGTACCAAATAATCAAACCGTGTCACAGATAGATACTGTAATTATACAATTTTTACATGAAGCAAAATTAGTTTTACAATGAAAATATAAAATGATACATGATTATACATATTTTTTGTAGAAAAATATGAATTGGTTACCATGGGCGTGGCATCAAACTACATGGATCAGTTCAAAAATGTTAGATGGTTGCGATTATGTTGGCGAATGTCTGGCCAACTTTTTTGGCATAACAGCACCCAAATATCAATTTGAGATCAATGAATTTTATAGACTACAAGCCCTTGAAAGAGAAATGTGTAACAAGCAAGACTTAGAGATGGGTGGATGGAACGAAAAAAAGAGAAATAATCTTATAAGCAACGATATTATATTGTCAAATGAACATAATTAATGATATTAAGAATAGATTCTAAGAAAATTTTTGTTAATAAGATATGTATTATAAACATCCTATTTTAAAAGCATTTAAAATATGTATAATTTTGATAGAGAAAGATGAAAAAATATGAAATATATTTATTGTTCCATTACATTCAAGATTCACTGACAAATATGTAAATGGAAGTAAATTGATCTGCTATTTTTCTATATAATATTAAATAAACTTTTAAATAATGTAAAATAACAGTTATATAAAGAAAGGATTTGATAAAAAAATTAAATAAGGTTACAATATATGCAATACATGAAAGAAGAGAAAGTGGTTTAAATTAAAATTGACTATTCAATATTGTTAAAATATATATACATATGTATAACTTTACAATATGAAATGTTTTATCTTTCATAAAAATAATTAAATAATTAATTGTAAATTAATATTTTATATATATATTTATTGCATGAATTATATATATTTCTTATAAGATATATGATAATTGTATCAAATATGTTGGTATTATAAAAAATATATTATGCCGTTGTAAAATAATTTCGAGCTTTGCATTTGCACATATGTCCATATGGGAATAAATAATATAACCATCAAATATATAAATTATTTTGTTTTAATTATATCAATCATGGATCTCACATTATTATTATTAAATTAATATATGTGCATTAAAATAAACATTTAAAAAAATTTTTTTTTACATAAAATAGCTTTCTCGACAGAAAACTATTCTTCTTCAGAAAACTAAGTTCTTCAGAAAACTAGTTTCATAAATCATAGTAAAGCAAATTAGATATCAATAAACATATCACATAATGTACAATAGTAATCAATATAACATATAGATTCAAGTACATATTGCTCTCAATATATGTATCACCTTAGAATTCTACATATATGTTACTTAGCGTATCATTTTGCACAATAGTAATTTTCCAAATCGCTGTAAAAATATTTAAAAAATTCATGTTCTTTAAAATGTTCTCAGTGTAAATAAAAAATATATTTGAAAAAAAAAAGAAAAAAATTACGTTTCTGGCACGAATCTATGCAGTGCACTAGTTAAAACTAGCAAAGAGCTTTGAAGGCCCTGCGGCAAATGCCTTTGCAGCCAAGAGCCTTTATATTGCTCTATGTGAGCCAACATCTTGTTCGCTATATCGGTTCGGAAAGTAGGCGGTAAGTTACATACTCCTAGATTGATGACTGCGAGCCCCATATTACTATTCGGATTTACACCGACTCCGATCAACGTTCTGCCAATTTTGCAGGCCGTTAGCATAAGATCGGAGGTCAATTGTAATTCTTGTATCTCCATTGATGCGAACTTGGAGGTCAAGTTTGCCTCATACAAGGAATGGGATATTCGTTTAATCTGCTTTGTCATCTTCTGCAAAAAATAATTTGTTTGCAATGGAATAATTTATCGTCGTTCATTCTTAAGATCTGAGGATTTATTACTTAAACGAATGTACTTACAGCGAATAGATCAGCTGATAGATACTCTAGATTCACATTATCTGGATCGGTTAATAATCTATACAATGTGGAACCGCGATTATCCGGTATTTGTTGCAGATCTTTGACTGCCTGATTTTTGCTTAATGTTAATACTAATGTATCTAAACGTCCTAATTCCAATATCGCGCTACCGATTTTAAACTCCGAATCTTGAAATACGTGTACGTCTAATAATTTCGTGATACATTTTTCCCTGTAAAGTGACACAACTATTTTATTAAGCTCAGCAAGCAATAAATGTGATTCAATAATAATGCATGATTACAAATTTTACAATGATTGTTACCTAATTGATGCAGATAATTCAGGTATATCGTAATTGTCATCAGGACCCAAGTCTATTTCCGTCATTGGGTTCCAAGCTAAACCAGCCGCCACTAAATATCCGATCCATGCAAAAGGATGTGGTGTAAGGTGATGACTACCCGACCAATGTGCGACAACGATACCAATCGAGTTCTGCTCTAAAGAGGTCTTTATCGCATTCCTCGTGTTAGCATACGTTGATGCCGGACATCCTGCTAAGCTATTGTAACTAGCTGTGCCAGAGCTTGGTAAAACGTTACCACCTGCCACTCTGAATGCTTCTGTCCACTCGGAGAAATCATAGTCAGCCTGTAAGATATTTAGTAAATGTTAGTAAATGTCGTACACGTTTTTTTTACAAACGTTTCTACAAATCTATCACTAACAATAAGAATCGTGAAAAAAATTAGCATTACCTGAAATCCGTATTCAACGAGTATAATATTCGTGGGAACATTGTGAAACTCGGGTTTAGAATGTAAGCCATTGGAGCATAATAATAGAGTCGTATTCGCGCTTAAATTGAGAATATGCCAGAGTTCTTGAAGGCACGAATAGGATTTAAACACTTCCGACATGTCCGTTTCGATCGTATCGTTAATAGACACGTTCAAGTCAAAATTGTCAGCTTGCACTAATAAACTGGCCAGTCGCGGTCCGACATGAACGTAACTCAAGCTGGGAAATACCGCAAGTAATTCTTGGAAGATAGGCCACATTTGTGTCAGGTGATGCTGACCGACATTAGAATCGACATCCAATGTGGGCACTATATCTAAATGTCGATCCCTGAAAAATTGATGTAAATTCTCAATTATTGTATTAAACAAAAATTTTTAATTTTTAATTTAATCATTGAGAATTAGAATAAACATTAAAAAATAATAGCACAATAAATAAATATGTATACGTACATAAATATGTATGTAGAACACAATTATGAATATATATATATATATATATATATATATATATATATATATATAGAGAGAGAGAGAGAGAGAGAGAGGAGTTATTATATATATAAATATAGATCGATATACTTAAAAGTAAAAATAATAATTCGAATAATTAAGATTAAAATATTAGAATTGAACTTAAACTTTGATTTTTCTACAAAAATATAATCGCACCTGCAATATCTATCTAGAGTTACCATCTCAGACTTGGAATAGCAGAGTTGCCAGTCACAATTCGGTATAAGTCTGGAATAGAGATGTAAATGCGAGATTTTGAATGACGAAAGTAGATCAATAGTGTGCAGAAGATATTCTAGTGTCGGTATACGTCCTCTGGGCGAGATATCCAACAGTATACCACGATGTGTGAATCTTGGCTCGTCTTTTATAAATACTGGGTCTATTTCGCACAGATCCGATCTATTCCGATTCTTATTCAAACGTAGAATCTGCACAAATGTACAGACCGCGTAATGCAGCCCCGCCAAACTTCCGGCGCTCACTTTGATGCAATTTTGCGTAATATGCAGCTGATAACCGTCCGTAATGTTAAATAGATTCTTATTCACAATGCATTCTATCGTATTTTCGTTAAGCAGTTTGCCGCAACTAGGTTGCACCTCGCCAATCTTTACATCGTGACCCAGTTCGAGCAAATGCGTTCTACTGATCTCCCAAACATCCAATATTTTATGTACAGATTCACTGCCCTAGTAAATAAATTGTACACACAATAAGAAATTAAATATAAAATTGTAGAGAATTCTAATAAGATACAGAAGTTTTTTTATAATTTTTTAAAAAAGGCACAAATAAATATATTTCCTTACTTGTATTATGGATATAAAAAGCTCCTTTCCAGCAATAAATGGAGCCGTATAGTTTTTCAGTTCGATCACAGCCTTTGGCTGTGGCCACAGCAAATTATATACGCTTCCTTTATCAGGAATAGATTTGCTAGGACTCTCTGTGCCAGTATCACGCAAAGGCACATCGTACACCGGATCCAATGATTTGTTAGATTCGACTGATAGTTGACTCATATTGCTCGAGAGACTCTTTTGACAAAAGTTTGTCTCCGTAAATGGCATCGGGGGACTGTGCATCGTTTCGTTTTCATTCAATAAGAAATTTGATATAAATCTCTGAAAGAAACAATGCAAAGATTGCTTCTTTCTAGAAAGATCGTACGGCGTTTTTCCCGCAAACGTTCTGAAAAAAATTACCTTTGCATTTTATATTCAAAAAAAATACATTCATACGATTAATTTACTCTGCACACACCCTTTAGTAGCTCGTATGTGAGGATTTGCACCAGCCTGCAACAGTTCCTGACAGATAGCGACATCACCACGATTTACGGCATCGTGCAACGGCGTCGCGCCGCATCCATTTACAGCATTTACCTCGCCTCCTTTATCTATATAAAGATTCTAGTATAATAAAGCATTATTGAACCAACCATTGTGTCTAGTTATCTATACATTACCGAGTAAACACGCAATAATTTCTTTGTTTCCATAACATGCTGCCCAATGTAATGGCGTGTTCTTACTACCTTGCGAGTCCCATGAATTGACATCTAATCCAGCATCCAGCAATTGCACCACTCTATCTATCCTATAAAAAAAAACACATGCTTAAAACATTTGATACTGTAATTAATATAGATAATTATTATACCTTTTATTATAAGGAAATATATTATATAAGGAAAAAAGAAACTTTCAAATTGTGATAAGTATTTACATACTCGGAAGCGGCTGTTGCCCTCAACAATTCCTCTATATAAATACGTCGTATTGCATCACTAGAGGCAACATCTACTGCATTGTGTCCGTTTGCATTTTGTACAGCTGGATCAGCTCCGCAATTTAAGAGAGTTCGTACAATATCTGCTCGATTGGTCTAAAAACATGCACAATTAAATTAGAAAATTTAAAGAAAAAAAAAAAAACAAACGAAGAAATATTATACCTTTGAGGCGTATGATAAGAAAGTTCCTCCTTCCAAGAACGGGTGATTTAATATTTTATCTCTCGTAATCCCTTCTGTCGCATTACCATTCTCACCTATGGGCAGAAAGGTCGACGAAATAAAGAAGACGGCAAATAATATAAATGAAAAGATAATTCCAACAACATGGAATTTCGTGCTACAGAGCTGTTAATACGAAAACGTCATAAATACTCGGTCGCATCGACACGTTTGCAATACATACACGCGTCCAAGAGTGATCTGACAATATCGGTTCGTCCGTGTTCGATCGCCGTGCGAATATTCTCGCAAATCTCTTGCATCTCTGCTCGAAGTTCGGCCTACAGCTAGCGAGGGTCAGGGCAGCGCGTCGCCTGGCATTATCGGGACGTTATTCCGCTGTCAGCTGTCAGAAATCACGCCGGTCATCGTCGAGCTCGCGCAAATTAAATAGCGGCAAGACGCGCTATTGGATGTTGTGTACGTATATAGATAACTTGACAACCCACCAGTCCTGCCACGTATACTTCTCTTATCAACAAAAAAGATGTATGTTTGTTATTAACGAGTTCTACATCACCTCAAAAGCATTTTTGTATTTGTATATAAATAACGGAAAATTCAAATGCGCGAGAAAAAAAGTAAACTTGTATATCTGATTTTTTTTTCCTCATGTATTTACGTCCAATGTTTTTCTAACCATTTAAGAAATTCCCTAGCTAGAATAGAAAAGGCGGGAAACTCAACATTGCATTTTTGACGTTGATCGACCAATCACAAACGAAAGAAGCAGAGATTTCTGATTGGTCGGTCAAATACTTCGAAACTTTCACAGCATCAAAAGGAACATACTTTTAGAAAAATAAAAAATTTGAAGTAGCATGCACATCTTGGTTTGCTATTAGATCTATGACTCATCGTGGCTGTCACTTTGCGGGTGAATTTGTATTTGTTGTGATGTTTACGCATTGATTTGTATCATAAAAAACGTGTGATAAAACGTGAAATGAGAAGAAAATCCAATGATTATGTAATTTGATTAAAAAATTTACCAAATATATAAGTACGTAATCGAATATTAAAGACATAATCGAACGGTCACAGATTGTGAATTATAACCTATTTAATTATGATGACCATGGAATTATTATTTGGAATACAAATAAATTCTGAGATGGTTATGCCGATCACGTTGAGTGGCATAAATCTAAAAACGAAAGTGGAAGAGCTGAAACGGGAAGCCGCGGGAAAATGGAACCTGTCCAAGGATTCGTTGGGTAAAATGAGTTTGCACTATTTGAAGCTTGGTCAGGGTGTTTGTGTTCTTTGTTAGCCAAATTGACTATACTACTAACTTAGATCTATTTAAATTTAAGATATATCAATATATAAAGTAATTAAAAGATTTTAGAAAAAAAATAATATTCTTATTATTTAATATTTTTTAAAATTATTAACTTTTATAAGATAAATCTGAAAATTAGAATGTTTAATGTAAAAATATTTGAATAAATTAATATGAAATGATATTTATCCTCTTTCAGAATTCATTTATTGTGGACTTATACTTGAGGATGATGCAACAGTAGAATCCATTGGATTAAAAAATGGATCAATGGTGCATGCACTGAGAAAGAAGGAACCAGAATCACCAGTACCAAAGAGATTTATATCAGAAGATTGCATTTTACAGCTGTCATCAGCATTTAAAGCTTTTAATGAGACACCTGCATATAGAAGCGCTCTACATGTAATTTATTATTATTGAAATAATTTTTCTACTTTAATCTGTTTAATCAACTTCTGCTTCTCTTTTCTTTATAAATCATACAATTGTCAAATATTAATAAAGAAACTATACATAAATATTGTTATATATTTCAGCGTTTAAGTAAAAGACCAGAGGTGATAGACAATATTATATCTTCCTCTCCTGGATTGCATGAAGATTCTGTCGCCATTGCTATGTTACAGGATCCAGATTTAATGGCACATTTCACAGATGTTAACACTGTGAAAAGGTGATGCATATGATTGTATATACGATTTTAACTTTCATCAGTTGATATATTCGATGATTTTATACAAAAACTTACTAGAAAAATATATATAACTTCATACTTTGCTGGTATGAAATTCGTGCAACTCAAATTTTTTTATATATTTAGAATAGCAGAGTTGCATCCGGTACTAATCGAGGCAGCGCAAAATATCGCGGCGGCTGTGCACGAGGAAGCGCAAAACGCAGCCTCCAGCGGCTCCTCCAGCAGTTCGATGGCTAGTTCGCAACCTACTACCGCACGCTCCTATAGCGTGGATAACATGAGCCTGGAGGAGGAGATGGCGCGTGACATCGCACACTTTTTCGCCACGCATCCTGTAAACGATAACAACTTGCGTTTTCCCAACATGCCGGCCGCCGCGAATTCGCAGGCGTCTCAACGATCGGACAATCCACCGTCCTCCACATCCGGTGGTGCCAATCAACCTGTGACTGGCAACCAGAGTACCGGAGGTGTGATTACATCTCAAATGTTTATGGAAGCAATGAGACAAGCCGCACTCGCGACCAATCCAAACTCGCAACAAGCAACCGCATCCCCGATGGCTTCCCTGCCACCGATGTTACCGTCATTTTCACCTCCGGTCACCGATTTGCAGCGGCAATTGGCACAGATGCATGAAATGGGTCTCCAAGATGATACGGTGAACATTCAAGCACTGCAATTCACCAATGGTGACGTGCAGGCGGCGATCGAACTCGTATTTAGCGGTTTTAATGATAATTAATGGACAGCAAGAACAATGGGACAAGAGTTGTAAGTGATTACATTTTGTATAAATAATGTCTTCAAATTTTTAGATATCTTAATTTAGATATCTGTGACACTATTCTTGATCTATAGTGTGAATCAATGAACTATATATGTATATAAAACTCGTATACAAGTATAAAAATTATTGTTTGAGGAAAGTTTTATCTTTTATATATATATATATATATATATATATATTTAATTTTTTATAAAATTATTTATATTGTTCATTATTTTTTCTATCTTCATTAATGATATATAATTGCAAAATCTATGAAATTTCTCGATCTTTCAGAAGTTAGTTTAAAAATTATATTAATTTTAAAATTATAAATTCTGTATTAATATCATGTATCAATTATATCTTCGATAATTTTTATATCTTGTTTCGCTTAAAAAATATCGACTTTTACAAATAATTTTTTTTGTACTATATGCTAATTCGCCGTTTTAAGTGACCCATATATGTCACAATTATCTCTAAATTCTAATCACTATTGATACTGTATCTCTTCCAATTTTATTAACGCGCCTGTGTACAGACAACCAATATTAGCATAACAAAGGCGCGTGTAATCAGGAATTTAGTAAAAGTTTGATAATGATTTAAATACAAATTGACACATAAATATACAATACATATAAACTTTACTAAGATCTTTCACATTGCTTTCATGACCATTTCTTCAGAAATGTATGCAATATGAGACAAAAATTGTAGTAGAAACTTCTGTTTAACACATGTGAGCCATGTAGAATGACGCTTCAATATGTGGATGTGCCAAAAATGCTCGGAATAAATGCGTCATGCATGTCAGCAGTGACGTATGCATTAATGCGAAATCGAATGAGTCGCGAAAATCAACACAATAGTGCATAGATGACATATGCAAGTATCAGTCATGTGTCATCGTTTTAAGTGTTGTTCTTAAAATCTTAAGTGTCTTATAAGTGGTGATAACTAAGATTTATCTGATTATTTACACAGAGAATGATTAAATCGGAAAACACAATTCTGATTATTATAGGAGTTATTAACAATAATTATGTGTAAATAATGTAAAGATAATCTCATTTATCTCTATAGAATTTATATAGATTGATTATGTAAGAATTATAAACATTAGCAATTTTTATCGGCGGTTGAAGCAAACTTTACGCAAATATATAAACAGAGATTTATTAGAGAAATTATTCGTAAGTGTAGATATTTTTGAAAAAAAAATGTATATATGTATATTTTTATATACATGTATATTTATAAATTAAAAAGTCCTAATAAACATTGAGTTCGCAAAGGAGCCATTTTTGAGATATTTGCAATATCTCATAATTTAATTTAATTTACCTATAATCACAATGAATAAATAAAAAATAAAAAAGTATATAAAAATATCTCAAAAATGATTTATTTGCGCACCGAAAAATATTTATTAAGACTTTTCGACTTGTTTTTGGACATGCTAAGTCTCTTTAAACTATTTTACCCTTTTTTTCAATCTTCTGTCTGGCGCGCCATTTTTGAATTTAAAAAAAGGAAGAAAGGTTTTTGCGATTCGATTGCAGAGGGTGCGACGTGCACGCGGCACAATACTGCGTCGTGTTGGTGTGCGTATGCCGGTTTGCCGGTCCACGCGCGCCAACGCTTCGAGCGCACGCGAGAGACGCGTAAAGGGGATTTGTGGTGCTACGGTCGAATGGTCCGTCAGTAGGAATCGGGATTTCGTGTGGTTTGGATGTATCGTTCCGAAACGTGCTGTTGCATCCCGCAGTCGTAGTGCACGACACGTGTAGCACGTGCTCACAACGTTTGACATAACTTATACATTCGACGCACACGTGTCTCTTACCAGCTGGAGGACAGGAGAATTATCGCGAAAAAAAGGATCTGTCAGCGCGATGATCGCCCTTTCAAAAAGCTCGTTGCCAGGATAAAGCGCAAAACGGGACAACAGCGGCATCGGTAAGAGACAGATACATCTATTCTTGGTGCGAGAGGTTATGGAAAAATCAAGACTGTAATCTCGTTTGGATATCCTGCGCGCTCGCAGGACGCGAGTTCAACGAACGAAGAAGGTGGACGAGCAAAAAGCGTGAGTTTTTCTGCCCCCGAAAATGTTCGACCTTTGAATTTTATTTCGTAAACAAAGCGACAGATTTTTTTTTTCATTTTTCTATCTCTTCGCGAAGTTTACGCTCGATTAACGTCAAGGGTCGTGGACGACGACGGGAACGACCGGTCTCCGCGTTTAGCGTAGGACACGCGGCTCTGAGAATGCGGTCCCCCCGACTTCGCCGAGGCGGGCGCGCGCTGTCTGCGACCAAACGAGCCGGTCGCGTGCGAGAGCGAACGCGCGGAAGCAGGGTCGGGTTCAAAAACATCTACGGAGGTCTTTCACACACGACGAGCGTGTCTCGTGATTCTCCATTCTCTACATTTTATATAAAAAAAAATTTCATTTTTTTTTTTCGAATAAATTATGATACAGGATTATCTTGTCAGAATCCAGAATTCGTTATATTACGTTTTTTTAACATCTTAATTTATTCTAAATAAAAATTAGACATTTTACACGCGACGAGATTCTCGTGATTCTTCACTCTCTACATTTTATATCAAAAAAATTTTATTGATTTTTCTCTCAAATTATGATATAGAATTATCTTGTTAGATGTCAGAATTCGTTGCATTACTTATATTTTCTAGATCTCTCCTCAATTTATTTTAAATAAGAATTAGGTATTTCACACACGACAAGTTTCTCGTGATTCTCCACTCTATATTTTATATAAAAATTGAATTTTTTATTTTTCTTTCAAATAAATTATAATATAGGATTATAATATAGGATTAGTTTGTGATGTCACATAGAAAGAATTTTCTCTTAGAATTTCTAGTAGAATCCAGAATTCGTAAAAATAAAAAAATTATAGTAAATCGTGGGATAATATGATATTAGAAGAATTTTATAAGAGTTTCATTAAATATTTACTACAATAAATAATATTTGTATGCACATATAATAAAATTAATCGAACATTTTTTTATATCTTATTGCGGTATAGATATTAATATTTTTTATTATGATAAATATTAATCAGAGAAACTCTTATAAAATTCTTCCAGTATTATTGTCTCATGATTATCATGATTTTCAGGATAAATACTAACAATAAGAGAAAATTCTCTCTATGTGCACAATTCAGAATTTTTTCGTAAAGATAAAAAAAATTACTGCCTGCACACACACATTTTTCCATCCTTTTTTTATTTAATATTTAAATCGGAACATATATATTCTGTATTTTTGTACCTCGTACTTCTCCGCTCTATATTTTGCACAAAAAAATGTTTTTTTCTCTTAAATAATTTATAATATAGATAATTTGCCTTTCAAACGACTAGGATTATCTTATCGCAGAATCCAGAATTCGTAAAGATAAAAAGATCTCTACCTGCACACAATTTTCCCATCCTTTTTTATTTAATTGCAACATATATTCTATACTTTTTTACATCTCAATTTATTCTTAAAAAAATTAATGACGTAAGATGAAATATGCATGCAATGCAAAAAGGCTCTCCTCGTCGAAAGAAAACATTTTTTTTTTAAATCGTGTCAAATAAAACATTAAAGAAAGAGATGTGTGAGAAATCTGTGCTAAATTGCCTCACGAAATAGAAGCTGCAGAAAGTGAGACGAATGAACCTCTAAAACGATGCTATAATTAATATTCTCTCGATACGAGGAAGTACCTTGTATCGAACTCTCTCTCTCTCTCTCGGATACATATATTATTTTTTAAATTATTACTCGCGCATTGTCTGGAGCAAAAAGAAGAAACAGCTCGGGATTTAGCCTTGCACCGGCCCTGCATGGAAATGTGCACATTCGCAATAAAGGCCGCGGCACCGTTCGCGATCGGTCGACGTTGCTAAGCGCGCCGACAGTTTTTAAAGGTTCATTCGTCTCACTTTCTGCATCCTCTATTCCGCGATTTAGCACAGTGATTCTTCGTCCCTTTTTACGTCTTGCTTAGCCTTTCAATTTTTTATACTGCACGATTTTAAGAAAGATTAAGAAAGAGAATTTTTCCTGCCTCTGCACCAGGAGGGTTTTTTTTGCACTGTGTATCTCATTTTATTTGTCATTAATTTTTATTTAAAATAAATTGAGAGATGTAAAAGAATATAGAATGTAAGATGTTGCGAGATAATATATGAAACAAAATACTTGACGCAGTCGACATGCTAATTCTCTCTTTTCAAGCATGCAGTTTCAGCAATTTCGAGGAACGATAATCTCTCTGATTTCTCGAAGATTATTTTGAGAGATGTTACAGAGAAGAGATCTACCGTTTTCGTTCCCCGAAACTATACTTCGTAAATTTTATTCTTTGTATTTTATTGTCTTCAGGACAAAATAAAAATTGAAGAAAAAAGTATAAAGAAAATCACTTCGAATGCGACCTTCGAGAGGCCAAATCTGGAGGAGAGCGAAAGTTTGTAAATCGTTTCTCGAAATAAAATTCAGCCTTCTTTTCTGAAAAAAATTTTTAAAACGATGTGAGAAAATCGTAAAATCACTACCTGTAGAATAGAATCGATCTTTTATTGTAGAAGCAACATCCGAGGTACCTGCGCCTATATTGTTGAAAGAACAAACTCGGATCGATGAGTCGTTATATTTCATTTTTCACGACAGGTCATTTTTCATGTTCGTACATATGCCTATCCTCGGAACAACGCGTTTAAAACTAACAAAAACGGCTTCTCTAAGTTACACCTACCTCTGGCAAAGTTATGTTTCTTTACAACGTTTTATTAACACCTTCCACGTATTCATATATTCGATGTAAATTTCCTTCATTATATTTTTTTATGAAAATATACGACGCGTTATTACTAATCGGTTAGTCATGGTTTTAATATTAATATAAGATTCGTCGTAACACTTTTTTTTACTCTTATGTTAGGATAAATTTAAGATTGAAGAATCAGAGGAAAGATAAATTTTACATTTACAACTTTTTAATAAAAATATATGATTTACGTGTGTACCAAGTTAATTTCAATTATGAAAGGATTTTTTAATTATTAGAATTTTTCCAAATTTTATTTGGAACATATGTATATTTTATATGGATATTTCACGACGAGGATTCGATTGGCGTTTAGAGCCATCGCTAATATGAATTTCGCGATCAAATGATTTAGAAAAGCGCGATCCTTATTTCGCAGGAAATGATGCGGAGGAAGGAAGCGCAAAAAGTGACCGCGAATAGAACGGATGATTCCGACGAGTTCCCTGAACGTTCATATACTTTTTTCTTTCTCTTTTCTTTCAGAAAATAATCTTAATATTTCCTCCGAGTCTTTCTAATCTCCAAAAGCCGATTATACTTTACCGACTAAAATTCCTCTCTTATCGTTAATATTAGAACCGCATGTTGATTTTCGATTTCGCATTGCTCGATTTAGTGACTCGATCATATATTAAATTATAATAAAAAAATAATGTTTATACTCGAAATTTAAAAAAATTACATTATTTTCTTCCGTCAAATTATTTTGCAACTTTTATAATGTAAATAATTTTTATATAGTGTTAAAGTATTCTGCGTCTCGTCTTAAATTTCAAGGTCTTGCAACGTTATTAATAAATCGCAATATTGTCGAACGTATTTTATGGCAGATCATATAATAGACAATTAAAATAAAAATAAATAAAATAAATAAATAAAAATTAGTCAATAAAAATGTCTCGCCCAGATTTTGGCGATAGCCAAGCCTCGCGGATGATGCTTGCAACGGTTCGCTGATCGCAATAAGTACTTCCGCAAACGGACGTGCATTCAGAGCACCAGTAACTGTTTGTTATCAAAAGGTCGCATTCGCACGAAAGTTTATAATTTTAATTGCACCACAAATGATTATTTTATTTGCAGATCGCGGCTAAGAATAGATTAGTGTTCGTCACTTTATCATCTTTCTCGAGAAAGATATGCATATAGAAAGAGAACAGTTTCATCGCAAGATGTACTAGGAATTCGTATAAATTGTTTGAATGTTATTGTGATTGAGATAAAATTATCGAATTGTAGATTGCAAATTAATGCGCTTTATTTTATAAAATTGTGTAAACTTTTGAGAGTTGCTTTTTACGATTTAGGCTCTGATAATATTGACTTAAAAATCCGGTTATTTCGGAGAAGCGGATATATTTTATATGGTTTAACATTGAATAATATGCGTTCGCTACCAGTTCGAGCTCGCCTCAAACTGGTTTATTCAAATTCGAATCGGGTGCGATGGCCAATTCAGAATAAGAGCGCGTGATTCCAAACGGATTTAATAAAGATTCCCATCAATTAAGTATGAATTTGAATCCGAATGTAAACCGGTTTAAACTACTCTTCAGCGGATTCGCGCATTTAAACCCTTCGCATATCTACGGGATAGAAATCGATCATCAACGTATATTACTAAATAATATTTTTCGATTAAAAAAGTGTAGTAAAATTTAAATTAATGAAATAATATCAGAAGCAACATAATTATATGTTATTAGTTAATTAAATTCTCTTATAAAAATTAACGACATAATATGTTCATTCGTGACTCGATCTTTCTCAGGATATTACCAAATTACCTGTAATATTGCACTGAAGCTTTATATTACGCTGAACATCTCCCTGATTAATTCATTACTCAGAAATCTGAGGACATTAGATATTCTTCGCGCATTACCAATTCTAAGACAACGAAGCTATTTGAAACGTCGCTATTTGAAAATTACGGATGCAATTCATAATGTATTCGGATATTAAGACGACATATTTTATTGGTGATGATTGTTCGCGATTGTGAGAATACGCTGCTATATGATTTCGTCAAATCGTTTCGCGAGATTTTTTTTTAATTTGACAATTTTTTTCGGATGATTGTTTCTGAAATCTGTTACAAGATGTAATTTTTTCACATTATGTTTATTTTGGATCTGTCTCATAAAAACTAAAATATATTAATTACGAATTCTACACAGACACATTTTTTTTAGAATTTATTCTGAAAATCATGGAACAATATGATATTGGAAAAATGTTATAAAAATTTCTCTGATTAATATTTACCACAATACAAAATATTAATATGTACATTTAATAAATTTTAGTATGCACATATAGTAAAATTAATCGAACATATTTTATATTTTATTGTGGTAGATAATAATATTTTGTATTGTGGTAAATTAATCAGAGAGAAACTCTTATAAAATTTTTCCAATACCATATACGTATACTATTTCACGATTGCAATGATTTTCAGGGTATATTCTCTCCGCGCGTATATTTTGAAATATATACTCAATATCATAAAAAGATTGGGGTATTTTATTTTTTCAGTAATTTTCCGCATCAATATCCGTAATAGAATTTATTTTTCGAAAAGAGAAAATTTATTTCTTAGAAATTCTTTAATAGAGAAAACAAATTCATTTAATGGATATCGCTGTGGAGTTTATAAATACTTTCAGTCATGAAATTAATTAATATTTTTTAATAATTATTATTAATTAAAATTTTTAATATTTTCGTATTGATCAGATAATAGATATAAATTAGATATAAGTTCTAGCGTGTTCGGATTTTTTTCGCCCCGATCGAAATCTTCCATGTTTGCACGCATCGGTGCATCGCAATTACTCCGATGCAATACATCGAATAAATTGCCTAACTGTCAACGATTTATCTCGTCTGCGTCTTACGGGCGCCGCGATGGTCTTAAAAAGCCTCTCCCAGCAATATTTTGCATTCGCTTGTGGCGGCCGTCAATAAAAGAGGCGCCATCGAAGGCAAACACTTCGATCTCGCGTGCGTATATGTTCTAGAGATCGTACCGTTTGCTTAGCTGTTAATTAACATATCAGCATTCACGGCTAACGCGACGCGAATAATTGTGCGATTATCATGACGAAAGAGATTACATTGACATCAGTTTTTTGAAATATATGCGATTTAAAGTGAGATGTCACACAGACAGTTTGTCGAATTAATTAGACATACTTGCTGATTGATACACATAATATATCATCGTTTATATATTATGTATCAATTGCGGTATCTTCAATCGATTTGGTGAAAATTTTTAGTGAAATTTATAGCAAATGATAAGAAATTATGAATATAATACATCTTTTTATATAAAGATATACAGAGATAATTTTTCTTAGAATTTATCTTGAAAATCATGCGGTAATTGTTGGACAATATGGTATTAGAAGAATTTTATAAGAGTTTCTCTGATTAATATTTACCACAATAAAAATATTAATATCTATCACAATAAGATATAAAATGTTCGATTAATTTTACTATGTACATATTAATATTTTTTATTGTGGTAAATATTAATCAGAGAAACTCTTATAAAATTCTTCCAATATTATATTGTCTCATGATTTTCAGGGTAAATTCTAAGAGAAAATTCTCTCTGTATATAAAAGTTATTAAAAATAGTGACACAATTTATTTGTTGTACAATATATATATATATATATATAAGTGTTATGAATAAAGATATGCTTCATAAATATAATAATTAAATATGTATTTAGTTATTAATCATTAATATTGTACTTATTTATCGGATTTAATTTAAACATGAAAATGTTAATTTCTATTACTTTCTGATTTATAAAATTCTTACAAATACAGAGAGATTTATACTTTTAATTACATATAATTGTGCATTTAATATTATCTATATTTTTATTTTATTTTTTATTTTTCATAATTATATCGCCAAGAATGAAGATCTATCAGGATTCGCTCAAACTAACTTTTATTATTCAGAATTATGCATCGTGTGTTTATGCAGAGAGTGCATAGACCGTAGATCCTTTTGTCGTAAGGACGACAAATTATTGACTTCGTAAACACACTTCAGAAACAATGATTCGATAAAAGTCCGCCTGTTGGGGCCGCAAATCCCTATCACACGTGTATTTCCACGTGGGAATACGAAGTGACGTGTCACAGATACGGAAAAAAATAGTGCGTCAAAAGGCGCGGTTTCTTCGGCAATTAGATAAACTCGTACATTAACCCACCCGGGACTGGAGATAATTGTGTAGATTTTACGATGTTAAGTGGCAAGAGTAATTTTATAATTGGCACACCCACACGTACTTGTTACTTAATTATCATGAAGTAGACAAGGTCAATCAAGAGGTCTCAGCTTTATGGCTTTTTACCTTGAACCCTCTGAGCCATTAATCTCAGGATTAATGCAAATATCAATTTTCATTAAATATATTAATAATTTAATTCCTATTAATAATGTTGCTTTTATTAATGGGACCATGTCTAGTTAAAATCAGCAATTTAGTGTTCATTATTTAGTTCATTATCGCGTCGAAATTTGCATGTTTTTATTATTTTCCATTTTGAGATATTTTAATCGCAAATATAAATAGATATAAATAATAAAGACATAAACATTCCACGAATTCACAAAGCATATTAAGTCTAATCAAGCATCACATCAAATTAAATAAACTGTCTGCTCTAATCTTTAGCAGATGCGGTTTAATATTCTATTTTTAATTTTTAATCGTCGTAATCACGTATGGAAGCAAATAAGAATTCGAATATTATAAGTATATAAATATTAATTTGCAACAAACTCTATATGAGCATTGCTCATTTGCACAACTATATGCTATTTTATAATCAATATAGATAGAATATTATAAAATATAATAAAATAATATTTCATTAATATTTAAAATACATTAATAAAATAATATAATTTCAAAATGATAAGAATACACATAAAAACAATAATTTAGAATATATTTTATGTAACATAAAAATGCTTTAATTAAAATGCTAAAGTGACACTGTATATACGATACATTTTTATAGTAAAATAAAATGTATTTTAAATATTTTTATAGATTATTTAGTTAAATTTAAAAATATTCAGATTTTTCTAAAAAAAAAAAAAAAGAAAAAAAAAGAAATGTAACATTGGATAACGATTGTCGACAGGTGACCGCAACCGGCGTTATCGGACAACCGCCTTGACGAATCAATAAATTCCCGAAGAGGAAACCGCAGAGAGAAATTAGATTGCTGTTTGATCGGCCATTGTACGCGCGATCATTCGAGTCGTCGAGTTGCAGAGTGTGTTTTTTAACTACATCGGGAACCACAAAAGGAAAGGAAGAAGTTGACAAGAGCACAGAGAGAAAAAATTAACAGAAAAATGGCACACGAAAATGGGATAAACGGTGGGGACACCGACTCGGAATCGATGGAGCTAAATCCTGTGAGGAGAACCAGATTTCACGTGAACCGGGTCGACAGTCTCGAAGGTCGGGCCAGTCTCCTTGGCGAGCAAGAAACCAAGAAATCCCTCAGGCACATGACCAGGGAGGCCTTGCCCAGACTAGACAATTACAGGAACATCATGAGCATCCAGGCGGCTCACAGACCTTCGTTGGACGAGTTGCACAATCCCACTCTTCTCAACAAGGTAAGGCTTTAATGATTTCTCTTGAAGGCAATATCGTCTGCGAGTTAAACAGCTTTCCATCATGGTAATAACATATATGTTTCAACCACTTGACGAAAGTGGTACTAAAGATACCTCTTTGGTATAATATAAAATTTGAAATCAAAATTAACACGATATTTTTTTTCATAAATCATAAATGTCATTTCTCATTTTTTTATCCAAATAATTCTACATTTGTGGAAATTTAAAACTAAACTTATAATTATCTCTGAATTTGGGGAAAGAGCTATATGCAGTTTTATATGCACGAAGAAGATTTGCGAATGTCATATACAAGACGCCACAACATAAAATGATTACGATATCGGAGAATTTTATTTATATCTTGCAATTCTCTGATAAACATTTTTGCGATGATCCGAGCATAATGAAGCTTATACATATATATACACGAAATGTTAATATTTCATGTCATTACATTATAACAAAGTGATAGCTCAAACTCTGTAATGATAAAGAATGACATATCGCGAAGAAAATCCGGACAATGTACCGCATCTTATTCGTTAATTAATTCATATAAAAAATATAAAATATTTTCGATATTTTTTTTATATGAATATTAGAAAAATAAAATTCACCATATCAATAGAGATGTGAATGTCGAATTGCATAGTATTGAATTGCATAATGAATTTCTCGGAAGGATCATTCGCGATTACGAAACAAGAAGTAGATAATATATATAAGAAAACCATAAATAACCGTAGAAAAACGTATATTGTAAAAAACAAATATACATATATAGGGGTATCAGATAAATGTGAATTTATCAATGTACAGCGGATGTATCTTCGATGATACTACATGACACGCATTCTTGCATGGCAGACACACTGCATATTGCTGACATTCACCCGTTTTACGAATTTTTCATTCGTTATCTGTCTGTGGTCTCCTTCTCTTTCTCTCTCTATCTTTCTTTGGTAGAATTAGTATCTAAAATTAACCGGTCCCGTATATGTGCGGGCTGTAATCTAGTACATGTTCCGAAAGTTTCTGGATTACACATGTGTTCTAAAAATATGATTCAGAAAAGTGTAGCAATATCAGTAGCACAACAATGAATTTTTTTCACACAATTCGTTTCATGTGATTTCTTTCTGAAAAATTTAATCCGAAGCTTTACTGCGTAGAATTATTTAAATTTAAAAGAAATAAAGATTAAATATAAAATAAATATATATTTTTCATTTTTTAAATTTCTTAATTGCTCGAATAATTTCTCCGAGTAAAATAAAATGTTTCTTTATTTATGATCGTGATTAAAATTATATCAGAAATTTTTTTTCATAAATTGTGGATATACATATGTATGTTTTTTTTTTAAGTTATCATAGCGTCATATAACGTAAAAAATATAATGATAGCACAGTATGTGCGTGTCTCTTCTTTTTCCAACTTAATCGTGACATGCGGTATTAATTACGCTCTCGCGAACGACTTGTAAATCATTGCGCGATTATACAGAGATTATTAATTGTGCAATTAACCCGCGGTTAAATGCTACAGCTTGGCGCCAAGGATTTACGCCATTTCGTCTCGCGGTGACGTCGACCTCGTGATTAAACTCGTGACGAAAAACATTTCGGTTTACTATCTCTTCGTTCACAAAGTAGGTGAAAACGCGATGCCGTGCGTAAATACGGTACCACTGGGAATCTTTATTGCTTTACGTGACAATCCGTTCACGACGACGCAACTTTACGACATAATGTGGTACCGTTATCAAACGGCGTAACACTGGTGCAATGTGGTGTTAAATATTTGCAATGATTAATTTCGCGTACTTTGTATTTTTAAAGAGCTAGGTACTAGATATTAGATACTAGATGAGACAGTACAAATACACCGATGTTGCACTAATTGCAGCGTTGCACAATGATAATAAAATTCAAATCTATTTTGATATTAATTACGTATAAATTTTTTTGTCAATCGTTATTACACTTTATATTGTTTTCATAGTATTTTTATATATGCAGTGATTTTATGGTTTATTAAAATTTTTGGTTTTTGTTAATGATTCACATATTAATATTTCTGGATATTAAAATTATGTAAATTTTTTCTACGAATCATTTTTATTCTAAACGAGTTGGTTCCTTTTAAATGTCTAACTGCGACCATATGCGAACTGTATATTTTCAAGTATCATAAATCAAATAATGCGCACTCACGATTCATCATTCGATTCATTACTTTTCAAAGCGTGTACTTCTTTTCACTCGCGAATCGGTCAAAGTCGCCATAAAAGCGTTTTCTAGGCGTGAAAAGAATGTCCTTGATACTTTAGATAGGAACTCGTCGAATTTTTCGGTAATACTCGATTTCATTTCCACTCGGCAATGTCCAGTAATAATTTTTGTTTGCTCGATAAAAATTTTTGTTTGCTCAGCAACTAGTCTCTTCTTTGCAAACATTAGCAAAGAATAATGAGAATTTGCTCAACGTTTATAAATATTTATATTTTCCTACGAGCGATAGTTAGGCTGCACTGCACATTATACATACTATTTTTAAATTTAAAGAATCTAGATATTTTATTTTTTTTGTAAAATAATTATAATACATTTTATTTACAAGAGTGCAATTTTGCATTATTTCTACACAGAGAATTTTCTCTTAGAATTTACTCTAATTATGAAAATCGCGAGACAATGCGGTATTGAAAGAATTTTATAAGTGTTTCTCTGATTAATATTTATCATAATAAAAATATTAATATCTAACAATAAGATATAAAATTGTACATATTAATATATTTTATTGTGATAAATATTAATTAGAACTCTTATAAAATTCTTGCAATACCATATTTTCCGATGATTACTATGATTTTCAGGGTAAATTCTAAGAGAAAATTGTCTCCAATTTAAAATAAAATGAGGAATTATTTGCTGTCAATTTTATCGAAATTTTATAAGACAATTTAGATAGCTCGTATGAAAGGAGATCTCTCATGGCTAAAGAGAAAGGGGCTAAAATTGTACAACCAGGGCGGTGGCCGCTTACACGTGAAGGAATGACATGGTTGCATACCGGGTCACGAAGAATTAATATGTATTTAAACAAATTTTAAAAAAATGTCACGTATAGACCATTCGCGCGCATTCTGTATAGAATAAATCATGACTTGACGTTTCGTGCAATACGAAATAATTGATCATATTGAATATATTAGCATATACAAAACTGACATATTGCAAAATATTTCAAACTCTATGGAAGATCAAACATTTTTTTCTTAATAAAAAATATATTTTAATTTTTTTTTTAATTATATTTTAATTATTGTATATTTAAAGGATACTCGAGCAGGATATACGGTAAAAATGATATCACGATAAAAGTCACGAATAAAATTGCGTATATTAACGTAACTAGAAAATAGCGAGGAAATTTTAATTTTGAATACATTGCAACGTAAACAATAGATAAGTTGCACATATCACGATATACACGTGCGACATAATGCAAGAAGCACGAAAGTTTTACGTTCGACGCGTAAAGTCGAATTATCTATGCAACAGATGTTGCGCCGTTAGTCATACTTCATTAATGCGAGCGAGGAAGTTTTTCAGAGAAGGATTACACGGTATACATACATATATATATATATATATATATATATATATATATATATATACGCATATGAAATCACGCGACTTGCCACGATAACTGTTAGGTCAAAGTGAAGACCGTCACGTGCGCTCGGACAATTAAAGTCTGTTGTTTGAAGTGATGACAAATACCCCCAGAAAGATCTCATCAGCTCGTACACACGTTGATAAGACATAAAAGGCGTAATTCCCCTCCGAGAAATCGATTCTTTTCTAGAAACGCAACGTGTTCTTGGGAGATCAAATTCGGGTTCATTTATCCCGCTCTACGTCGACAAATATCGTGATAATTAGACAAAATGTACACGTCGCGACTTCTACCGTAACTAAATTGCTGATACTTGACTTTTCTCGTACATGTGACATCGTCATGTGACGTAATCTTTTGGCTCAAGATGATGCTGTTAATTGACTCTAATTAGCGACTCTCTTTTTTTAGATTGCAAACTCTATATAAATAAAAAGGTTAATTAATCACGTTAAGACTTTACCTATATTGATGATCTCAAGTACTGATTGCTTTCAGAAGTAATGGGATGAATTTAACACATTCGAAAAAGAGTTTATTTCGCGAAACATGAGTCAGATCGATAACAATCTGACGTAAATTAATGAATGAAGAGTTCTTTCAGTACAAATTATGATTTTTCATCATTTCTCTCATTTATCCATTGACCAGCTTCCGATATCGATCATTTATATTTCGCATTTAACATCAAAAACGAAATACGCAAATGGTTTTGTCTTTGTTTGAATATTGTTCATCGCTATTTGTACACGAGATTGATTTTTGATCAAATTTATTTAAAACGATATCGATATGTAATATTGATTTTGCGTGTCGCCAAAAAAAGATATCTAATCAAATTCCGCGACACACGTCATAAAGTTTCCGGAATTGCGCGTTGGCGAACGAGCAAATAACAGAAAATCTCAATGACTACGTTTCGCACTCGTGATCGCGATCGATTGATCCGAATCGAACCAATCGCATACGAAGGACATGGAGATAAAACTCTCATTCCAATCTTTTTCATTATCGTATATAAAATCCTTACACCTTCATAAAAGCGTGCAGAAAATCTAGGTCTTCTTTCAACGAAAAAATTTCAAAAATAGAAGAAAGGGCACATGTGTCATATCACACAAAATTATGTATAAAAAAATAATTATATTACATTCTTCTTTTGAGTATTTTGTTACACATGCAGGAAATATTGCAGCTGCAAATGTAGAATTAAAATAAGAATTTAAATATATATAAGAATTAAGTTAGCGTGCGTCGATAAAAAATACAATTCCTAGTAGACTTTTCTTTGAAATTAATTCTCTATGACCTACATGATTTTACGAACGACCGATTCAATTGCACGATATGGCGGTATCAATGGGGTCAGTAAAACGTGCGCCCCGAATAAATCACGAGTCCCTGAAGGACTAAGCATGTTACACGTGTATTATTTGCTTTTGCTCGTGTGTGGTGGAAAATATGTACAAACACGCACGAGAGAATACGTGAAAGGAGATTTATTTATATAGAAGGTCTTTGTTCTTTCCTATGTTACTATACTGCCATAACCCACTTACGCTTCTTGTGTGCAATATGCATTTGTGCATATGTGTGTAAAGTTTGATTGCGCGTAATGTGAATAAAAAAAATTTTTTTTTCAGTATATCGAAATCTCTCTACGAATTAATCTTGAAAATGAATAACTAATTTTGTATAACTCCATAAAAAAATACGGAATTAGAACTTTTCATCGTCATTCATTTCCACATGACTGCATTTGATATTTTAAAAGCTTCGATTTAATTATTCGATTATTCATTTCTCTTAAAGACTTCCGTAAATATTTCAGGAAATTTTTTTAACTAAATTATTATATTTTAAATAATTCAAATAATAGAAATTATATGTGGAAAAATATAATAACGTAATGATTTATTGTGTGTAGAGAGATACATAGATTCTACTTTTATATCTGTTTAATTTTTCAGTTTTTTAATAGAAAAAATTTTATATTATAGATTATTTGGCTTTATTACGTAATAGATAACCTTTTTTTGGATGTCTCAAATAAAAGGAAGAACTGATTACATTCATTTATAACAAAAAATTATAAGATTTGGTGCACCAAAGATAAAATCGCGAGATTGTATTTGTGAAATTGTGCAAGAATGATTTCGCAAGTACACTAGAATTTATATGCACATGAAGCAAAATATTCGATATTATATGTAATGGAAAATCACAGGATTAAATAATCATCAGCCTAACAGAGACTTATAAAGAAGAATTTGCAATCCAATCAAAATCAAATTGAAAGCAATTGATTTAACATTTAACTCTCGTTATTAATTACTCATGTTCTGATACATAAATTTTTTTTCGTCATTCATTTCCACATGACTGCATTTGATATTTTAAAAGCTTCGATCTAATTATTCGATTATTCATTTCTCTTAAAGACTTCCGTAAATATTTCAAGGAAGCCGTCCGGAAATCATTAATCATCGCGTCAATATTGTTCAAGCATTATCGAAAGACAATATTTTTCAAGAAAACATAGAGACTTAAAAATTCATATTTTTCGTCGTACAAGGACGTTTCCAAATTAAAAAATTTTTTTATTTTATCAAATAATTGTCATTCATATATATTCGCAAAAAATTCTTCGACATCGTTACGTAGAGATGAGACTTGATTATGTAAATTGTTAAGACTTTATTAACCAAATGGCGACCCTTTGAAGACCTTCAGAATCACCTTCAATGCCTCCGATAATCGATTCTAAATTTCAATCTAATTATATTAATCTGGTGATTAGCGAGAATCGCGTAAACGCGACGCATTTGATGAGATTTAAACATCGCCGTCTCATCATCTACGAGAAATCATTCGGAATCGTTCAAAGCACCGACCTTGAAGTCTCTCTGTCAATTATCTCTGTCGATTATCGGGTTGATGAAGACATTCCGACGGTACAGCATAATTTCTCGCGTAATTACGAGCAGACCGCGTCCGGAATCATTACGTGATTTGCATGAAGGAACGGTCGATTCTCGATTGCGGCATTTCGAGAAAGTCTCGACTCAAGAGACTTCCTGAAGAGACTTCGTCAATCTTTCTTTCTTTCTTTTTATTTTCTCCTTAAGTTAAAATCTCGCATAGTTACACGTCCTCGTAAACATGTGTGCACATGTGTGACATTCTGTAAGCTGCTGACGATGCAGCGGAATACGAGAGAATGTAACTAATTGCACATACGGTGTTAGACTGCATAGTAAATGTAATTTGCTTTAAATGAGAATTATACGAAAATAAAATTAAATTGAAAGAAAGATAATTAAATAAAAATGTAATTGAGATTTAAATATGAAAATTGAAATATATTTAAGTGGAAGTTAAACTGAAATTGAATGAAGAATGATATGTATGTTACATAATACTGTACATGAATTAATTTTATAAATATAGTTTTCTGACAGAGAAGCCGTAGAGATATATAAATGGCATAAAATTGTATATTTCGGTCGACTTTTTCAAACAATTAAATTTTTTATTAGAAATTGCACCGTACATTCTCTGCGATATTATGAACTTCAAACCCCTGAATCGGATATGTTTATTGACGAACAAATTCTCTGATCGTATAGATTTCTTTCATTATTTTATTGCCTCCATTCAATTTTTTTGCATTCCAATGTTGGAATGTGAAACATACATATGTTCTTTATTGTAATTTGAAACATTGTTATTTTCATATTTTTTAACATCTTGTTTTCTGCGTATTTTGCTGATGTCAGTAATTGCAATCATATTATTTACGAAGAAGGATTTTTTTTCCTATTCTGTCTATAAATAAATAAATTTATTTAGGGTCCAGGATCGCACACGTTAACTGTTCCGCAAGTAAAATCCATGACGCCCGGAGTGAAGTTTGGATGGATTCAAGGAGTGCTTATGCGATGTCTCCTCAACATCTGGGGAGTAATGCTCTTCCTACGACTCTCCTGGGTCGTGGCGCAAACTGGAGTGGGTGGGTATTCCGTTGTTGAATTATTCTTCGAGTAATTAAATTCCTGAGATTTTAACGTCATTGATGTCATTCCAGGTCAAAGTATTTTATTGATTCTCACGACGACAGTAGTCACGACGATCACAGCCTTGTCGATGTCAGCAATCAGCACCAACGGTCTCATTAAAGGAGGTATGCAATATATTGTACAATATAAATATCAAGGATATCGAAAATTTAAAAATTAATAAAATGCTGTTCTCATAATTTGACTCCAAAAATTAACGCGAAAAATATGTTTTAAGAATTATATATATATTAAATTATGGATTGTGAGACAACCCAGAATATATTACATTATCGATCGCATAAAGAAATTGATAAGAAATTGATGCAGGAGAACAATATCGGCTTTAACTATCTTTCATGATTCTTGCATGTTGGAGAACTTATACTCAAGAATCTAATTTTATTAGAATTAGTAATGACATTTTTCGGTATAATAGTTTTTTCGTGCGTAATTATATGAAATAAAATAAAATTTGTTCATCTTATTGAATAATAAAAAAAAAAGATATCGCAATAATTAAATTTAATTAATTATTTATTTAATTAAATAAATAATTAAATTTAATTATTGCGATATCTTTTTTTTATCATTCAATAAGATGAAGAAATTTTATTTTATTTTATTTCATATAATTACGCACGAAAAAACTATTATACCGAAAAATGTCATTACTAGTTCTAATAAAATTAGATTCTTGAGTATAAGTTCTCCAACATGCAAGAATCATGAAAGATAGTTAAGGCCGATATTGTTCTCCTTCATCAATTTCTTTATGCGATCGATAATGTAATATATTCTGGGCTAATATAATACTTTCATAATTGTTTGCACATATGTATGTGAATTATTTTAATAAATTATTGTGTCGATGCAGCAACCATCATGATCGATCAAAGTTTGCACATTTCGTTGTTTCTTTTCAGGTGGAACGTATTACATGATTTCCAGGTCATTAGGACCCGAGTTTGGAGGTTCTATAGGTCTCATATTTTCTTTGGCGAATGCAGTCGCCTGTGCCATGTACATAGTCGGATTTTGTGAGAGTTTGGTGGATTGTCTTCGTTCCGGAGGCTTTTGTATAGTTGATTGTGCAATCACAGATATTAGGATCATAGGTTTGTAAGCACCCTTTAAAAATTTGATGGAGGATTTAATTATGATATCGTTTTTTCATTCACGCTCTAAAATTATGTCGAACGATACATATAATATTTGTGTTACATTTTCAGGTTGCATAACAATAGTTGTGCTTCTAATAATCGTAATAATCGGCCTGGAATGGGAAGCGAAAGCACAAGTAATCTTGCTAATAATCCTCCTCTTGGCTATCGGTGATTTCATGATCGGCACCTTTATCGGTCCCAAGAACGAACAAGAGAGAGCTAAAGGGTTCATCGGATATAACGGTAATAGTCCCTTTAATATTCCTTACTACATACTTTTTCTCGATATTTTTATATACGTCTCACTATCATAATTATTTACAAGAGAGAGTATAGAATTATGAGAATATTTGATATTTATGATTTGCAGGCGACCTGTTCAAGGAGAATTTTTATCCAGACTATAGATATAGCGAAGGCGTGAAACATAATTTCTTTTCAGTCTTAGCTATTTTCTTCCCAGCGGCAACAGGTATCCTGGCAGGTGCGAATATATCCGGTGACTTGAAGGTGACTTAATCCTTTTATATACGAGAGATATTCAAATATTCATTCAATGTCAATTCTCAATGTGATTATCGTCTATTTGATTATTCATCAATCTGCATCAAGGATATCGTTCAAGGATATCAGATTTTATATAAGTTATTTTTACATTAAATAAATGAACGATGAAGAAACTCGCGCCGTGTTTCTTTATCACGATTAATCGCAGAAACCAGCGAATCTTACGTGACACTCAAGTTTCGCAGCTTCAACATTTTATCTTGCATTCAATAGGATCCGCAATCAGCGATACCGAAAGGCACTCTATTAGCGATTGTGCTGACGTCAATGTCATATCTGATGATGGCGATCATGGTCGGGGCTACCGTTATGCGAGATGCATCTGGCGACATTAATGATTTAAGGACGACGTACAATTTTTTTGCGAGTACGCTGTCGGTATTTGGCGCAGACAATAGCACCGTAATCAAAAATAGTACAGCTATCATCGAGACCAATCGCACTTGGATATATCAAACTGCTTTTAACTGCACCGGAGGATGCGAATACGGCAGCCAAAATAGCTTCGAGGTATATTTGCATAAAAATTATAATGCAATTCGAATAAAATTAATTCCCGAAAAGTTTAATTAGATCAAAAGTTATTTGTTAAAATAGTTAGATTAATATTTAAAATTAATTAATATTTAAATTTAATTGATATTTAAAAACTTGTAACAATGAATCAAAAATAAAATCGAATGTAAAAATTGAAATAAGTGAACGACATTGTATTTTACAGGTGATTCAACTAGTTTCCGGTTTTGGTCCTATCATCTATGCCGGTTGCTTCGCGGCTACAATTTCAAGTGCCTTAGCATCGCTAGTCTCAGCGCCGAAAGTATTCCAAGCGCTTTGCCTCGACAAGTTATATCCGGGAATTGAGTGGTTTAGTGGTGACAAAGACAAAGAGCCGATTCGCGGTTATTTGCTCACTTTTGTCATTGCTGTCGCTTTTATCTTGATCGGTAAGCGATAAAAAAATTGTATAATTTAACTAGAAGATTTGTTTCTTTCAAAAATATGTGTAAATCTTTTTTTTTTAGGTGAATTAAACGCGATTGCACCACTCATCTCGAATTTCTTTTTGGCTGCCTATACTCTCATTAATTTCAGTACCTTTCACGCTTCCCTTGCTAAGCCGATCGGATGGCGGCCAACTTTCAAGGTATAATACCATAAAAATGTACATCCGCGACATTAGTTTATTTTTATTGCTGTATCTTTTCGTGTTATTTCTATCTGATAAAAATCGTTATTTTTTTTAGTATTACAACATGTGGCTTAGCCTTGCTGGCGCTATTCTTTGTGTTTCTGTGATGTTCCTGATCTCATGGTGGACGGCTCTAATAACGTTATGCGTAGTTTTAGCTCTATATTTAATAGTCTCATACAGAAAGCCTGGTAATTCCACTAGAAATTTATTTTTATTTAAGCGTTAGTTAAAAGCGAAAAAATTATGTAACGCATTTTGTTTTGCGACGTACGTGTTTCTCAACGAAAATATATTACAGATGTAAATTGGGGCTCAACTACACAAGCCCAGACGTACAATAATGCGTTGACCGCTGTGCAACAATTGGACCGAGTGGAGGAGCACGTGAAAAATTATAGACCGCAACTCTTGGTTCTCACCGGTGCGCCGAACACGAGATCCTCGCTTGTCGATTTCGCTCATCATATCGCCAAGCATCAGAGTTTATTTATTTGTGGCCATATTATCGAGGTATCTATTCATTGATTTCTATTTAAGTTGTCCACGATTAAATTATACATGAGAGAATGTGTATCAATCATAACACATTTATGTTTGTGTGTTTCAAGCCACCCATATCGTATAAGACGCGCAATAGTATGCTGCAAAACTGTTCTTCCTGGCTCAGAGCTAACAAAATTAAGGCGTTTTACTCCTTAGTGGACGGCGCAAGCTTCCAAGATGGTGCTACTTCTCTTTTACAAGCCGCCGGCCTCGGAAAAATGAGGCCTAATATTCTGTTAATGGGTTATAAACAAGACTGGGCCACCTGTCCTCAAGAGAATCTGAATATGTACTTCAATCTTATGCAGTAAGTCGCTGTGTTTTCGTGTACAGCCTTATAGTTTCACAGAATAATTTTGTATGTGTATGATAATCTCTTTTTTGGTTCATTAATCCTTCATCCATTAATAGGAACAAAGTATATATTACGTTGTATTTTTTCTGTGTCTCACAGCAAAGCTCTAGATATGCATATAGCAGTAGCGCTTCTTCGGCTTCAGGAAGGTTTAGATTGCAGCACAGTCGGAGATGCCGAAGAACAAAAGAAACTCGCGCCTACATCGATACCAGGCAATCAAAGTTTCTCGCAGCTTAGCCAAGGTTTTTAAAATAACATATTTTTAATAATCATTTTTATCTTTTTCTCTAAAAATGATAATTCAATGATAATTATTGCAGCTAGTAGTGTATCTGATATATCGATTCCTGGCAGTCCTGCGCCGAGACGTTCGAAAGCAATTAACGAGTATCCTAATCCGCCCACCGAAGAGCAGCGCGAAAATCGATCAAATATAGCGCCAATCACGAATATACTTAATGTAGTGACCAAATTTCAGCGAAAGCACAAGAAAGGTACTATTGATGTGTGGTGGCTATACGATGATGGTGGCTTGACGCTTCTTTTGCCCTACATTATTAGCACAAGACGTAATTGGTCCAATAGCAAATTAAGGGTATTCGCGCTCGCTAATAAAAACTCTGAATTGGAATATGAGCAAAGAAGGTAAGTTTTTTCTAGCGATAATTTTAGCGGAAAATAATTGTCTTCTCGATAATAACATTCATTTTTTTCGCAGCATGGCGAGTCTGTTATCGAAATTCCGGATAGACTATTCCGCACTGAAGGTCATACCGGATATTTCGAAACCAGCACAAACCAGTACAAAGACATTCTTCGATTCGTTAATAGCTGGCTTCCAGGAATCAACGGATTCGAAGAATTCGGACGACGGTATTGAGTCTTTTTTGATGAGTTTATTCTATAAATAACAGAATTCTATAAATATACTAACCACAATCTTTTCGCTTCAGATGTTATTAAAGATTCGGAACTTATGGCGATGAAAGAAAAAACTAATAGACATCTCCGTTTGCGTGAATTATTACTTGAAAATTCTATGGAAGCTAACTTAGTCGTTATGTGAGTATTTACTTCGCATACTTTGTTATATAACTTGCGAATGGGTTTTAATTAATGTTTTTGCTGAATTTGTATAGGACACTTCCAATGCCTAGGAAAGGTGCTGTGTCAGCGCCTCTTTACATGGCGTGGCTAGAGACGCTTACACGCGATATGCCACCGTTCTTACTAGTGCGGGGTAATCACACGTCAGTTTTAACGTTTTATTCATAATGGTTGACGAAAGATTTAAATGCAAAAATACGGTTGTCGCAGTTATTGACAACCGCAGTATTAAAAGCGAAAAGAAAGACTTTTATCATCTGTATATGCAGAGAAAATTGATTTGATTATTGCAGAAATCGAAAGTGATAAACATATATAACGCTAATGACAAATATCATGCTTTATTTTATTATTGCTTTTATGAGTAAAATGGGTGAATTACTATTGAAGACTATATGTGCCTATTATAAGTAATCTCAAAGATATTTATGTCATACATCTTTTTAAATGACTAGGATATTTTTCTACTTCTAAAAAACTCGACAAATTCGTATTGTAAAAAAAAAAAAAAAAAAAAAAGAATTATGCTTCGTAAAGTAAATGATAAAAAGTGATAAATATAATTTGTAACATGAAATTGTTCATACAACCTTTCTGCGTCATATTTTAAATTAAATTTTTTAAATATGGGAATATATTTAAAAAAATACGAAGGAGAATATTTTTGTAATTTGATAATTTATTAGTAATTTTAAAAAATTGCACTTTATTATAATCTATATAATTAAGAAATTCAAATAATTTCTGTCAAATTTTATATATTCCTATATACATCTGTATATGTAAACTTATAGGTCTTTGACAATCTTTATATATAATACAGAACAGAATTATATATAATAAATTTTTGTAAATACCATATAACTGACTAAATTAGAACATTTTCTAATCTTGATATAATGTTATAAAAACACTATATTTTATCATGAAAAATAATATAAAAAATAAATACCAATATTTTTTTTAAACACGGAGTTAATGCGTACACAAATTGTAAAAGTATTACATACAAGATTACCTAATCTCATTATTGTTGTACAAAATGCTATAACTTGTCGTAGTAAACGTATAATGTTAAATTATGTGAGATTCTATTCCATATTTTTTAACTATTACGATACGACGATATCGCAATCTAAGAATAATTCAAGTATGTCATGTAATGTTTCAAATGTGTATTAAATTTTAAACAGAAATTTTATATATCGATTTCTGTGCTTAAACTTTTAATTATGTAACTTTAATATATAACGTAATTCCACCATAACAACTATCATGCTTTTATATTATTAGATGATATATATATTTATTTAAATGGTTTTAATGTGAACACGTTTCAGACTAGTTGTGGATGTGCAGGAGTCAGAATACTGATAATTTACGATTTAATTACAATGTATCTTTCCTAATTGTGTAAATTTTTCATATTACAAATAATCTCTCAGTAATTTCAATTCAATCTTGTACTGTAATAAAAATCAATATTCCAACCCCTCATCTTTATATATAAAATTGGATTTGTGCCATATTATGGTATGTGTGTGCCATATTTGTATTCATATCGAGGACTATAAGATGTAAATGTATTATAGTATATCTTTTAGAATACCATAGAAGAAAAAACTATATGAAATAAATAATTAATAGAACAAATCAACTTATAAAATTATATAGTAAAGATCTATAGCTGCAGTCAGAAATAAAAATTATATATATAAAAAACAAAAAGTGTAAATAAATGGCAAGTATAGAAAGCTGTGCAAAAAGTATAGATATAAAATATAACTTATATAAAATCTGAATATATATATATTACCATTTTTCTACTCTCTAAAAATATAATTATAAAAATTATATATGTGTATGTATATAATATAAGATTAATATATATATATATATATATATTAATCTTTTCAAATACTAAAGCTTTCTCTTGTAAGAAATACTAAAAATGATAATAACTCTTTAAATTAATTTAAAAAATACTAATCAGAATGTTGTATGTCATGCATTGTATCGTATTTCTCCGCAGATTCGATAAGGAGAGAGCATTTGGTTTGGTTACGTTTCGTATTCGCGGATAGCTTGCGATTAGGAATCGCGGAATAAATCTTTTTTTCTCTTTTTGTTTAAATGCTACGAATATGTCGCGGTCTGCGCACCAATAAGCAACAGGAGGACAATCCGGAACTAACCTTTGCCAATTCGGACAAACGTAGTGATCTAGTCGGGAACTCTACCTTCTCGGCGAAGACCTTACTCGATTGCGGAATTTCGTCTTCCGATCGATGAATGAGCGTACCATTCACATAAAGCACATTGGCAGCTACATCCTCTGGCACGGTCAATGTTTGGTAACTGTACGTTGCTTCACGTTCGATTCTCTGCATTTTGTATCAGAGAGATAAGAATTATTTTTTTTATAAATTGAAATCCACTAAATTTAGAAAGAACTTTGTTCCAAATTTATAGGAATGTAGAAATATTTGTTACATGAATTTAAAAGTTAAAGTTTTGGAACAATTTTCCTTTGCAAAATGATTTTATATTTTATATATAGAGACTACCTTGAGAACTTCTTGAGATTCCTTTCCAGCTCCTACACATATAACATCTGGACCAGCCATTGTAACCAGTGATTTCAAGCGTTTGGATTCAGCCACCTAAATAGAAAATTACCATAAGTTACTAACTCAAAAATTATAATGGAAAATAATCATTCAACAAGTAATGCACTGCATAATCAATGTATAATCATTTTATCATATTTCACATATCACATATTCTTAATCATTGTCAATATCATTTGTAAATAAACTTAAAATCATTATTGTATTCAATTTTATAAACTAATAACTACAAATTATTTCATAAATTAAATTTTTTAAATTTTTATACCATTTTTTATGTCATTTTTTATTAAACTTATTCTGTTTTATATGTATATAAAATATATATTTATATATTATGTGATTTATATATAATATGATTTTCTTAATACATTATATTGTAATATAATTCTTAATGTGTTAGCAAATTATGCATAGTGTTTTGTGTAAAAAAAATGCAAGTATATAAAAATTGCATACACTAGACTTATACTCCATTACATGACATTTATACAATGATTGAAATAAAATGAAAAATGCCCTTAAATATTTCATTTAAAGTTAAATTGTATATAATGAAATTGTATGCATGCTAAGGTGAGTGAATAAGTTTGCGATATCGTTCAAGTGCACAGCTCAAGTGCTAAGCTAGAACCTGTGTAACCTGTTTTATTTCCAAAGCAATTTATAAAATTCTGAAATAATTATATACAAAAAGAATATTCTTCAAAATAAGTGCAAGTTTGCGTTTCTAGCTTGTGAAATTATTTACTTTCTTTTACTTTTCTTTTTTATAATTAATGAAATATTAAGAGAGTTCACAGTTTAGTGCACCCAAACCTGAAGAGGGGCTGAGGTAAGACTCTCCACTATCACCTCTTCACCACCATCACCCACCTTAAATGAACATTAGAAAAGTAGATGAGTGAATATGATATTCTCTATCGAAATTCAAAGCAAATCTAAAAGGCAGATATTGTTATATACGTTCTATAAACAAAACATGGAATATAGACACATAAAATTGTTATTACTAATAGATTGAAACATGCGTCTACATATTGTTGATATATACAGGATGTTTCAGTCCCAGTGGAATCTACTTCAAGAATAAATCTAGTACTGATTACGAGAGATAATAAGGAAAAAAGTTGATAATGATAATAAATACTTCATTTTAATACTGATTCAATGTCTGAAACAGTTTATAATCACATGAAATACTTCATATACATATATGTAATTAAAATGTAAGATGTAAATGTTTTCAAAAATGGACAGGAATTATATTATGAAGTAGTAAACTGTAGATTTGATGAATATTGTAAATTAATACTGAAAAAGTATAAAAGATTTACAGATAAAATCTTTTGTTTCAATTTTTTATGCACATCTAAAGTAACCATTTTTATGCACAAAGAGATATATACACTGAATATATGTCATGACTCTAACATTGACTGTTCAAGACAATCTAATGATAATGATATATTGATACATGCAGTTTAGTAAATTATGGGAAAAATTTGTGATTGTTTTATGTTATTCTAATCAATTTGTGATTGTTTTATGTAATTATAAATAAAACAAAATATTAATAGTTCCTGAGAATATCACAGAAATTTAATAGTAAATATGTATTAATTTGTAAGATATATGAAATAATACACACTGACCTTGATGGGTACACATGGATATTCTGGAAATGCTGCGGCAACTGCTCGTGCTCCCGCTTCATTTGTAAAATGAGAAAGTCCAACAAAAAATTCTCTACCTGCAATAAGATATTTTTTCAAAACATTTTACATTATTTACAAGTTAGATATAAATATTAATATATTTTTTAAATATAAATGTAGAATTTACCAGTGAAAAGGACATCTCCTCCATCTAAGCGAGCATTCTTATCACTTATCTCTATGAGTGGTATCTCTAATTCTTTCTTCAAAACAGCTCTAATTGTGTCAAGCTAAAGGATAAAAATAGTTATCTATTTAGATAAGCATAAACAATAATTAAATCAACTTTATCTAATTATTATTATCAACAACCAAATACAATTTTATATACAGTCATAATTATCATTTATAACTCCTTAAATTTATATTTTATGAAATTTTCGCGACACTCGTAGTCGCGTACATTATTAATCCTCCAATCAGCGGAGTTCCAATTAGCATCTCAATAGAGGATATGAATAATCAAGTATACCTCTTTGAGACGTGACGGCTCGCTCGGCCGGGCGATCAGGGCAATGCCGTTGCAGACGACGGCGATGTCTTCGACGAAGACGCAGAGCGGCGAGTTCTCGTCAGGCGGCATCTCGACGACGTCGATGTCGAGCTCGCGTAGGAGTTGCGCCAAGGCTAGGTGCTGCGTCCTAGCCTCGTCCAGTGTCACCTCGCCCCGCGTGCGCAGCGACAACGGGATTCTGCACAGGATCGCGTGCGTATATCGGTGCAGCGGCATGCTCGTGCAGGTATATTATTCTCGGCGACGAGCAAACGCGCGGAAAAACGACGCACGGCCCAAAGTTTGACGTTTCACGCGAAATGACGGCGGCAATCAAGCCCGCCAATCGCGATCTGTTGGGAATTTTTCGCTAGAAACATTCCTAGGAATTTATAGACGAAACTACACGAAGATTGGTATTTTTGTAATTTTAAATTTTTTATCTGTGAAATATTAGATTACACACAACAAATAAATAAAATTGATAAATTCATGAAAGCACACCTAAATATATAATTTATTATAATTCTCTACAATAAATTATATATACATGTATACCCTAAAAATTATCAATTGCATTATAAATTAATCGAAGTATATATAATAAACCTAGAAAATAAAATTAGATTATTATTTATTTTTTTAATGAAATAAAATACTCAATTATATAGAGTATTTTCTTTTTATAGAAAAGTCTTTTGCAATAATTTCTCAAATTTATGATGAAATTAGAATTGATTTAAATGTACAATATGTGATACATAATTATTTTTTTATTCAACACACATATATTATTATATATTTTAGATATATTCTTTTTTTCGTGAAAAATCTCGTATTCTACAAACTTTGATACACAGTTTTTAATATGTATTTTATATATATACAGTAATTCTCTTTCATATTGTATAACTCACATAATTAATTTTTTATTAGGCACCAGTTTTATTTTGATGTTAAATTTGTTAACATCTTCTTTTAATACTCTTTATCCTATGAGCAAATAAAAATTTGTAAAATCTTTACATATATTATAAATCATCTTCAACAATAAACACAAATCTTCACTTGACTTGACTAAGCATATACGACATTTAGATTCGAATTAATGTCAACACGTTCATATATGATTTGTTCAATCAATATGTTCAATATTACTAGTACTTTCTGACGGTTCATTCTCTTCAACATTTTTCTTGATCAATTTCCATTCAGCAGCAGCATCCAAAGCAGTGGATGCCAATGTTCTAATTTTGTCATTTTGCACGTTATCATTTTTACTTAGTGCCATCAGTATTTCCATTACATCTGTTTCGATAAGTTTCGCAGCAACGTCTTTCGTGCTTTGTATCATGTTGAGCACAATTATGACACCCCTATGTTGTATATCGCAATTTGGATTAGCGAGTAAGAAGCGTAGAGAGTCCAGCCAACTTTGCGAATCAAAGATCTTCTCGCAAACCTTTTTGCTAGATGATGTCAGCATTGCCAGGGCTCCAGCTGCTGCAATACTGGTATCTTGATCTTCCTCTTCACACAGAATCACGAGATATTTGACTCTATCGTTTTCCTGTTCGTAATATTGGATTGTGTCTTCGCACATCACCAAATTATTTATAACTTGCGTGGAAGCGCGTCTCAGCATGTCGTGATCCTCGTACATATAGGACTCGATCTTCTGGAATCCTCCCTCCTTCAGTATACGTTTCCGCACACTGTCATTGATACCAGCTAAATTGCACAGAGCCATTAGACTTTCGAAGTTCTCGAGAGCGGAACACTCTGGATTCAGGAGATTTATGAATGGTCGTACGACCTCCATTATTCTCTGACCGGGAAACGCGACCTCAGGATTTATCGTGATTCCCAAACGAGCCAGAGCTTGCGAAGCTTGCTTCTTTCCTTTGTCTGTATTATCCAATGCTAAAGGTAATAATGCCTTTGCAGCACCCTGTTGAACGATTATTCCTCTCACTTCCTGTTGACTGCATATTGCATTAAAAACACGCGCTATCAACTCCCTGCAATTCTGGCTGTCCGTTTTAGCAAGGCTGACTAGAGCGCTGGTTACACCAGCCTTGGTTAACAAACACAATCTCTTATTCACAAAGTCGACGTCATCTAATTCGTGTTCCTCGGGAATATGTTGTTTTGCGAATTTTGCTAACTCGATCATTTCGGGTATGAGCTCTTGTTTGTCGTAAGCATTGCACAAGTTCACCAATGTTGTGATCACGCCATAGAGAACCGACTGATCACCTGTATTAGCAACTTCGATCATAGCTTGAATGGCTTGTTGATCTTCTATTAATATCTCCTTGACTTCGGCGTCGAAAGTAAGATACGATAGACCTTCTATAGCCCATTTCCTCATATCCTTCTGCTTCTTGGGATTGATCAAGAATCGTCTGCAGGCTTCGGCTAATTTTTTCGTTGATCCCTCCGCAAATGGCCTAATAGTCGCATCTGTGCCTCCCGAACTTCCCAACTTGCACAATCCCACTAATGCTCGAACGCGGATTGAGTCATCCTTAGACTGATACAGCTTCTTCAATATATTTACACCTTGATTTATGATCGCGGTGGCTTTGTCTTTTTTGGATGCGACGGCAACGATACATTCGCAAGCGACTTTCTGTTGCAATATATCATCTGTCCCTGCCATAACGAGGATCATTTCCAGAATTCCTTCTTTAGCCACAATTGCATTTCCAACATCTAATGGACCCAGTAATAAAGTCGTTATTGAAACTACTACGCGAACCTGTAAAAAAATCGGTAAATAATCCATGAATGTTTGCACAAGATGTTACGCAAGAATACACATTTTTTTTAGAAATATCGAGATAGCTATCATTTTTGAGTACTTAACGATTAAAGACAGAAAATCTCTTTGATAATCTAATTGTAAGTTTTAGTACATGTGACAGTGATATGTATCAATAAAATTAAAATATAATTTGTTAAGAGTAATAACAAATGTTTCATGAGTCTACATACATTCTAATTTAAATTTCAAAAAATTTACAGAATACATAAAATGTCACAAAATGCATACCTTGGATTCTATATCAGGTGTAAGTAATTTATCTTTAATAAATTCTTCAATAGCATTTCTAAATCGATCTTTAGCAGCGTCATAATACATGTTCTCGTATATTCTAGCCAAGCATACACTGGTTATAGTTCGTGTGGAAGATGTAACGTCCATCGAGGATTCATATTTGTATTCCTCCATTTCACTAGCCACTTCCATCAATCTTTGCAAACCACGAAGTTCGACTAATCGTTCGGCCCAGTCTAATGCAGTATAATGAATATTACGCATAATAAGTTCTATTATTGCATCTCTCGCAAGACCTGTTAGACTTCTATTTGTTATGCTGTATAATAGGCATGATAGAATTGTATCTATTTCTTTCTTATGCGCTTCGCACAAAGTCTTGTCAGGTCTTGAATCAGGTTTATTGTCCATACCACTATAAGTGTTCAATATAGTCTGAAAAGAATATAAGATAAATTTTCATTCATATACACATAGGAATGCCTTAACACATGAAATCATATATGAAAAATACTTCAATACATGCATAAATTCATATGTTAAGACATTCCTGTCTCTGTATATGTAATAATAAATATTTAATTAGTATAAACACCTGTAAACAGTACTGAGACACATAAATGTTTAATTAGTATAATCACCTGTAAACAGTATTGAGACACATTAACTCTCTCTGCAAGTTTACTGTTCGTCATTTCCAATAACCAAGGCAAACCGATATCTTTTACAATAGACTCAGTTCGACTAGTATTATTTTTACATAATTCGGCTATAATCCGGATCGCATTGCAAATTACTTCCTCGTTCTTTTCAACTTTTATATATTTCATTATTTTAGATATAACTTCTTGTTTAAAAATTTCTTCTGCACCAGCCCTCTCACGTGCAAGCACAAGTAGATTATTCATAGCAGTTTCACGTTTCTCTTTATCCATGCTCATGTCAAAAGCTAGATCCAGCATTTGTGTTACCTAATAAAATAAAATATAGACAAATTATATTTATATATAACATAATTTTTTCCCCATACAATATATATATATATATTATATTATATTACATATATGAGTTAAGCTTTCTATTAATTTTATTGCTTTTTAGAACTAATAGAAAACTTAAATTATCTATATAACTAAATTAAAATTCTTACTAATTCAATAAAACATGTTACAATTCTATTCTAATTAATATTAATTGAATAAAATTAAGTAAGTCAAAATATAATAATTTCTTAATAATCATATATATTTACTTTAGAGGTAACACGTGACATTTTCTTAAGTCGTTCTTGTACAACTTCATGTAAACGTGCTGCTATAGGCTGAATAGCTTTATTATTAGGGTCAGATAAAATAATATTTTTCGCATCTCGATATGCTTCCTCAAATCTCTCCAATGCTTCAAGTGCCTGACATCTACGAAATAAGGCCTTGGGATCATTAGCACATATTTTCAATGCGTTATCACAGTCCTTGATTACGTTTTGATAATCATGTAATTTTAAATAAGCAGCAGCTCGATTTTTATAGTATATCGCTTTCTCAGCATTATCTTCTTTTACTAATTTCAGTGCATTTGTATAGCAATCTAAAGCCTCTGACCAGTTGCCTTTGTTAAACTCCTCATTACCTTTCTCCTTGCACTCTTGTGCTGTCAAATCTGATTTTGTCATGATGTAATATCTCTATAATATAAAACATATATTGCATTAAGTATTTGAATATAAAAAGATTTTCTTATATATCTATAATAAGATAGTATATAATTATGTATTGTTTTGATTTTGAAAAATATATATAAAAGAGATGTATACGAAATGTTAGTAGAGCAAAATATAATTAAATAATAATAGCAAATATAAAAATAACAATAACATTTCTAGAGTAACAGTGAAAAATCTGTACACATAAATTATCACATCAAATACTGCAATAATCTTTGTTATAAGTTCATATTTTTTTGTTAAGAAGCAACAAATACACAAAACTGAAATCATGGAAATTAAAATATTTTACCTTTCGTAAAACAGAATTTAGGAAGAACGAATTTCTAAGTGTAAAGCAGTGTGTGATTCACTTTTCTCCAAATTTTATCACTGAGATGATTGAAGTATAACTTCGCAATTCGGCTCACAAGCTCAGAATGACAGATTAGGGTTTACGCTGATATTATATATAGGCGTTGTAGAACTATCCAGACGCCGTGACACATTCGAGAAAGTTTATTTTCGGCGAAATGTCTTCTATATATAAGTGGGAGAGTATTAGGTTAAAGATAGACAGAATGACGCTTCCAATCTGCTGGCGTAATTTAATTATATTACCGATCGAAAATTCGAGATCGACGTCAACTTATAGCGATACATATTTCTATATTTTTCGTAATATTTTATATCTGTCGTCTCTCTAATATGTTTACATGATGTTTACAAAAATATTTATAACCAATCTAAAATAATACTACTTGTTGCACCTTTAAATCAAGTGCAACAAGTGCAGGTAAAACGAGCAGAATCCAATTGCGCGCCGCGATTGGCTGTCTCGATGTTATCGATATATCGATATATCGATAGTGTGCAAATTGCGATTCTCGAACGGATCTGTAAACGGATCGTAAATGAAACACGGAACGCGCGCGAGTCGGTCGTGTTTCTCGTCGTTCGCGTAAAAAAATTCATTTTAAAGAATAATTCGCGACAAAATTTAGTACAGAATCTCAGGTTTTCTAACTTTTCGTATCGTGTAATACAGAAAATGCATCGAAAGAAGTAAATTCGCTCTCGATGCATGCACAAAGTCGATCGCAGATACGTATTATCAGGATGTACAGATATGTATATACATATATTAGAATATGTCGCATATAAAATTATAAATAGAATTCTGTCTCGAATTTTGTCGCGTATCGTCCGAGATGAGCTTTAAAAAGTGAATTCGCGAAAAAAGTGCGCGAAAAAAAATCGCGAATATTTCGTAAAGTATCGGACTGTTCATGTTAAACGTATATAAAATTGTATGTGTGTAATATTGCGATTTCGGTATTTGCATGTCGTGCGCTCAAAATCAGTTAAAATTCTCGTCGCATTTAATTCGTATATTTCCTCGTCGAATAAGTGCGTTAAAAGGGCAATTAACGTGCGATTATCGCCAGATATATGTATATATATATATAGGTATGTATATATATATATGTATTATATATATATAATAAAAATAAGCAGATATTACGTTTTTATTAAATGACTAATTATAATATTTAATAATATATACATATATAATTATATATGAATTTTTGTTTTATAATTGTACACGATTTTATTATTATTATTTTTCTTATTATTTATATTATTATTTTTATAATAATAATTATTAAACAGATAATAATTCTTAATAATTATATATTAATAATTATATATTAATAATAATTATTAATATATAATTATAATAATATTATTATTACTTGTTCTATAAAAAAATTAAAGCTTTCAACATTGATATTAAATTTTTATTAAAAATAGAACTGCTCGATCTGTTATTATTATAAAATATTAAAATATATTAAATAATATATAATATTATACTTTCTCTAAAATAAATAAGATTTTTAAAATATTTATTTATAACTATTAAAATTGTCACACAAAAAGTGATTTAATATTGAAATATAAAGTTAAATATTAATTAATATAAAAAATGTATATTGCTGCGTTATTTTAATATATAATTAATTTTAATTATCGACGATCGATCACGTCAGCAATTGTATATCCGGATCCATGGGCATTATATTGGGCCTCACATTTGCTCGAACAACGAAACTTATTTTGAACAATATCTCTCTGGTATTAGTTTTCTCGAATCGTGTTTGCGTTAAACAGTTTAAATTTTTTTGTTAAACAAAAAGTGTGTTGCTTGAAATTTTACGTTTACACGTGTTTATTAAAAAGTTCACGAAGAAATATGGGCGAGTACATGAATACATATATTTTTGACAAAAGTTTTGACGAAAGATTGTATGAATATAAGTGCATCCTTTCCGAGCCGAGAAGAGTGATGCCCCCGAATATTCGTGCAGAATGGGCTTACGACCTGGAGACGGTTATGGAGAAGGCTGGTTGGGAAGCATTGTGGAAAATATCCCGTTCAACGTGCGAATATTATAACATTCCTTATCCGGTGATAGTTCTCGTGAAGGTATTGGGAATGGATTTTCCCAAATTAAATGCCATTGTGAAAATCAACGCTGTTCTGGACGATGATATTCATCTGCCTGACAAACACGATGTACCATTGATAGAATTGTTTCCCACTGTCACTCAGAAAAATAAAACCTTGGATATAGAAGGTACTGCACATTGCGTGGATCGATTTCGCTTTTTCTATAATAATTTATGGATGCCTTGGGACGAGGATGAGGATGATGATATTATTTGGGTAAAACATCACTTGGAATCGAGGCTTAAGTTGTATTACGATATAAAAAACAAAGTTATTAATGAAGAAACATGTGAAATTATCAGATCATTAATTAAAGAGGCAAGAGAACTAAAGAAGAAGATTTTAAAATATGAGGCTTTATTGCCTGAAGATTTACATGAAGAAGAAATATCCAAAGAGTTAGCAAAAGAAGCATGCGAATTGATGAAGTTACATTTTCGACTTCAGCAAATTAAAGCAGAAATGGACCTTTTAGAAAATCCTTCATTGAGGAAGTTACTAGGGCATAATCAATACTTTAATAAAAAAGAAAAGTACAATGATTGCAAGAATGAAAAAAATATATATTACTTTGTGTGGCTTGGTGGTGCTGCAAAAGAATTACAAGAACTTTCTGTTAAAATTCAAACAATGTTACCTGAAGATGTACCTGTTAAGTATGTTTCAATTTTTTCAAGTTTCTTTAAAAAAGTAAATAAAATTATAACTTCTATATTGTATATTTCAGAATTTCTGGATGTCTTGATGATGCTTTGGACATAATTGAAAGAGGTGATACTGTTCTACTAGGTGAAGGGTGTCATTCTGTCAAGCATTATAATGAATTACAAAAAGGAGGAAAAATCATAGGACTTTGTAATATGGAAAATACTATCCTCAGTCCAATCGAGTCAGATGTGTCATCAGCTTTGTTTGATTTTTCTGGTACTGAGGTATATATATGTGCATATAGTATATTCGCAGATTTTTTATTATTTAAATTTACAATTTTTTTTTTACTTAATCTGTTGTAATACTTAACACAGGTCTTATTGAAAAATATCTGTATCGATTTGGGAACACTTCAAGCAGGCATAATTGTCAGAAAAGATTGTACTGTCATTGTAACTGATTGTAGAATACGTGTCTCTAACATTCCAAGTAATATCAAATGGGGTACAGTAGTTATGCCAGGTGCAAAATTAATATTTGAGAATACAGTTTTCCAAGGATTAGGAACTGTTGTGGTTATTTATACAACTGGTGAAGTTATCATGAATAAATGCCGCTTTGAAAATTGTTACGAGGGCATACGGGTAAAATCGCATTATGCAATCTTAAACCTTGTGTTCTTGGAATATATGTATATGAGTATATATTTTTTTCAGCTCTGTGATAATGCCATATTTAAGGCCACCAATTGTTCCTTTGAGAATATTAAATATCCTATAATGATGGAAACTGAGAAAGTAACCAATTCGAAAAGTATAGAAGTAGGAAGTGAATCGGCTAACATGTTTCTGGAAAAAATAATTTTAAATGAATGTAAATTTCCCAACAATGACAAAGGACAAGTCATATTAAAATCAAGAATCTTTCCATCTTTAGCATGTGCCGATTCTGATAACAAAGAAATGATAGAGTGACTCTCTTGAAGGCGACACTCTTAACAATGAACTCATTGATTGTTATTATAAGTTATTCTTATTGTTTAATATCTCGATGTATATTTGTAAGAGAATGCGTTTTATACATTTTCTATTTTTTACGAAAATATATATAATTATATAAGAATTTGCGTTATTTTACATATAAATAATTATATTTTCTTTGTACACTTTTACAAAGAATTTTATTTACAAATTTTTAAATCATTTTTTTCTGAAATATATATATTGTAATAATATATCAATTGTCGGTATTATCAGGCTGTGTAAACGCAGTTATTTAATTTACATTTTCACATCAGATGGCGCAGTCGGGACGATTCGCCGACTCAAGAGTCCGTGTTGCTTCATCAGTGCTCGGGCGCGTTGAGATATATCGGGTTTTCTCGCGCGTTGATATGCCAATTTCGAGATTGCGAATATCGATCAGCAAAGTATCAGCTTGTTGCGTCTATTATAAAGTGTGCATTATATCCGCATTAACGCGTTTCCGTCTATTCTTTTGGAGGTATAACCTCGCGACAATTCGAGTGTGCTCCGATCTGTTCTACAATCATCATCTCTTTCGCAAGCTGTCAAATCGATCGCATTTCGTCAACGATCAACGTAAGTAAGTCTCAATTCGATCAGGAGCAAAATACCCATTGTCAGATTCGCAAATCGTCCAGGTTACGAGGCGTCTCGCGAATCTAACCTAACTTAACCGGTGAGTGATCGTCGACGCGCGTCTTTATTCGTCGCATGCGCGTGTCTTCGCGAAGGAAAAAAAGCCTCGTGTGTATAAACGTGCGTAAGTACGCGCGATTTATTATAGGTATTATAATTTTCTGATTCTCAACTCGTGTCTTAGAAAACGATATCGCATGTATTTCATTATTCTTTTTTTCCCCCCACCATTATTCCTTTTCGCGTAAGCCATGTGATCGGACACGTGCGTTCGTCACGTATGAATGAAACGTCATTCGCGCGAGCTCGTCCCGGGGTCTCATCCCCATCGATCGAGAGCTCGCGGCGATTCCGTCTGGTTTCGTCTCGCGCCGAAATGATTAATCGCGCGTTCCGTCGTCGAGCGAGATAAAACCGCGGCGGCCGTCACGCTTTGATATTGAGGCGCAGTGATTAATCGCGGGGGTGAGTGGCTAGGAGTCGGGAAGGATGGGAGGGAGAAGGGCGAACTGTCGTTGGCAGTGGTATATGTATATATGTGATGTATCGCGTGGTGCACGGACGGCGATGCATATTCATGATGTAAAGGCATTCCGGGAACGATATAACACAGGAATGATGAATCCCGTATCTTGTACATATATATACATATATACGCCAACATATTCGGCGTTTTAAAACATTCGCGTCCGTTGTACGATTTTTACCCCATCTCGACTCTTCAATAGTTCTATCAGTCTTTATTTCTGCTTTTTTTAAACACAGAGAGAACTTTCTTTTAGAATTTACTCTGAAAAATCATGGTAATCGTGCTGATTAGAAAAAATTTATAAGAGTTTCTCTGATTAATATTCACCATATAAAAAATATTAATATCTACCGCAATAAGATATAAAAGATGTTTGATTAATTTTACTATGTATATATTAAAATTTTTTTTGTGGTAAATATTAATTAGAAAAACTCTTATATATAATAAAATTCTTCCAATACTATATGTTGTCATTGTCCCATGATTATTATGATTTTCAGGGTAAATTGTAAGAAAACATTTTTTTCCGTGTAGAGATTACAGATTAATTGATTTCCATATTCTATTACAGCATGCGTATTCAAAAGACGTTCAGAAAATATCCCGAAGATATTTTTAGGCGATAAAATATCTTTTGAATATGCATGTTGTAACTATAAGATATTATAAGAAAATAAAAATATTTTGACAAATAATACATATTAATGAATAATACATATATATAAAAAGATTCGTCATCTCGTTTAAAGAGATACCTGACTCTTAAATAGAGTTAAAAATGATATTCAATTTATAAAAATATAATATTTTATAAAATATTATAGATTTATAAAAATATTAAAAAAATCTTTTTTAATTAATATAAACTATGAAGTCACCAGATGATAATTAAAAAATGGTAATAATTCAATCGACCAACTCTGGCAAATAATTTAATAAAAATTACTTATTGGTCAGAGTTGATCGATTGAATTATTACCATTTTATAAATATTTTTTAAATTTTATAAAAATATTACTGAGCTGTCATATTGAAAATATTCAAAGAATAAAAGATTTCGAAGAAGAAGGACTAAAAATGTTTTTTGTTTCTTTTCAGATTCTCGCAATCGTGTATCTGAATTGCTACTTCGACGAGTCGCGAACGGTCGCGTAAACGCGATTATTAAGACCGAGTGCACGCGCGTACCAGTGTCGGACACGTCTATCGACATGGTGGAGACAACCACGCCGATCCAAGCCGCCGATGGACAAACGCAATTCGGTAACGCCCGTCACCTCGATCCGTCCGACTGCATCTTTGTCTTCAAAAATACCCTGTCGGATTACGAGGAGCCGCCGTCCGACGAGGAGCTGGTGAGTGTCCCATCTCGATTTTTATCGCTTTCTATTGCGACCGCTGGTCGCAAACCAGATAAACGAGAGACAGCGAGATCGCAAAACCGCCATCGTCAATATATAATATGTTTTTTTGATATCGCTATCGCAATTGCGCCATTTCCCGGCGCCAATTAACTAGTATTTTTGTAAAAAATTATGTATACATTTTCTGATTTTCGAAATACATCGAAATATCGACATATATTTTATTTTCTGGCACATGTGAAGATAGAGTTTCTGCATGATAATACGTAGAATTCTCAAACGAGCCGAAATCGATATCGTTTTAATTTGTTGGCTAATGAATACCGCATTAATTCGTTTCTCTCATCGACACAAGAGCGCATTTGGATTAAATTATCTGATCGTTCAGTAATTCTCGAACTAACATCGAAGTATTCGATGTAACACTTTATGAATGGACATTGCACTTTTATTTTTTTCTCTATATTACGAAAATAAATTATTTTATTAAATTTAATTATAAATTGAGATGTACTTCTCCGATATAATAGCAAAATTAGAAATTAATTTATCCAGGTAGACAGAATTAATTTTGATTGATCTCTCGGGCAACTATTAGGAACACGCTAGCATTTCTTAATTTAATCAGAAACATTTGCTTTTTAATTCTTCATAATTAAAGCTTCAACACAGTTGAAACGTGCATATTAATTGAATTTCCTACACGTTTATCTGATCTAATGTATACGCTGACATGCTGTGCATGACGTAAAAGTTACACGAGAGGTGCGAAGAGTCGCATGATGCTATAACATGATGCTATAACATATTTAGCAAATAATGAGCTACATACGTGTATATGCTGGTGATTGTCGTGGGGCTGATGTCGAGAAGCCTTGCGGACTGGCTTCGGATCGATGTCGGGCCGCCGTTACAAAACGAGGAACGATAAAAGTATGGGGGGACGATTTTTAAAGCACGACTTTACGGTCGATCACATGGCGGTGAATTAAATTATTCCGCTCCACATTTTTCTTTCAGTCGCAAGGGACACTCGTGCGTTCTCTCTCTCTTTTCTTTCTTTATTTTTTTTTTTTTTGATGCAGTAAGGTCCGATACCGCGCGATGCAAACGCTTTAATACCTGATTGATTTCCGCTCCTGCGTGTGAAAACGTCTCTCGTTATTCTCGGGGAGACCTTTGACAAAATATATTATTCAAAGCCACCGTTATCTCCCGCACACATTAATCGCTTCGTTTTTGAAATATGTCTCCAGTACGGAACGCTAAATCATGACTCAATTATCACCGCGATAAATTGCTCTTTCTGCTTGTATAACGACACGGCGATATACAAATGATTAAATTGTCATGTAACGCAGTAAAATTATCGTGAATTATCCGTTTATCTCCGCTTTCCGAAACGGATATGGCATATATGTACATACATTGAAATTTATACTTTATATAGATAAAATATATTACGGTGGTTAATTTCCTATATTTGGCGTTAAAATATGCATGTTGCTAACAGGTCGTTTAAACAGGTCATCGCTCGAATAACATTCGCTCGGGGATTTTCTCGAAAACGGGGGGATTGCCTCGCGATGTGGCCGACAGCAAGGATCTTATAAATCATTTCGCTACATTGTCGATTATGAGCGATTCGTGCATAATGCATAATGCTTCCGTCGGGTCACGATCGTACACATCCTGTGCACGAGAGGAATACCTATATAGAATATATGTATATTCACGTATAGTGTATCTCGGCACTTGGTCGCGTGTTGCTCGCGAGCACCATCGTGTCGTATAGCGCCCGATAGCGCCAAGATAAAATGTTGCAGCTGTACGCGTACAATGTGTCGCAATGTGGTGTTATTTCCGAAAATATCCCGCCCGAGTTGCGAGTTGTGCGAAAAAACAGAAATAACCATTCGAGATAGTGGTTCGCGCGCGTGGGAAGAGAGTACAAGTCCGATAAGAATATAGTCGTGCAGGTGTGTGTGTGTGTGTGTGTGTGTATGTGTGAGCGCGAAACTGTTCGAGAATATTCAGGAAAATGATGCGAGAAAAAGGGTTGGTCGCGCTAACAGCCTCTCGCGTTGAATTAACTTTGAATTAAAATCGTGATTAAACGAAACGTTGAAATTAACGTTGAAGATTTCGTTTTTGTAGAAACTATATAATTGTTGACTTTAATAACGAAACACTATTTATACGAGGTACAAATTCTGACATTACACGTTGACGTTAAAACATAGAAAATAATTAATATATATAATTAACGCGTAATCTAATTAACGCGTGTACGTATAGAAGTGACAAGAGAGGCGAGAGTGGATAATTGTAAGAGCGTTGAGGAACGAGGTGAAATTACGACGCGGGGTTTCGACAGAGAGGGTATAAGGGGGCAAAACGTTGAAATGGAAAATGAAAGACGGAAAGAGATGTATAACGGTGAAAACGATCAATCACTCGAGAGAGGACCAGAATGGTTGTGCCACACGGCTGCAAATAACACCTAACGTGTGTGCACGAGCGCGTATGGTTAGGTGTCGTGTGTGTGTGTGTGTGTGTGTGTGTGTGTGTGTGTGTGTGTGTGTGTGTGTGTGTGTGTATGTGTGTCGGTCAAAAGCATCGGCAGGACGTATTACGAGTTACTGCTCTCGGCTGTTTCTCGTCGCTCTCGCTGCGCCGAACGTGAAATGTGTATTGCTTCTCTCTCTTTTTTCTCCCTTTTTTCTCTCTCTTTAACAGCTCTTTAAATTTTTCTCATTAGGCTTAACGCACACGAGCAGTTCTTTTCGCCGCAAGCGAAAAAATCACAAAAGAATATAATGAAAGACCTGCTGGTATATTACATATTGCATTCGAAATTATTTTAAAATGATTATAAAGAAGCGCATAAATGATATAAAAAGTTATAATTATTATAAAAAGAGAATTGATTTATATATAAATTATATCTGACGCTATTATTATTGAGTTGAATTTCCTCTCCAAGTAAACTAACAATGAGACTAATTTTATACATTCTATATATAAATCATTTATATTTATATATACATACACATTTGTACAATATTATGAAATAATCTTTTCATTTATTCTATTTCACGGAACAAGTATAGGGTTAATGAGAGTTGTGCAAAAACTGGGGCGCAAAAATTTGGTATTTAATATAGTTTAATTATACAAATAGAACGTTTCGGCGCCCTTTCGAGCCATCTTCTGTGAATTTACGTCAAAATTCATATAAAATTAGAACATTAATGTTAAAGTGAGATACAGTCTAAAATACCTTATAAAGTTACGCATAAGAAATGATATACGCAATTCTCGTTTCTCGTAACTGCCTAACTTTATAAGGTACTTGGGACCAGGTATCTCATTTTGACATTAATGTTCTAATTTTATGTAAATTTTAACGCATACACATATATTTGTAAAAGACTCGAAATAAAACCGAAACGTTCTACTTTTATAATTAAACTATTAAATATAACTTTCTCTCTCTGTATTCTGATTTATGCACACGCTCTTAGTCCAATATTCATTCTATATTGTATATAAATTGGACCTCGTATATTTTATTTATTTTTTATATTTTATTTTATTTTACATAAATTATCTTCTCCAAAAATATCTAAGTTAACAATTATTCTAAAATCATTCACTTAACTCTTTTTCTTCTTTTGACATTACGTGAAGTTATTTTTCAAATTTTTTTCATAATATATTATTTTTTTTAAATAATAAAAAAATGATAATTTTAATTTAATTCATAATTTAAAATGTCATTATTTTTATTTTAGATAATTTACATGTACGTTTACATATAATATATTTGGTTTACTTTGCGCAATACTATTCCTTTGAATTTGATTTCCAAAGCAGTTTCTTTTGCTCGTGTGCAACAACATACACACATATGTTTGATATGTTCACGTTTGACACGACTAACCACACCGCCGTGAAAATGGTATGCATTGAATTTTGAAAAGTGCTGCAGCAAAACAATCAATGTGTGCCTTATCGATTCGACGATATCACAGTTCTATTTGCTAGAGAAAATTAATTTTTAAAAATTTATATAAATAATAAATTATATAAATCCCGACGAGAGACGTATTACAAAGTTATTTAATTGTTGTAAAGAAATGTCTATACGCGCTTTGAATTATTATAAAGTTATTACGAAAGTTAAAATACATTATTTTAATAAATCATCGTCGCCTTGTTCCATTTATCACAAAGTAATAAGAAATCCTTGCTTGGCACATGTATATATGTGTTTTCTCGAAAATATTTTGTTACACGCTATTATAAATTTCCTCTTTGTAGATCACGCTGAGAGATTACGTGAATTTGAACAATTTTTCATTATTAAATAAACAGTAATAAAAGTTATTACAGCGTAAAATTACATAAATACCGAACACAGTACACATATTTACTTGACATGTTATCGTGGTTGCACGAGCGTCGAGTCTTGCTGTTGCTCTTTAAGCAGGGGTTGCTTTTAATCTTTGTATACTTATGTCAACGTATGTTATGAGAGAGATAATGGACTTCTCTCCCCGGGAAAAACGTCGTCATTCGCCGTCGTTCCCCGCGATTTACGTCGCGCCAACCACCAGTGATCATAATTCTACCGTCACACAACGTATGGAGATTTTCCAAACGGACCGATTAAAATGGTACGACGCGATGCTGCCAAAACTCATATAATGCGCGTGTCTCGGATACAAGAAAGGGAGAGCGACAGCTCATTTTGCTGCACGAGCTCGGCAAATCGTTCATTAATGACATGACTATCGAAACTCTGGGTATCTCTCGTATCACTTGTTTGCCAGAAAAGCCAGTCGCTAAATATACATTCCCTCGTTTTTGCTCGAACCGTTCGTCGGATAACGACGACACGTGTCCCATTCAAATTTTGATAAGCGCGATCAGCCGAATCCTATATCTATTTTTCTCTCTTCCGCCTGTACCGGCTGCGACGCGCG